TACCGAATATATCTATATATATACTAGCTGACCTGGCAGGCTTCGCAGTGCCTCAATCGATAAATAAAAGACCTAAGCTTTTGTATAAAATAAACTTAAAACAAACAAAAGGAATCCGTCCGACGGGGGACACATCAAAAGAAAAACAAAATTGTTATTTTTATTTATTTCCGAGCATTTTCATATTTATCTACCTTTTAAACCTTCTCTGGACTTCCACAAATAATTCAAGACCAAAATTAGCCAAATCGGTACAGCCATTCTCGAGTTTTAGCGAGACTAACGAACAGCAATTCATTTTTATTTATACTTACTGTATAGTAACCGGCAAACTTCGTGAGCAAATGACCTTGACTGCGCAGAACCGAATTTTAGATCACTTTGGTGGTGAGGGTGAGGCGCGACGGCAGGGGAAATCGTATCGAGCGCGTTATTGGTAGATCAGTCGAACCTTGCGTCCCGCACCGCACCCTCATTCCGCTTGCTCCCAAAAGTACGCTTGCGTACAGTGAAAAGTCTATCGTTATTAATCGTTAAGTTATTTGTTATAATTGTTTGTTGACTTTGTTGCCATTGCTATTTGTTGAGTGTTTGTTGATTTTTTATAAAAAATACACTATGCCGCGACAAACTGGTGTAGTATTCAAAAGAAAGGGTAGAAAAATTGTGTACGACGTATATTGCTTCATTATAAAACAGGGGAAGAATGATATGGAAAAAGTAAAACAGACTTCGGAAGCAACAAAATCATCCGTGAGTACTGTTAGGTGCATTATTAACGAAGCTAAAGGCTCTGGCTTGCTTGCCGTGTTTCGGACTCCGGGTAAGAAAAGATTAGGGAAAAATAAATTTACCAGAATGGATAGTTTCGTTCAATCTGTAATAAAAAGTTGTAATCATAATAACTACATAACAAGCAGCGAAACTCCGTACCGTAGAAAGGCTTCGAAAAATTTAAAGAAGATATAAATTTTAATGGCTCGGTATGAAGTTTACCACGAATTATGAAAGAGCTAGGCTTCAGATGGAAAAAAAAACAGAAAATAATCGGAAGCTGGTAATTGAAAAAAGTTACATTCGATTACTACGAATCGAATATCTTCAAAAATAATTAATTATAGACAAAAAAGTAGACCGAACCGACCGAGTTGTAAACTACACCGATGATCTCTATGTCGACTCATCACGATGATAGCAACTCGGGTGATAAAAACAGTGATGATGATGGTCAAGATTATGATAACGAAAAAAATAATTACAAATACCAGCTTCGCTTCAACTGAACCAAGACCTGGCAACAGCTTTAGTTTTGACTTAATAGAAGGAATATCTATTTTACCCCAAGATTAAATTTTTAATCTATATTTTTTGTTGATGTTCTCATAAATATATAAATAAATACATATGTTGATTTTAATAATTTAATTGCATTATGACGCAGAGTAAATAATGTTTTTGCACGTGAGTGTACCATGCGCGAACTTACCCCCACTACGTCGACAAATGCTCAAGAAGTTTGCCGGCTATTATACGTGTGTATGTCACTGAGTTCCTAAACAGCTGGACCGATTTGATTGATTTTTTTTGTATGCGTTTGGGTGGCGCCCTAAATGGTTTAGATTCACAAATCAGTTCGGCAGATGGCGCTGCAGTCGGTATCTAGGTTATTTATCAGATACTACAACTAAACGGCTGGATCGACTTCAATTAATTTTTACAAGACAACGTCTGTCGGGTCCGCTAGTATTTAAATATAAAAAAAGACGTGTGGCACTCGGGGAGTGCCGCGGTAAAGCTATTGCATAGCATTTTTTATCAACTTATGCAATTATATACGCTATATTAATAAACATTAACAAAAGAAACACATTAACTGTCCCCCTCACACTCATAAGCTAGACCGCGCGAGAGAGAGATCGGCAGTTTTCATGATGCGCATGCAGTGCGACGTCACGCCGCGCGTTTATTCTCAAGCACTACACAAGCGCAACGTGTTAATGTGTTGAACGCGAGCTACATGGTAGGCGGAGTGGGAGGCGTTAGGGTTTATTTTCGTTACGGAATTTCTTGATTCGGTCGCTGCGCTCAAAGCCTGCGATAAAAGCTATGCAATAGCTTAAAAACGTTTTATTTTTTATTTTTATTAAGTAAAACTGTGATCACACTTACAGAAACGACCGCAAGCGCTTAGTCTGGCGATATATTACCACAACACACTGTCACATGGTTTTTTTTTCATTTACCATGTCTTCGAATTTCTAAGTCTATGTCAACATAATTAGTATGGAGGGTAGATGTAAGGAGCGCCATCTTGTATAGGGGACAAGTTGAATAAGTGTCCGTCTGTAACCAGCGAGCTATTGTTGGAAGACACCGACATAGCGTTAGTGTAGGAAATGGAAACGATATGAATATAGCAGTTTTAAAAAGAGTGAAGCGTGCTGGATTTTCAAATTCAATATATTATTATATCGGGACATGTTAATAAAAGATACACAGTATTTAATATCTCAACTATTTATTTTGATTAGTGGTCGCACAGTGGTCGAAACTCGACCATAATTAATTTAAATTTTAAGTTTGAACATTATTAAGGTTCTATTGTCAAAAACTATTAAACTTCTGTAATCACAGATTTCGCCAAGACTACACTGTAGAGTACTGTAGACAAATAATATTAAAGACAAACAATATTATTCTATTCTCAATTTGACCACAAACTTTAACAATAACAAAAGATTATATATGCGTGTGTGTCAAATACATAATATGTGTGTGTAATGTTTTTTTTAATTGATTTAAGTAATGTATTTTTTATGCATAATTTTAAAAAGATATTAGCATTCTGCACTCCTTCTCTATATTCTCTTATAAGTGTAGGAAATTTCATACTCCTCCGTCCGCGCGATTTTCATAAAAAGCGGTACAAAGTTTTTGGTTCACGTATTAATATATAGATTTCTATTTACGCAGGAAGTGTTTCTTTTCTTCTGAATGTAATATCCTACTTTAATAATTTATGGCGCTGTTTTTAAAATATCTCCACTTGCTACAGTGGCGCCATCTTCATTAGCTTCCTTTCAGCGGACACTTTTTAATACATTATGAGAGTGCTCCATACTTCTATCCTCCTTAATAATTAGCATATGTATATTAATTTTTTTCGCCCCGTGAGAATCGGGTACTTTTGTCCCGCGTGCCAGGGACTAAAAGCGAACTTTTCATCCCGATTGAAAAAAAATTTGTATAAGAACACAATTCGCGGACGTGAATTTCCTACTTTTCTCCCTCGGTGCGTAATATACTATTTCGGTAAGTAAAAACTTTTAGTGTAGCTCACATAAAGCATAGAGGTGCCCTCAATTTTTAGTATTAAATTATAATTTCATTATAATTCTTTTCATAGCTACTGAATATATATTTTGCGATTCCAACGGTCTGCTATAAACAAAGACAAACCAAATATTATTTATAGGTGCCATTAACTATATGAAAGTGATCTTTAAAAGCATTTTTCTTGTGAAATATTAGTGATTTTTGCGTTTTAAATAACTTAATAGATATTTTTTTATTCCGCGTCAAACTAAACACTGAACGCCTTATACGTCATATGTGGTCAATTGTTATGTACGTAATTTATTTAGTTTGTTTGGCCCCAAATAACGTCACACGATGAGGTCACCTTCGAATGTTCGAAAAAAGAAGTCCCATCCAGCAGGATTCAACTTTGAGGGCACTTAAAAAGCCATAATGCGTATTTTATTGTAATACTAGCGACCCGCCCTCGCTTCGCTTCGGAAACTGTAATCTATTATTGATTTCTCCACTATTTAACGGATGTTATTATACATATAAACCTTCCTCTTCAATCACTCTATCTATTAAAAAAAACCGCATAAAAATCCGTTGCGTAGTTTTAAAGATTTAAGCATACATAGGGATATAGGGACAGAGAAAGCGACTTTGTTTTATACTATGTAGTGAAACACTAAATTATTTATCGTATAGGTCTCTCAAGCCACAGAATCCGATATCATTGCAAGAAATTACAAACAGGAAAGAAGGTTAAATTCATCTAGAAACTTTAAGCTGAGCTTTCGTAGAGCTAGATTTAGATTAACTTTGTTAGCCGCCGATAGCTGTGAATGGATTTTTTCGCTTAGTTCATCAAACTCTAACGACTTCTACTAAGCCAATCATCTGCTGCCACGGAAACCATAACCTGAAGGGAATTGTCGACAATAATAATTATAATGTAACAATAGAAAACGCCAGATTAAAAAAAAAGGTAAAAATAAATAAATAATATTTAACAAAAAAACTAACAATATACGCTTTTATAGAAAATCCAACTAAAAAATAGAAAATAAATTTTATTATAATAAATTTGAATTAAAAATAGTGTAAGAAAAAATGATTTTATTGTAAAAAAGCCTGAGTCGCTTTTCAGGATATTATCAAAATAACCCTTCTACTGATATCTGTTCATAAAATATTTATAACTACTGATACCATGCACCCCACGCTTTTTTTTTCAACGAAACATTAAATTTTATTATTGACAGCTGAGTCCCGCGATGCTATCCGCGGTTATTGTCGTACCGCGGGTGAAGACGCGGGGCGAAGCTAGTCTAGTACCGCTTTTTACGACATGCATATGAATATATATGCGGTACATACACCAAAATAACATTTTTTACAATTTTTGTCTGTCTGTCTGTCTGTTCCGGCTAATCTCTGGAACTGCTGGACCGATTTTGATGAGACTTTCACTAATAGGTAACTGATGATATAAAGAGTAACTTAGGCTACTTTTTGAAACTAGCTTCGCCCCGCGGCGTCACCCGCAGTTATTGTCGTACTGCGCACAACATGGCGGGACTCGCCTATCAATAATAAAATTTAATATTTCCGAAGCGAAGCGAGGGCTGGTCGCTAGTTTTAAAATAAATTGGAGAGTTTGGAAATATCTGGAATTTGAAGAAAAAAAAAACATAAGATTCTTCTAGAATTAATGTTTAATGAAATATGTTGAGCGATTTATCGTTACGGGAAGATCCTTCAGCGCGTTTACGATTTAAGCAGCCATTCGCATCTAGAAAGTTCTAGATAACTAAGCGTGATCTAGAAACATCCCGGACATTATAAGGTAAGGTCGGTTGATTCGGATAACGTCCAAGCGAGATCAAGCGAACAGGGAAATTTGCTTCTAGAAACTTCCGTTGCATAATAAATAAAGCATTAATTTTTATAATATTTTAGATAGTTTATTATTATTTTTTAGCGTTTATTTGATGTTGAAACGCCGTTCACAAAACTTAAGAGCATTTCGGATGAGAATCTAGAGGTCTTTGTGGAACGTTCTAGAATGTCTTTCTGTGGACGGCCCTGTGACCCTCCTCATCATACTCTCTCTTGGAGACCCACATCTTGCGGAAGGTGTCCAGAGACGCGAGGATCGAGCCTCCGATCCACGTGGAATACAGGCGCTCCTGGGGGGCCGAGATCTGGACAAGAGAATACCTTGTTGAATACTCCTGGTTCTGGATACGTTTTGTGTCGCTGCGGTCCATGGGCGTAGTGTGAAGGGCTCAGCGCATTATGCCACAAGGTCACGTTTGTAACTTTGTCGTGATGGATCGTGGGATGACTTAGCGGTTGTAACAGGCAGTTAGGACCAATCCGTGCTTACTACACAATATTGCTATATTACGGGTAGGTACCGTGCTGCTTGTTACTGCCGCGAAGCCGATGTGCGTTTCAGCTCGAAGAGTGCTACCGTTGAGACAGACAATTGAGACTTCGCTTACCTCAAATTGGGTGGCATTGAGGTTGCGATTGTCTATGACCTCCATTGACCACTTAACATCAAATGGGCCCTGATTTTGTCAATTTACGTAGAACAATAGGAAGGAATGTACTAGGATACTATGACGTGCAAAGAGGTGAGAGCTTGTTTGTTAGCTTCGTCAATCAATCTACGTAAAGTGTAGCAACAAAAGTACTAGGGCATTATGATATCAAAGAGGTGTTCTTATAACTTAGGATAACTCTGTTCGGAGGTACAACCATTCTTCATCTATTCTGCTGGGAACCAATTATGGTTTCCATTGAAGTGAGGGTCACATAAATAACTGAGACTTGGACCTCATGTCTCAAGGTGGGTCACGGAATTCATGTTGTAACTTCACTGACCTCAAGTAGCCCAGTTAACATGAGGTAGACTTGGATATTGTCAATTACGTTAAATAATGGACAGAAAAGTACCAGGCTACTATGACACGCAAAGAGGTTTATGTGTTAATGTAATAATACAATTTCGAAGCACAGCCTTATTATGAGATTTGTGGGGTTTGGATTCCAACTTGAGAAATTGACCTCACGTCTCAAGATGGGTGACGGAAAGCATTCTAATTTCAATAACCTCAGGTAGGCCACTTAAGCATCACGTGGACCGTGCTATTATTATTAATAACGTAAAATATTAGGAAAAAAGTACCAGGGTACTATGGCATGCAAAGAAGTAGATATCGAGGGGTGAAAGGCTATTTGGCTTAAGTGACATTTCGCCTAATGCGCGACATTTATCTTTGTAACTAAAGGTCCCTTTTATTTGGTATCAGTATCAACAGTTCGATGTTTTTAATTGAACTTCAGTTAACTTTACTCCATTAAAATAGCTAAAATAAGTTTTTTGTTATGATAAAATTATAATCAAATAGCTCTCCTGTAAAGTTGCAAAAATGTCACTCAAACCTCAAACCTGCACCCCTCGATATATAAATTAGACTTCGACGTCCAAACATCACATTTCCGCTGTGAACCAGTCACGCACTCCGCTTTGAACGGTGCAACAGGTATATAAGTTTCAGATTTCGACCTCATGTCTCAAGGTGGGTCACGGAATTCGAGTTACGATTTTTGTAGGTTCCAAAAAACCACTTAACATCGACTGGCCGCTAATGTTGCCTTTTTACGAAAAACATATTAGAAAGAAAAGTACCAGGGTACTATGACATACAAAGAGGTGTATATGTACTTTAGTATACCTTTAGTATATTTGTTGTGAACCAGTCCAGGGTTCCTAATTAAAGAGTGCGGGAAAAGGTAACCATAGAGAATTTGACATTATGCACCAAGATAGATGTGGTATCCACCTCGTCAGCATTTCTGCCAAGCCAATGACCATGGTTCCCAGACGACAACCCTCACTCACCCTGATCTTCATATCCTTAGGCGCCAGTCTCCGGATCTCGTGCAAGAGCCTGTCCCCGAACCCCCGGAACAACGTGGAGCCCCCGCTGAGGACTATGTTCTGGTAGAGGACCTTCCTTAGGTCCATGTCTGACTTGTGAATTGAAAACATTAACACCTCATGAAGACCTGGAACAGACAGACATTCTATTTTAGTGGTTAAATATCATAAAGACTTATTTCATCAGTTTTACCGGAGGTTGGGCATTGGCAACATTGGGCAGTTGGACGGCATTGGGCAATTGGACATTGGCAGCATTGGTAGGTTCCTATTGGTAGAAGTAGTGTGTGTTGGAAGACCACACGGATAGGCAACACCATACAATCCATTTCTGCCGCGGAACAGTCTAGGGTTTCGATTTGAAAAATGGGACAGTCCAATGATCAAATTCGAAGTCAGGCCTCAACGTGGATTAAGGCATTAAGTTTGTTGATGTCCATCGGCTCCAGCTACTACTGAACATCAAGGTAAACCCCAGCTCAGGGCCCTGTTATCTACGCATTCCAGTAAATAACAGCTGATGTAAGGAAACCATACGTACCTTCGCACTCCTCACCGATCAGGTCCGGTCTGAAGAGCACTTCGGGAGCTCGGAACCGGGCCGGGCCAATCTGCGGGAGGGGTACACAACATCAGCACGCCATGTCGTTATTTCCGTCACGAAACATTCATGAGCTCTAATTGTAAGAAACCAACAACATTTATACAATCATCATTCTCCTGCCCTTCTCCCAGTCACCTGGGGTCCGCGCAACATGGTTTCTTCTTCCACACTCCTCGTATCATATACCATTTCTTCGCTCACTCCCCTCTTACACATATCGTCTTTCACGCAATCCATCCATTTCTTCTTAGGTCTACCTCTTCCTCTAAAGTCTTCCATATTCATAGTTAATAGACAACCTTACACAATTACTAGAACTTCAAGATCGATGTTGGCATTCGCGTAGTGTAGTATTATCTAGAAGCTATCCATGGGGAATGCTCTGGGGAATTGTTTGAGATGATCCCTTCATCTCCTTTTTATCATCGCACCTCCCGCCATCGGAGCAGAGTTTGTCCATATTATCTGGAACCGCTGCGTTTATCGACAATGCGTTTCCAGAGGTCTTTTTTGCCACGTACCATCCGGCTATGGAATGAGCTCCCCTCCACGGTGTTTCCCGAGCGCTATGACATGTCCTTCATCAAAACAGGCTTGTGGAGAGTATTAAGCGGTAGGCAGCAGCTTGGCTCGGCCCCTGGCATTGCTGAAGTCCATGGGCAACAGTAACCACTCACCATCAGGTGGGCCGTATGCTCGTCTGCCTACAAGGGCAATAAAAAAAGGCTCCATTAAAACATAAGGCATTTGAAAAAAAAACCTGTCTTAAAATGCTCACAAACACTCATAAAAGAGTTAAAGACAGTCCAAAAGAAATAGGCAGTGAGACGATATTTGAAACTGAAGCATCAATCCTCAATAAGTCTAACAATTCACCTCAAGTTGTGTTCCATCAGGGAGAACGTATTGAGCCCTTTCATTCTCCAAGGTCTCTTCTTTCAGAGGGTTCGGAGACAGGTAGCACGCCCGCTCCTTGATCGACTTGACGATCTCCAGCTCGGCGGACGTCCTGAGGTTCACTCCCTCTTTGCGGAGCAGAAGTCTGGGGATCCGATGCGATTTTATACAGAAAGTCTCCAACAGGAGATACCAGGGTATACGGTGTCAACCATGAGACGGAACAATGGCTTCTAAGCCATGACCTACCATACTCCTACCTCCTGCGAGGTCCCCTCGTTTAGGTGGCGCGCTGGGTATGTGGGACTTAACGATCTGTAGATATTGGAATCAGACCGCGGGCCCAAGGGGTTTAGGGCCTTACCGCACTAAATGATTTCCCTGCTCTCTCACATGACGTCCGATCTCCGCCCAGGGTCAGAACCCAGTCAGAGTGAAGGGGTTCCCGCGATCAACATTACAACCAGACACGCGGCGCCACCCCGAGGACGCCCGATCGACGGATCGTCAAAGCGATAGTCGAGAAGTTGTGTAACATTCCCCGACTTGTACTACCAATTTTTTGTTGGAAGTAACAATGTTGTACTTTCACATTTATTTACTGAATTTTATGTCAATTTATTGTATTAAATTTTGTAGAGATAAGCATCTCACGTTTACCCACATAATAAAACAGGAACGTTTTTAAATTGGTAAGCGTTTTATATCGATAGGAAAATTAAAAAAAAATACGTGGCATTCAGGGACTGGCGCGGTAAAGCTATTGCATAGCATTTTTTATCAACTTATGCAATTATAATTAGATAATAATAATTTAATATGAAAACAATAATAAAATTAACTGTCCCCTTCACACTCATTAGCTAGACCGCGCGAGAGAGAGATGGACAGACTTTTCATGATGAGCATGCAGTAGTGTTAGGTTTTATTTTCGTTACGGAATTTCTTAATTCGCTCGCTGCGCTCAAAGCCCGCGATAAAATCTATGTAATCGCTTAAAAAAAATAGAGAGATAAGACTTTCTAAGTAGTATCGGCTTTCAGGAATCAGTTCATTTTGGATATGAGGTTTATTGCACAAAATTGGTTGGGAATTCCTGAATTAGCGGTTACCAGAACCTAAGAATACACAAATCAAGAAACGTAACTACTCAATTGTATAACTTAATTACAGTTAAACTATTAATGCAGGCCCTAATGGTGGCTCTTTAGTCTTAGAAGCGTCACATACCTAAGGTACTTGGTGACGTCACGCCCGGCCACGTCGACCCTCATGATGCTGTGCGGCATCGCGAACCCCTCGTATATGGGGACGGCGTGCGTCACTCCATCGCCGGAGTCCAGTACAGCACCCGTGGTACGACCTGTTGCATACCTGAACGAAGAGACAAATGTGGTCATGAGAATCTGTACCTAAAGTTCCTCAGTCCAAAGTTACCTCACCTAAAGTTAAGTGGTGGAAGACATTTTATTGCTATGATGGGTGGACGAGCTTAAAGTCCACCTGGCGTTAAGTGGTTACGGGAGCCCATAGACATCTATAACGTAAATGCGCTACCCACCTTGAGATATAAGTTCTAAGGTCTCAGTAGAGTTACAACGGCTGCCCCACCCTTCACGCATTCCTGTTTCACGGCAGAATAGGCGGGGTGGTGGTACCTACCCGCACGGACTCACAAGACGTCCTACCACCAGTAATTATGCAAATTATAATTTTGCAGGTTTGATTGTTATTACACGATGTTATTCCTTCACCGTGGAAGTCAATTGTGAGCATTTGTTGAGTATGTATTTCATTGGAAAAATTACTGTTATTTTATCTATTGTTGTTGTTATTATCGAAAAAAGGAGATAGATGTTACTGAAACTCACAAACTGAGAACGGCCTGCATTGAAAGAAATAATGCCGGTACATTGAATGTCTCAAAGAATACTTCGGCGGATTTTTCTCTATTCCTGCGAGGGTTTAGAGGTGCTTCTGTCAACAGCACCGGGTGTTCTTCTGAGAAAGTAGATAGCTGGTCCTATAGAGAGAAGGTGTGTTGAATCATAATGGCTAAATTAAAAATTAAATTTAATAAAAAATAAATTATTTGATTAAAGTAAATAAAAATTTAAAAACCGCTCATAAGTAAGCAACTTTTTGAGTATTCAATTTATATACCAAGCAAAGAGGGTATTCAATTGAGCAATGGTTCATGAACTAATGTTGAAATAAAAAATGTATACTATTATCTTACTATTATATTAAAATTAAATATTTTTAAAATTTATTTAATCAATAATTTTCTGTTTTTTTTTTATTGCTTAGATGGGTGGACGAGCTCACAGCCCACCTGGTGTTAAGTGGTTACTGGAGCCCATAGATATCTACAACGTAAATGCGCCACCCACCTTGAGACATAAGTTCGAAGGTCTCAGGTATAGTTACAACGGCTGCCTCACCCTTCAAGCCGAAACGCATTACTGCTTCACAGTAGAAACAAGCAGGGTGGTGGCACCTACCCGCGCGGACTCTCAAGAGGTCCTACCACCAGTAATCAGTCATCATCTGTGAGACCGGCCACGAAACTAATACGGTACTTAAACTTACTTTAAGCCTTACTAACATACCTTACTGTAAATATAATTCCAAATCTTTTCCATGTCGTTCCAGTCTGTAACTATTCCGTGTTCCATTGGGTATTTGATGCTGAGAAGACCGCGATGCTCTTCTGCACGAGGACCAACGAAGATCTCGCCTTCTAGCGCTCCTGCCATCACTCTTGTGTGCTTCGGACGACCAATACTACAAAGTAGGATGCTCAATTTTTGTATTTGTTCATGGTAGCAGATTGCTTTCATATCACAAACACAATATATAGTATTTTCCACTATCCGTGACCTCTTATAAATTTCTAATAGGTTTTTTAATAAGAGTTTTTTAGTATTATTTATATGTATTTATTTTATGTATTTCATTATATATGTACGTGTATGTATATGTTTATGTTATTTATGTGTGTAATTGTGTATGTATATAGTTTGATATATTATGTTATGTGTTTATTTTTATTATTTTTATTGTTATTGTCTATAGTATCAATAATTAAATTAATTAGATTATACTCATCTACTCACTCATGTAAGGCTTTCCTTCTTTGAGAACGGTTAGCTGGTAGATAACTCAATTGTTGAGTTAAGCTCGCCATTTTTTTTATATCTTATCGAAATTACTGTATTATATTAACAGTGTGTACAAATAAAGAACAAAGAGAATGGTTTTAATGGAAAAATTCATTAGTTTGTAATAAATCTTTAGTGTCCACAAGCAAATCTACTATCAACCTATAGTTAATTGAAAAATATCTTAAGCAGAAATGTGCATGTTTTCTTCTCAATGCAGGCAATATATGCATCCAAGTCATTGTGCAGTATGCAGTGAGTATGTATAACTTACTAGTTCGGGAAACGACATTTCGGTATCTGATCACCAGCGAAGCCCGCCTTTATAACGCCGGAGCCCTAGAACAACGGGAAATTATAATCATATGCAAAACATTGCCTAACTCCACGCACGGAATAATGAGTCATAACTCAACAATTAGGCATTAAAGACAATTCGTAGTTAATTTGTAACGTTTTAATAGTCCTTTGTGCGTTTATATTTGTTTAAATTTATTAAATATTATTCGTGAATAATAAAAGAAAATTAATTTTAAAACACGGTTTTTTTTGGGTCATTTTATTTCCAAATGTAACACATATTTACGTTGTCTATTACGACGGGCTGATTCACTATAACATCACTCAACTCCATTTTAGTTATTATTTTATTTCCGTTCCGTAATAATTGGCTTTTTTACTAAAATCAATTTAAATCGCTACACATTGATGCAGGCATGAAACCATATTCCAGTAACACTATGTTAGAAAGAAGCTGCAGAAATAAAATAATATCTTCCGTCCTTGTTTTACTCTGACTTTTGAATGGTGAAAACTTTGGAGCCTTTAGACATCTCTTTGATAATGCTAATTAAATAAATATGAACTTAAATTGAAACTGGAACATGAAAAATGACTTATTTTGTGAAATTATTCAAAGGAATAATGTAGTAGTGTAGCCAAATCTGCTTTTATTTAGGATATTTGGTTGAGAAATATAAATTGGAGTGGAATGAGATGAATTGATATAAGTAATGTGAAAAGATGAAATGAGATAGTCTCAGTAAAATGGTGGGAAATTACTGAGCCTTTAATGTACTTTATGAAAAAAAACTCGAGAAGCCCCTTACAATTTCTTTTTCTTTTATTGCTTATTTTGTTTCATTTCCCTACTTTCGTGCACTTTCAGTATCTAATGGTAAAAAGTTAAAATGCTATGATAAGGTTTCTGTAGTATGATACCTTCGCCTTTCATGAATTACAAACATGAAACTATTTTACGTTTAACAGTTTGACAGCTGCCTAAACCATAGATAACACACTTAATACATAAAATACTTCTGCTGACTGAGCTTATGGTGGCTTATATAAAAAAAGAGTAAACATACTTAGATAAACTTATTTACAAATTGATTCGACTTAATTTGTTGTGCATTGTTAATAAAGAAAATGAAACTAATTTCCACAATATTTTGTAATTTAATACTGATAAACGCTGCAATTAATACTGAAAACGGTTACTGTGTATCAAAGGACTCTTGTGAGGAAACAAAAAATACATTATCCGACAAAAAATGGTTATTCTACGACGTTAATCCACCCGAAGGGTTTAATTTGCGACGAGACGTGTACATGAGATTCGCTATATTACTCTCCAACGAACAGAAACGAGGTAAACTGCAAGAGTTCGGCTTAGTTCTACCGCCTTGGTATAAGCTGTACCATTGGAAAACCACAAAAAAGAGAGAACCAATTCCCTGGGGAAATTTTTTCGATATAGAAAGCTTAAAATCATTCGCGCCTGTCGTTGAGTTGTACGAGATATTCGAAAAATCTCTAAAAAAGCAATTGATAATAGATACGATTTACGTTTTGCAAAACTATGAAAATCCTTTCGAAAATGACCTTTTCGAAGACAAATGGGAGGTACAGGAGGAATGTCCGTACGTGCCACAATACTGGGGCTACGGAAACATAACAGCCAACGAGATAATCTGTGTTAAATTTCAAGGAAAAATTTCCATGTTACCGGAACTTTTTCAGTTACACCGTAATGACAAATTCATAATGGTGGCCCAGGGTGAAATACCTCTACACGATAATTATGGCGACCGAACATACTGGAAATGCAGGAAAAGTATGAAATTCAATAAGAAACTAACTGAAATTGCTTTTAATTACGTTAAAGAAAAATTAAATTGTGATACAGAGCTGTGCAAAAACTATTTAGGCGTGCACTGGAGGAGACAGGATTTTGCTAAATACAGGAGCAAAGACGTACCAACAACGTCTGGAACGGTCAAGCAAATCCAAAACATAATGCAAAACAAACTTCCTCATGTGCAAACAGTTTTCATAGCTACAGACGCATCGGCCAAAGAAAGAGAAATACTCCAGAATAATCTAGAAACTTTAGGTTATAACGTACATTATTATGTACCTAATATAGCTGAAGTTACCGAATTTGATGATGGTACTATTGCGATATTAGAACAAATAATTTGTTCACATGCTGCCTTCTTTGTGGGCACACATGAAAGTACCTTTACATTCCGAATACAAGAGGAAAGGGAGTTATTAGGGTTTCCTAGTGATACTACGTTCAATAGGCTGTGCCCCGACAAAGGCAATTGCGAAAAGCCATCCCGTTGGACTGTAGTGAATTAAATAATGTGATCAGGATTCATAGATGATAGTAAAACTTAAAAACTATGTTAGAGTAAACAAAGCTTCTACATAAATATATGTAAAAAAAATGAAATATGATTCTCACTATTATAGATACATTATATTTTAAATTCAGATAAGTTAAAAAAACAAAAATGTACAAGGCAAGAATGAGTACAGCTGGACTTTAAATTCTCTGAATATACTTGTAAATCAACCCTGACTACTGGTGACAAGGTATATAGTTAGTCCGTACAAGTATATACCACCATCCAGTTTAATTCTGTAGCCAAACAGTCATCTGGTCTATTTTGAAGTAGGATATTATCATAATACAATACAATAGAACTTTGATTTAATATTGTGACACTGACTTTTCGTTGTTAGGTCTTTAATTTTTATACATAACACTACACCGGGTAGGTTGTGAGCTCGTTCACCCATATAGGCAATAAAACAAGTATATTATGCAGTTTTGAATTCATTATTATAAATTAGAATAGAACAAAGACCTATGTTAGATTATTTAATGATGCATCAACCGTCACTTCTATAATGTATCGGTGCACAGTTCAATGGTGTACCGTTTCAAGGAATATCTCTAGATTCCATGTGGTGACTTGCTTGATAGATAACCCTGGAGGCAGTGTACTTTATATTCTGTTTCATAAAAATGTTACTTCAATTGTTTTTAAGACAGATGTAATGTTTGAGACGCTAAAAAATGTTTCATGTGATATTTATGTAATTAATACCAAAGATTAAATTATCAACTTTTTTATTAGTTTTATTTTCTGTTTTGCTATTGATAGTACTTATATACGAAGGTCGTCCACCATCTCCTATATACATCAGCAATTCCAGAAGCAAGATCACACTTTTGTCTATCCATCGGACTCTTAATCAAACCTCATTTAAATAATATACAGAAATTTCATAGCATTCTGAACGTGGGACTTTAAAGATTCTTGAATACACAAATGAGTTGATTTTTTTAAATTTAATAGTAAAATAAATGTAATGTTTGCTTTATATGCACATTTTATTTTTATTTAGAATCCAAGGTAAAACTGCTATATTGGCATAATAGTGTAGTTACGTTAGGTAAAATAGATGCGGAGGCTCCAATCTCGACGGTCCGTGCTGGAGGCATAGTCTCGCCGACTAGCGAACCCGTCGGCCGGTCTTTGGACAAATGGAGGCGGTGCGCCCCTCGCGAACTGGTTAAACGGCGACAGAAGGCTTCTCACCTTCATTAGATACAAGTGCTCATCGGTCATGGGTGTTTCGTTGCACTGCGTCGCCCTGAGAGAACTAACGATGGAGTGCCATTACTGTGGCTACGACGCGAACACGGTTGAGCACTGCCCCGCGTTACTGAGGCAGTGCCGTGTTCTCGTTTCGCAAATAGGACCAGACTTATCGCAGCAGACGATCATGGCTACGATACACGGCACCGGCGAGTCCTGGAAAGCGATGCTCGGGTTCTGCGAGTCCACCATCTCGCAGAAGGAAGCGCCAGAACGACAGAGGAAGAGCTCTCCGCACTAGTTCGATGCCGCCGAGCCGGGGCCTTGAGAAGGCAATTCGCCCGGCTCCGGCCCCTCTAGGAGGCGACCCCGTTCTTTCCGTGAAGGACATCAGTGTGCTTAGTGCGAGTTTTTTAGCGTTCTCGATAGCGTAAAAGTTACCACATATTTGTATGGAATGAGATCGTTTGCGTACGTTTGCCGCTAGGGGCGCTGTTCCAACTGCATACAAAATTGGGTTAACTTCTACGCTATCGAGAACGTTTAGACACTCGCACTAAGCACACAGGGGGCAAGACCGCACGGCCAGCTACATGCACTCTTCTAGCGCGCCGCATGACAGCAACTCTACGGTTCTATGGAAATGCTACAGAAGATCAAGCGATTGACGGTGTATAGTCTTCCGACCCAGCAGGATGGTTCTGGTCTAGCGGGGTATGTCGGCGGCCTGCAGGGCTGCCTTATCGAGACGACTGATGTAGAGTCGTTGACTAGCGCCTCGACGGTCCGTCGGTCGGACTCCCTACTTTTCAGTATGGCAATTGGCTTCTGGCTATGGCGTTTGATGTTGAGGCTACTTTTGAAAAAAAAATGATTTATTATAAAAAGTAGAAAACCTGAGCAGAATTAGGTGAACTTGGTTTATTTTAAATCGTAATAATTCAAGGTGAAATTAAATTGAATAGAATGAAACGAAATGAAATGAAAGAAATAATTTCTCAATAAAATGACACACTTATGCGCTTTTACAGATGTAAAACTTTTAATAAATTACCATTATAATTTCATTAAACGTGAAGTTATGCAAAATTAACAACATTAAACTATTTACACAACTGTGACTATAATATATTCCCGCCAAAAAGCTGCGAAATTCCTCTAGCTTAACTGTCGTCGTAATGTCGGTAGGTCGGAAATTCTATAGTCCAAAACTATTTTTTTTAAATATTCATTCTGCCGTTTTATAACTACGGTTTTTTTAAAACTAATACAAAAATGTATTTAATCTTATAAAAATCGGTAAAATATTTTATTAGAAAATAAACGGACGATATAAAATAAGTTTCTGAACGAAAGTAAACATTGATTTTTTTTGAATTTTCAAAATGATTTGTTTACATACATACAAAATCGAAAATTGGGTTTTTAATGAATTTTAATTGAGACAGAACATAACTATTGTTTATTTCGACAACAAAGTACAAAATTATGTACTACTTATTACAATAGAACGCCTAAAGAGTCCAGATAATTCCAGAATAATGTATAAGCCAATAGATTTCACGAGCAACGGTAAGTTTTTTTATATAAAGATAACTTAAAAAATATTAAATTAAATTAGTGAGAATCATATTAATATTTCGTTTATTGGGTTTGTCAGAATTTCTTAAGTGAAAAGGCATAACCTCTACTTTTTCCTTTTTATGAATACAATATGCAATTCGATTAAATATGTTCTCAATTTTCAATAACAATTCCTTTATATTCCTAGAAGTATGTACCTGTAAAAGTTATTACACGATGAGTTGTTGAAATTAAAATAATGTTTTATATTCGAGCACTAATGATCAATGCAAAATTTAATTTTCAGATGTATTTGATGTTTGGGTAAGTTTTTAAATTTAAAAAAACAAGTTAAGCCAAAGAACCAAAGACGTAATATCCACGTTTTTATATTTCTCAATATATAATGGTTATCATATCAGATCCTACTAAAATGAAATTTGATTATATTTATTTTGATTACAAACAAAAAAATTTTTTTTATATATTAAACACAAGTATTTTCATTTGCTATATTGTTTGTCCATGTTTCTGTTAATATTTACTCTTATTGTAAATTCTATAAATGAATCATAATTAACTAAAGTATATAAAATTTATGATGATGTATGAGTTTGCAAGAAAATCTGTATAATGCAATTTGGTGTACTCCTCATTTATGGTCATATCACCTTTTATCATAGTCAGCTTGGTCCACCAGATTTTAAGTAACTCTTTACTACTAAAGCTACTAGTACCATAAAAATGTTAACTGCTCGAATGAACGAGGTAAATCAAAGTAAATCGTTGAAGCTTTGAACTGAAAACAATGGAAGAAAATGCTGTGCGAACTTGGTCGGATATAATAAGTAATTATGAGTTTACTACGGCTTGCTACTACTCAAGCATTTCAGTTGCCATCTTCTACAGTGAGAATATTTTGTAGGTAATTTAGATAAAAAAAAAAACTGAATTTGTTACACAAAAACATGAACCTGTCAAATAATAACAATAATAAACATTTTTTTCCGAGCATAAATTACAAAAATTAAAGCAACAAAAAATAAATATACATATAAATGGAAAAGATTACTACCGGCTGGGATAAGCATAAGAGCAGCTACTCAATTGCTACTGCAGTGCTGAGCATCCGCCGGCAGCACCGGAGTGACATACCTATCAACATCAGACCGAACGACCATTTATTGCAGTATATCAATAGTTTTCTTGCTTCAAATATCTATAATTATTGTATCAATGGCTCAACGGAATAAAAAAAAACTACTGATAAGCCTCCTATGACTTAGTAGGTACATTCCGACAAGTCTGGGGTTGTGCATAACCAATAATCATATGGGAGAGACTAGAAGCCAGTACAAAAAGGAGGGTAATTTTTCTGAATGAAATATCTCAACTATGCCTGTATGTATTTTGTTTACCTATCTTTATATATCGTCCTTTCGCATTAAAAGTGTACAATTTCCAAAAATATTCGAAATTGAGTTAATATGCGGAATCATTTGGTATCACCAGTATTTTTCTCATAAATACTGTCAAAAGAGCGTAGGTTTTTTTTTAGTTTACCTATATATTAGTTACCATTAACAAAATTAATACATCATTTTATGTTACTTTAAAAGACAGATAATGTAACTGTTAAAAAATAAAAAATAAATATTGCAAAGATGATTACATAATTTTAAACCTTTAAAACACTCTCCTGTAAAATTAGTAAGTTTTGAGATTTGAGATACAGTTGGCTATGACCTTCACGAGAGATGGAAAGTCATCGATCATGTGGCCAGGGGACAACCCTTTAAAAGCCAAAGGAAGCTAAGTTTGTGAGGATAGCCCACGTCATTACGGACCATCCCGATCCATTAACGGTGCTTTTAAGTACCTACCACAAGCACCGGTCACCGTTCTCGTCGAAACCGTCGCTTGCGACGAAGGGCTCGACGAGTAAATTAACTCATAGACACAGCCCACTGAGTTTCTCACCGGATTTTCTCAGTGGGTTGGATTTCCGATCCGGTGGTAGATTCTGCGAAGCACTGCTCTTGCTAAGGCCAGTGTTAGCAACACTCCCGGTTAAAGCCTACACGTCAAGGAGAAGCTGAAATAGCCTCTCAAGGCTGTCAGCATAGGTAGGAAAAAAAGAGGATAGTTGTTAATTCAAAAACTATGAATAGATTTTGACAAAACTTCACAAATGTATCAGCCTGTTTAACAGGCTATAATGTGGTACGATAGTTGTTCGATAGATGGCGCGCGAATAGTTTTACCAAATCGATGTTTATCACACAATCGATGATGGTCTTGCTGGACAGTGACCGGGTTATATTGGTGTCAGAATGAGCTTCCTTCAGTCACTAAGTCCACTTCACATGTATCTTGATTCTCCCACTAATCCCTATAAGCAGCAGGACATTGTGAGCGGGCGCATAAATGTACTACAACAGAGTTGAACCAGAACAATTTGGCGTCGCTGTGGAGCGGGAACTAGGTGTCTTGGGCATGGCGTGAAGGAGCTAGAACAGACTGCCCAAGACCGATGTAAATGGAAGGATTTGATTCGAGCCCTACACCCCAGCAGAGAGTAATAGGAAAGAATGATGCTGATGAACAGAGTTCCAGATCAAGGCCATTTTTATCCAAAGTTGATCTAGGCAAAATCAGTTTTTATAATATTTTAATTAAATATAAAATTGGCCAAGACATCCCTAAAAGTGAACAAAAGTAACAAATGCACAACCCTAATCACTGTTCCTAGTGCATACCTACTCCTTTATGGCTATTACTATTAATAATGAATTATTTTAATAAAATATCATTATGAAACCCAATTATTGAAATCATTCACGATCATAAGTATTATTAAGTATGAATGATCTAAGGAAAACCATAAATTGGGAAATATTGATTTTTTCCAACACAAACTATTTTCGGTTATTCCCCTAAACTTTTGACAAAGGATGAAAGAACTAACGACGATCGAAAGGGACAGATACATTAAAAAATTGCGTGTTAGACGAAGACAAAATAAGATAAGAAGTCTGTCAAAATTTTGCCAGTGTTGTCAGATTATAAAATAGAATTTGCTATAGTTATTTTTTGGATATTTGAAATATATTAAAAAACAAACACTCAAGTTAAAGGTAATACTAGGTTTAATAATTCAAACAGATCTTCATGTCCTTTTAAAGGTCGTTATATGTGGTCATTTCACGGAAATAATTACGGGTAATAGGCATGATTTAGCTATTACGGAAAGTCGTCAGCTACTGAGTTTGGGCTATAAACATGAGACCATATTACGTGGAAAATTCTCGAGACCTATATCAATGAATCAATTGTAAATATGATATTAAATCTCTGCGACTATCATTCAGATGATGTCGGTATGCGTGTGCAATTTACTTCACTGAGCACTTAAACAGAAATAATATCATCAATCAGATTTTTATACTTAAAGTCAGTTTTAGCTAACGAACTACTCTTAATTCTTATCTCCATTGCACAACGCATGAGTGCGGTGTGCGCAAATAAAGATTTTAAGGTAGGGCTTATAACGTATGACATTGGGTAATTAAATATGAAAATGGTTTAGTGACTTTACCACATTGTGTTCATTTCATTTTTTTTTATTGCCCTTGTAGGCAGTCGAGCATTCGGCCCACCTGATGGTGAGTGGTTACCGTCGTCCATGGACTTCAGCAATGCCAGGGGCAGAGCCAAGTTGCTGCCTACCGAGCCAAGCCGCTGCCTACAAAATCTAGTGACTTTTGACTAGAAACCTTGATCTTTTGTTCATACAGCAGAAGTTCACGTCTTTCTGACCGGTAGAAGCGGTAGTCGTTGGTGTTTAGTAATTCAGAACACCGAGCCGTAATGAATATTACTTTTCAGACTTCGGTGTGCGATATAACGTCGACATCGGACTTTGTGAGTCCTCGAAGTAAGATGATCAAGCAGAAACGGAAACGCGAGTTTCTGTGTACAGGTGAGCTTAGGTTCATGTGAAGCTGTGTGAAACGAGTGATTTCCTAATACTATACCGATAAACGACTAACACAACATAATGGAGGCAAAACTCAGGGAGATTTTTTTTATTATTATTGTTCTTGTAAGCAGACAAGCATAGAGCCCAACTGATGTGAGCGGTTACCGTGGCTCGTACGAGCCGACCTTTCGTTTGAAGAAAGACTTGTCATAATTTGTGCTTTGTGAAGTAAATGTCTTTCGCTTTTTTTTTGTGTGATGGTGCTTTTTTTCACCTTGTAGACTGCCTTTTCCGCACACAAGCCTCCCCTAAGGTTCGCTGCTATACCAGGTTCTACGCAGACTGCCTCGTGGAAGGCCACCGAAGCGGCGCTTTTTCGATGTACCGTCGCTACTTAGAACTTTTATGCTTCAGCGGTCATCTGTTATGGCAGCTGCCTTGATTTTACTGTGAAACTCCTCTTTGCTGATTCGATTTCACATTTCAACCTTAACGCCATAGAAATATGGCTAGTCTATTCTCCAAATCAGTTCGTACAATTGGGACTTTCTAGAAATAAATGTGAAGATTTTTTTTATGTGTTTAGATATATTAATAAAACAAAATACTTTCCGGGAATTCCCCCAATAATGGTAAAAGATAGCTTTCATTTTTAATGATGTCATAGGCCTGGAATGTTACAAGAATAAAAATAAATTATACCAAATATGGCTTATTTCACAAAGAATTTTATTATTAGAACTATAATGTTTATATCCAAAACAATTTTCTGATAAAAACGCGCGGTACGGGTCGTAGTCTGGAAAGCCCTGCACTAGACTACGATGAATTAGAGAGTGAAATACATACATATATATTTATATACATTTAAATAAATACATATATTCCCGAGCGCTATCACATGTCCTTCTTCAAACGAGGCTTGTGGAGAGTACTTAAGGGTAGGCAGCGGCTTGACTCTGCCCCTGGCATAGCTGAAATCCATTTGCGACGATGACCACTCACCATCAGGTGAGCCGTGCGTTCGTCTGCCTGCTAGGGCAATAAAAATTAATATTAAATAATTGTTAACACCATCGTCAGACATCATAGGGGCGAACTGGTGATCGAGTTAAGAAAAATATTACACAAAACACGTTTGCTGTCTTAGAACAATTTAGAAATCTTCTCTTGACGTTAGTAAACGAAAACGAATGACAGTTCATAGGACGGGGGCACCGTTCTTCAAGCAGGCTGGTTGGTAAGTGTGATGGCGTCTACGCGCCTCCGTAGGCTAGACTCTGTCGTAGCACAAAGTTAGCCAAGTCCCGACCACATCGCAATCGTGCTGTTACCTCTCACAAATTGCGCCGCTTTTCGTTTTGCTACCGAACTAATGACCGTCTCCGACATGTATATAAACATAAAAAAAATTAGACTAAAAGCAAACAAATTTGTTCATCGCACGAATATTTGCCCGTCGTGGAGACCCAAGACTTGGTCTAGCAATCAGGGCTGCCAAATACTTTATCACCATTCTTATTTACTTAGGAAAGTATAGTATTGTCACGCGCTTGGGTTCGGGATAAATAAAAATCTTACCGAAGTACAGATTAAAACTGTATTAACACTTAAAACACTTAAAAATTCTCAATTCATTTCTTCCGCTTCGCTTCAGGTGATCCGTTCCATGTTTGGCTTCGAATAGTTCCGATTACTAACTGTCTCCGGGTCATTACTGCAATGCTTTTACAGTCGATACGAAATCCCCAGAATTATGGAGAACATTCCGCTCAAGTCGAGTATTTTCGATATGCGTTTTCGCCATTTGACAATAGATGGCATTGTAGTCCTCGAGCGTTTTAGGATTTACTGGTTCTTTTGATATTCGTTTCTGCTATTTGACAATAGATAACGTTGCTCTTACCGGCGTAACAGTATCTTGCAGAGGATTTGAATACCAGCATAGTCGCATCGTTGTGAATCTTGTGAACTTAATCATTGGGTCACAGATGCCTCAAAGAAAGAATTGAATTCGTAGATACGCTCAATTAAATATAGCTATGCACATATTCCCGCCGTCATAATTTTTTCAAAAATAAATTAATATGTCAATATCCGAGACATTAAGACTCCTCGCGCACTAGGCAGCCAGACGAATATATGGCGTTGTATGGGAGCCCGCGTACATAAGCAGCCCGAAGCCCTTGGCTGCGGCCGCCAATACAACGTGCCTATCGAACGGCAGCCAGAGCGAGTGCTGGCGAATGTATGTGGCTGCTCTCAGTATCCGCGCACTTGCTGTAGCAGCCAATACATATTCGTTTTGCTAAATGTTAGTTATATGACACAGCATGCTTGCACAATTTCTTGTATTAAAAAAAAACCGATATAGATAGATATAGATTATAGAATAAGCCTTTTGAATGCCGTTCTAGAAAAAGAGGATGAATCCAGTGTCTTTTATTTGCTTTGCGTTTTTTACGAGATAAAGTCCAAATCGCTCGACGAAAATATCATAAATTGGCGTCGATTAGCTGCTATAACTAACTGGCTGCTCAAATGTTTCGATTGCGGCTGCCTGGCTGCCTAGTGCGCAGGGAGCCTTAGATTCTCCGGTAACAAATTAAACATAGTTTGTAATTACAATTCTCAGAAATTCTTGGAAGATAAGACGCAAGGTTCATACAATGGGTGCTTTGTTTTCATAAAGACAACCCAAAACTAAAATAACGTCACAACAAACAATACTAACCGTTGTCCCAAGGCAGTGGACATACTTGTTTCGTAGGCGACATTCCGAAAAGGCGATGTCTCTGTCCATTTAATGCCATACGTAATAAAAATGTTATAGCAATGAACTAGAACGAGAATGCTACTTAAAAAGGTTTGTAAAATACGCATGTACATACAAGTAAGCATGAATGAGCTATTATTTTTTATTTATCGAATGAGTTCACATATAAACGAACGCTTGTTATGTAAGTTTTTGCGTATTTACTGGTGCTAGGACGTCTTGTGAGCCCGTGTTGTTGCTCTTTTAGAAGCAGCTCTTTTTATTAAAACCCGCGGTCTAAGTAAATCGGTAATTTTTTCGGACTCCTTAAGCTGTCTTCAAGACAACTAAATTTCCATCGCATTCAAAAGTCAATTTTGAAATTATATTAAAAATTCAAGAAACTCTGTTTCAATGTCACTGCTCCGAACTTGATGTCACTCTCGTCTGGATCCCAATTCATAGCGGAATTTGTGGGAATGAGCTTGCTGACTCCTGTGCCAAGGAGGCTGTTGTTATGGGCTGTAACAAGTATAACAAAATTTTTCCTCGAGATTTACATTCTCTGGCAAAATCTGATATGCTTCAATCTTGGAATGAAAGCTGGCAGATTTCTCGTCAGTCAGTAGGTAAGCATTATGGTAACTTGCAACCGACCCTGCCCTCTAAGCCTTGGTCTTCCTCCCACTGCCATCTTCCTAAAAAAATTGTCTCAGCTATAATCCGTCTTAGACTTGGCCATGTTTGCTCCCCTGTTTTTCTTGCCAAAATTAGAGTCCGTGACCATTCTCTTTGTGAGTGTGGATTAGATGAGGGTACCCTGGATCACATTTTCTTCGACTGCCCCAATATCGTATCCCCTCTTTATGATACCCTTCCCAATGACATTCCCCGGCCTATTAATATTAATTGTTTATTAACTTTAGTCTATTCTAAACATGTAAATATTCTGTGTAAATTTTTATCTGCTAATAATATTTATCTCTAAAGTAGTTAGTCTAACATATATTTGTTTGTGCTGTTCTTAAAACCACAGATTCGCGTATGGAAAAACCGACCAAATTTATTTGTATTTAGATTTAGTAATTTTTTCCCTCTCTAAGCACCTGTCATTTTTGTAAATACTTTGACATTGGCAAAATCAATGCCAAAGGCGTTGGAGCCAAATTATCTAAAAGAAGAAGAAGAAGAAGAGCCCGTGCGGGTAGGTACCACCGCTCTGCCAATTTCTGCCGTGCCAGTTATGCGGTTTGAAGGATGAGGCAGCCATTGTACTGTATAACTGAGACTTAATCATATCTCGAGGTGAGTGGCGGTAGTTACGTTGTTGCCTATGGACTCCGGTAATCATTTAACACCAGGAGGGCCGTGAGCTCACCCACCTATCCAAGTGATAAAAAAATAAATAACTGGAAACGCACAAAATCACGCACGGTCACCCAGTCTCCAATTAGGATTCCCTGTGTTACGGGTACCAAAGACTGACATACACACTTGTATACGTTTAAATATAAACACTCATAGATAGTAAACATTTAGACAAAGAGCAACCTCAGCGCCACAGTCAAGGCCGCTAATTACTGCACCATTGCGTCAGTTAATAAAAAGTCGCTGCTTAGGATAAAAATAAACACTATGGTCCGGGACGTTATGTGTGACGTTTTGCGTCTGGACAGTAGAAGCTACGAATACGGTTATCGTGGTATGTTGGTTCTTTCCACTTTGAGACATGAGTTCCAAGTCTTAATTGTATTATATCCAATAAGTCTATCTCATTTCTTAGACCGGAATGTATAACTGCTTCGTGGCAGGATTGTGAAGTTTATTTCTCGTCAATGTGACCGCATTAATAGGACTTCAGATAGTCATAGCAACTTATCATTGTATGTATTTGTAATAATAGGACATAACATGAAAGGTTTTGCGTTATATTTCCCTCTGCCTAACACATTCGAAGACTTGCAAAATGAAAGGCGGGTAGTCAAGAAAAAAATAAAACGTCGAAAAAACAAAAAAAAGAAGTAGTACATAGTAAAAAAGATTTTTTAATTCATGTGTTTGTTCCCCTTGCATAAAATTTGTTAATTTTAATGAAAATAATTCAAAATAATAGTTGATTAGTTAAATTAATATTATTGAAAAGTGCAAATATCCGTTTAATATTTTGAATTCGTTTTCGGAAAGTTTTTACAAATGTGCGAGCCCGGGGACATTACATTACATTGCGAAGGTATGTAATAATATAATTATTTAACAAAAAATACATTTATCATATAAAAACAATATCGATGATTGTGCCAGAGAGCCTAGTGCTCATCGTACGAGATTTCCTGTCGAACCGTTCATTTCGGTATCCCGCGACCTATGTCGGCCGAAGTCCCGCAAGGCTGCGCTCTCTCCCCGCTACTATTTAGCCTGTTTATTCACGCTAAACCTCGATATACCAGTTAGCCCTTTTAGCGAATGATGCGGCTACCTACTACTCGATTAGGAAGATGTCGTTCAAGTAAACTCCAGATCGCGGCCACCAATTTACGATAATGGTTTCGAAAGTGGCGCATTGACATCAACCCCACGAAAAGCACAGCCGTGCTCTTCAAATGGGTTCCTCCCGACACTACTGCTAGTATCTCGTCACCAATTAGGCGCGGTAACTCCATTTCCGCCATTAAAATCTTTGGTCAGTCCATACCGTGGGCTTCAAAGGCTAAGTACCTAGGCGTCATCTTCGACAGAGGGATGATATTCGGCCCTACATTAAGTCAGTACGCGACCGAACCGCGTTAATACTCAGTCGACTCTACGACGCTATAAATATATTTCATTATTTCCAAAATGAAATCGGGTAAAACGCAATAGCGGTTTGGTTTAATCATTATTGTTCTCTTATCGTGTTGACAGCACGCGTTTTAATTGATATTTGCAAGTATGTACTTGGTTCGTGAAAGGTCTTGCAAGTAGCTTATTAACGGGCTATGTTAAATAATAGTCACGGCAAACTAAGTTTTTTTTTATTGTCTTTGTAGGCAGACGAGCATACGGCCCACCTGACGGTAAGTGGTCACCGTCGCTCATGGACGCAGCAATGCCAGGGGCAGAGCCAAGCCGCTGCCTACCGTAGTACTTGAGTGATGTCCTAACGCTCCTATAGGCTCCTAAGGCTATAACTTCGTATTGCCCTGTGTCCCATTTTATGCAAAGAATAATTACTATATAATAACATGCTTCTGTGTGCTTTTTGAGCAAACTTAAAAGTAAACTTCAATAAACGCACGATTAAATAACACGTTTAATTTTAACAGTCTGGGAATTGTATAGTAAGCATGTGATCGTTTTTTTTCCTGTACTGATATTCTTGAGAGGCTATTTCAGCTTTACCCTAGCGTATAGTTCTCGTGGCTCAAACCGGAGGTGTTTCTAACACTGGCTCTAGCAGGAGCAGTGCTTCGCAGACTCTACCATCGGTGATCGTTTTCAAGTCACTGTCCTAGTAACAAAAGTCTTCATGTTATAGATGTGCAGCCTGCAATCAAGAGACCCGCGCCATCGATACGTGTCGGCTCCGGATTCAAATGGAACCTACAGGTATAGTTTGTAGTGTTATTCTAGTTCCATCTAGAAGTAAACATCGGTCATCATCATCATCAGCCCACAGTGGTCCACTGCTGGATATAGGTCTCTCCGAATCCACACCACGGAGCTCATCGTACCACCTAACCAGGGGGAGGCCCACGCTACGTTTTCCATTGCGCGGTCTCTGTCACGCGTCCAAAATAACCTTGCGTGACATCCTCGATAATATAGATTTTCAAAATCAGTCCATCAATTGTTGCAGAAGGCTACGAAGGGAATAGTATATAAACTTAATTAAAGGCAGGGCTCAAGTCCACTTTAGAATTTCGCTTTGTTAAATTCTGTCTGATCAACAGGCGTTGGCGCATGCGGCTGACGCGGTGCAGTCTGGCGGCAAATCACCTGTCTCCGCCCTCAACGAGCTGGGCGTTCGCGTCACCTACACCGTGCTGAACCAGGGCGGCCCAGCGCATTGTCCCAGCTTCACCGTGGCAGTCAATGTAAGTATAATAGAAAAAAGTGTATCTCAGCGAATTGTACAAGTCAATTAGATATGAATTATTAAGGTTAAATAATAATTACTACGAGCTAGAACTTGGAGGAATTAAAATGGGACCATGTCACGATTAAAAACATTGAAAGAAAAATCTAAAAAAGTTTTTTATTCGGTTAAAATTATATTATGATGATGATGATGATGATGAGACGATGATAGGTTTGAAGTTGAATCAAATAGTTAATGTCAAAGACATTACCCTGTGTAACCTTGGTTTGACCTCACATATGTTAATAAAGCTGTGTGTGTATAATACGAGTGAATACTTTTTTAATTTATTATTTTTGTTTTTAAAATTCTCACAGAAAATTGAAAATTCATGGAATTTTGAAAACGGTCGTACGATCGCTTGCGCGAGTTTCACTATCAGTAACATGTGTGCACATCAAAAAACTACTTCTAACAAAAAGTCTATAAAGACTTACGATTGCGTGACCGCTGAGTCTGTCGTAGGAAAAATCAAAACTGAAATTAAAAAAAAATCCGTTCAGAAAAAAATAATTAAATCCAAAATCCCGCAATTTTTTTTCATTGACAACACTATAAACTTTCTGACAGTTGCCTGTACGAATATTTTTGCGAATTGCGATTATTATTTTGCACAGTACTCAGAAATGGTTATTTCTAACCGAGAACGTATTCGGAGTGAGAAGTTGCGGTGAAAACAATTGAAAACTTTAAAAGTTTCATTAATTTAAAGTTCAATTTCACATTTAAAACGTCACTTTTAAAAGTTCTTTTAGTTGGAAACTTTTTCAGAGTTATCCTTTTCGGACATAATATTTTGCTGTTTTTTTTTTATTATTGTTTATTTCTTACGTATTTGCAAACTTACTTGTGTGTGTGGTGAACAGTGTAATGAACCTTTCATGAAATTCAAGTTTAATATCGATGAATAAAAATAAAAAAAACATTTTAGAAGTACGAAAATTGCCGAAAATTCGTTGCGCTTTTTTCGCAATAATCCTTGTGTGACTTATTCGGGTTGTTTAATTCATATTTGTAAAATTATTTGAATTGTGTGATTATAGTTTTAAATTGCAAGTTTTGAATGTTTACATCTACGATTTCCCTCTAAATTAAAAACAGCAGAGGGACCAATCTATGGCCTAAGATGAATTAACACTATTGTGGTAAAGTTGAGACTTCCATTCAGTACAAACTGGCCTAGTCACGGTCGCTTATAGGACCATGTAGCGGACGGTTTCTTATTTAGATTATTATACTTTCTTTGGATTTGTTAGGAGGAAGATTTTTACAATAAAATAAAATAAAATTAAGAATATCATAAGAGTATGAAGAGATTAGTATAGGGTTACTAACAAAAAAGAAACTGTTGATAGCTAAAGTTAATAGTTGTAAGGCAATTAATAGGCTAACGGCTCTTTACCTTGTACTGTAAAAATGAGACTTACAACTCATCCCGAGTAACAACTTAACGCAAGGTTGGCTGTAAGCTTGTTGGGTGGACTAAGTCTTAAAAAATTTAGCACTCTCAATTAAAAACTGATTAATAGTGGTTGATAAAGTGCTAAGGAGAGCTCATAGCAATCATACCGAAAAAGTTTTTAATGCATTTAACGAATTTGATTTAATCGACAACAGACAAAATGCCGAATAAAATGAAAAAGCTTACAAAGAAGAAAAATAAGAGTACAATAAGTAAGATTTGTAAGGATTTAAATAAAAAGAATCCAGTGATGATATTGAATGAAACGCCACACGGATTCCGATGCAAGGAAATAGGAACCTTCAGTACTCCCAATAAGACGGTCTTTGGAGTTGCGATGACTGTAAGTTTTTCAGAAATGCAAAACGATACTTCAATCGGTTGCCTTAATGATCACTGGCTTAAATATTTCTTATGTGATTTATTATCGACTCTATTTTAAACAACTTTATAAGAAAAAAAAATTTTTAATCATCTAAATAAAAACACTTCAAGCAATTGAACTCGATTAAAAAAAAGCTTTTTTTTCTCAGGTCGCCGATATGACCTTTGAAGGTTGGGGTCACAGCAAGCGTGAGGCACGCGCGTCCGCAGCCAGGGTTTGTCTCGCGGCTCTGCTCGCTCGAGCTGGCCATGTGCTGCCAGACCAGACCCGCGCCAAGGACTTCACTGTTGACGACACAACACCGTATCCCGGTAACGGAAGCTCACATTTATTTTTTATTTTTTATTGCTTAGGTGGATGGACGAGCGCACAGCCCACCTGATGTTAAGTGGTTACCGGAGCCCATAGACATCTACAACGTAAATGCGCCAACCACCTTGAGATAAGTTCTAAGGTTCAGTATAGTTACAACGGATAGATTTTATTGAACATGTTCACGGCTCATTTTGAGCCGCGTTGAGGATTTCAAGTTAACTTTCCTGAGGAGTTTTTACACGCTTTATATTAGCTTCACTTGTTTGTATGTTTGTAACTGACTCCTTTAGACACGATTTTGACCCACTTTTAAACGGACAGATTTCATTCAAACTTTGTAGATTTATCGAGGACCGATGACAATACACTAATTTGATACGATTATTCCATTATCCAATTTGCAAAATAAGATTTTTGCCAATTTATATAATTTTGATCTATAGTCGATAAAGGCAGGAATTGATGTTAAAGTACTTAATAGTTTTTATAGAAAATTGAACTAAAAAATGAAAAATAAATAATAGTTTAAAAAACTAAAAAACACGCTTTATATTAAATTCAACTAAAAAATAGAAAGTAAATTTTAATAAATTTAAATTGAAAATAGTGTAAAATATATTTAATTTCAAAAAAAGTGTGGCGTGCTTTTTAAGATATTATTTGTTATAATAACTTTCTTGAGGAGTTTTTAGGTCTTGGATTGGTTAGTTTCTCCATTTGGGAATGTTCCAAAACATCTAGATCTTTTTCAGTGAGTTTTGAAATGAACATATCCGCTTAAGGGAATATGTTCAAAATTGTATAGATAAGTGTAATAAGAGTTGTATGCTCAGCTGGTCTTAAGTGATTATTAAAACCCATAGATCAAACATTAGGAATACAACTTGGGTTTGAAGCATCAATTGCACTGTATATTTCATCGGTTGCGTGACTGCTTCATGGCAAAGATATATAGGAAACTGGTACCGAAATAATAATTTTTGTTTAATTTTATAAAATTTATTATTAACTAGCTGACCCGGCAGACTTCTTAGTGCCTAAATCGTTAAATAAAAGACCTAAACTTTTGTATAAAACAAACTTAAAACAAACGAAAGGAATCCTTCCAACAAGGGACACATCAAAGGAAAATCAAAATTTTTATTTTTATTTAATTCCGAGTATCATATTTATCTACCTTTTAAACCTTCTCTGGACTTCCACAAATAATTCAAGACCAAAATTAGCCAAATCGGTCCAGCCGTTCTCGAGTTTTAGTGACACTAACGAACAGCAATTCATTTTTATATATTTAGATAGATTGTGTAGTTACTTGTGATGGTTCTGTATTTTTTTTTTTTTATTATTGCCGTTGTACGCAGACGAGCATACAACCCACGCGATGGTGAGCGGTTACCGTCGTCCATGGACTCCAGCAATGCCAGGGGTAGAGCCAAGCCGCTGCCTACCAAAGCGTGACGCCAGATGACGTCACTCCTACCGTCACAACAGTGACGTAACTAACGAATCTCATTTCAGTCTCCGAATTCCAATGTCTCGAGAGCAAATCGAAGATTGAAGAGCAGACGAAGCAAAACGCTGTCACGGAAACAGGTGAGGGTCCCTGCTTGGTCACGAGAATCTAAGTCCAGTTGCCAATTAAAGGGTATCTTACCCTAATGTCCCGGTTCTCTTTTTTTTTATTGCTTAAATGGGCGGACGAGCTCACAGCCCATCTGGTGTTAAGTGGTTACTGGAGCCCATAGACATCCACAACGCAAATGTGCCACCCACCTCGAGATATAAGTTCTAAGGTCTCAGTATAGTTACAATGGCTGCCCCACCCTTCAAACCGAAACGCATTACTGCTTCACGGCAGAAATAGGCAGGGCGGTGGTACCTACCTACCGTAATTACGCAAATTATATTGAAGAAAGTATTTCTCCTGGTCCTATCTGTCATAGGAGCCTATAGGCCGTCTTTTTCTCGACATTTTTTTTGTTTTTTTTATTGCTTAGATTGGTGGACGAGCTCACACCCCACCCGGGCCTAAGTTGTTACTGGAGCCCACAGACATCTACAACGTAAATGCGCCACCAACTTTAAGACATAAGTTCTAAGGTCTCAGTTATGATCTTAATATTGAAATTCTCTGGTGAATCCCAGCCCAGAGTCAGATTGAGAGGAATCTGCCCACGTCGTCGCTGTTCGGCGCCACCGCCCCTACCCCGGCCTCCAAGAGCCCCATCAACGTCCTCTACGAGAACCACCCGGGGCTGCTGTTCATTTGTACCTATGGGGACGGAACACCCTTGGATTCTGCTCAGGGTAAGTCGAGTGATCGTGTAGCCAGCACCATGACCACCGTCGGCTATTTAGACGGTAGTTTGTTTTTATTTACCGTGTAAGCAGCATACGGCCGACCTGATGATGGTTACTGTGGCCCATGGACATCAGCAAAGCCAGGGGTAGAGCCAAGCTACTCGTTTAGGCAGATAAACATACGGCCCACCTGATGATGCTTACCGTGGCCCATAGACATCAGCAATGCCAGGGGTAGAGCCAAGTTACTCGTGTAGGCAGATAAACATACAGCCGACCTGATGATTGTTACCGTGGCCCATGGACATCAGCAATGCCAGGGGTAGAGCCAAGCTACTCGTGTAGGCACATAAACATACGGCCCACCTGATGATGGTTACCGTGGCCCATGGACATCAGCAATGCCAGGGGTAGACCCAAGTTACTTGCTTAAGTAGATAAACATACGGCCCACCTGATGATGGTTACCGTGGCCCATGGACATCAGCAATGCCTAGGGGCAGAGCCAAGTTACTCGTGTAGGCAGATAAACATACGGCCCACGATGGTTACTGTGGCCCATGGACATCAGCAATGCCAGGGACAGAGCGAAGTTACTCGTGTAGGCAGATAAACATACGGCCCACCTGATGATGGTTACCGTGGCCCATGGACATCAGCAATGCCCTGGATAGAGCCAAGCCGCTGCCTACCGCTAAGTGCACTCCGCAAGCCTCATTTGAAGAGGAACATATCATGTCACGTTCCATGCGATGACTGAAAATGTTCACGTAACCCCAAATGTATATCCTCTTATGGTGTCTCCTCGACAGTTCCGCTGCAGCTGGCCCACAGCATGAGGTTCAAGGTGGTCTGCCAGATCAAGGAACAGAAGTTCGAGGGTTATGGTGGGTATGGGTCTTCGTTCGGGAGGCAAAACGGTGACGTCATCACCGAACTCGTCGCGGCGTGACGTATTTTTGTTCATAAGAAAGAAAAAATATTAGCATTGTGCACTCTTTCTCTATATTCTCTATAAGTGTGGGAAATTTCATACTCCTCCGTCCGCGCAATTTTGTGAAAAGGCGTACAAAATGTTTGCGTCACGTATTAATGTACAGGGTGTTACAAAACTACCCGTAAAGCCGAATATTTAAGAACCGTAGTAGCGCTGTATAATAAACATACACAAAAAAATTAAAATAAAAAAATATTTTCACTGACGTCTTCGACAAAGCGGCACGACACAAGAACCCTCATCGTGGCCGCCGGTAACTACATTCCCGATCCTGCGGACAGAATGGAAAGCAGTCGACGTCGCCCAAAACACGTCATCTCGGATCCTCCCGATCCACTGACGGTGCTTCTAGGTACTTCAAACACCGGTCACCGTTCTCGTCGAACCCGTCGCTTGTGACGAAGGGCTCGACGAGTAAGTTAACCCATAGACACAGCCCACTGAGTTTCTCGCCGGATCTTCTCAGTGGGTCGCGTTTCCGATCCGGTGGTAGATTCTGCGAAGCACGGCTCTTGCTAGGGTTCGTGTTAGCAACGTCATTAGGTTCGAGCCCCGTGAGCTCACATACTAGTTAAGGTTACGCTGATATAGCCTCTCAAGGCTATCAGCTTAGGTAGGAAAAAAAAAGGTGATTACGTTGCGAAGTTTTTTCTATGTATTTATATTTTTTGTGTTGCCACGATCGACCGGTCGATCGCGATTTACCGGTTGGTCACCCTTGATGCTCTATGCGTGTCAGTGGAGCTACTAACATGTCCAGGTTCGAGCAAGAAGCTGGCGAAGTTGGCGGCGGCCCGCAGCGCGCTGGCCGTGCTGGAGGAGGGCCGCGCCGACATCGCGGACAGCCTGCTGCCCTCCGGCTACCTCTCGCAGACCCTCGCCGACCACATAGCCAAGTTCAGTGCCACTCTAATACAGCTGTTATTTATTACTTTTATTTATTTTTACTGGTGGTAGGACCTCTTGTGTGTCCGTGCGGGTGGATACCACCGCCCTGCCTATTCCTGCCGTGAAGCAGTAATGCGTTTCGGTTTGAAGGGTGGGGCAGCCGTTGTAACTATACTGAGACCTTAGAATTTATATCTCAAGGTGGGTGGCGCATTTACGTTGTAGATATCTATGGGCTCCAGTAACCACTTAACACCAGGTGGGCTGTGAGCTCGTCCACACATCTAAGCAATAAAAAAACCCTACCAGTATAAACTGGTCCCTTGCACCCATAACGCGACTGTATACGCCAGGGCTCTTTTTATCCATCCTCCGAAATCTTATACGACCCTTTGAACTCTTACAGTCTCGTGAACAGCAAATTCAGTGAGATGATGAAGAATGACGTCATACATTCGAAGAGGAAGGTCCTGGCCGGGATCGTGATGACGACCGACAGCAAGGTCGACGGTGCCAAGGTGATGTAGTACACGTGCTACTGGTTTTTTTTATTTCTTCTTTACTTTTTGGCTCCGGTACGGTTTGTGCATTAGCCAATGTCAAGTAATAAGATTTTTATAATTAGTTTTTTTAATTATTTACAGTTTATGAATAATAATAAACGAAGGAAACTAATTGGGAATGAGATGAGATGAAATGAAATATAATCTCAGTTAATTGGTGTAATTTTTTTCCCCCACATTTGTGCATTTTCACAGCTGATAACTAAACAGTTAATAAACCACCGACCACCGTTATTACATATTTTAAACCTGAAGAAACACTAAATAGGCAAAATAAAACAAATCACCTCGCGTTCCCTTCTTTTTTAAATTTCATTGTGTTTGTTTGCTGGTGACCCCGCGTGGTCCCCCCGTGGTCCCCCGTTGTCCCCCGCGGTCCACCCTGGGGGGCCGGCTGTCGTCACTGACCCTCGAGTGCTACAGGTGATAGCGGTGGCGACGGGCACCAAGTGCGTCTCCGGCGAGCACATGTCGGTGCGCGGCCGGGCCGTCAACGACTGCCACGCGGAGGTGGGTATCTCTTTCTCTTTCATATGATAGCAGAGGTGGATATCTCTTTCTCTTTCATATGATTGAAGGATTGCTGGTAGGCCTGGCTTCAGCGAAGCACGGCTCTTGCTAGGGCTAGTGTTGGCAACGTCGTCAGGTTAGAGCCCCGTGAGCTCACTCACTCGTTCTGCGAATCTAGCATAACCCCTCTAAGGTTACTAGAATAAGTAGGCACAAAGTTGGCCCGGAGACCTTTTCACCAACCAGGAGGGGTGCGATTTGCTAACTGCCCGAGCGCCTCTGAAGGAGATCTAACAACTAAAAAGCAGCTGCAAATGAACCTACTACGGGATCGGAATCGCGATCCATTGAGAAATTCCGGCGAGAAACTTATAGCTGTCAATGTATAATAGTGTCGCGTACTTAGCGCGCAATGGAACGACCTCGCGTCTTGAATATGGACCTACTGAGCGACATAAGTACTTAAGTACATTCGAATTTACATACTAAGGCAACTACTGAGGAATTGTTCGAGATGATACCAGCATCTCGTTTTTACCATCGCACCGCCCGCCACCGGAGTAGAGTTCATCCATACTACCTGGAGCCACTGCGGTCATCCACAGTGCGTTTCCAGAGATCTTTTTTGCCACGTACCATCCGGCTATGGAATGAGCTCCCCTCCACGGTGTTTCCCGAGCGCTATGACATGTCCTTCTTCAAACGAGGCTTATGGAGAGTATTAAGCGGTAGGCAGCGGCTTGGCTCTGCCCCTGGCATTGCTGAAGTCCATGGGCGACGGTAACCACTCACCATCAGGTGGGCCGTATGCCCGTCTGCCTACAAAGGCAATAAAAAAAAAAACTACGGTAAAAACATATATGAGGCCGTCAGTGCAAAAGTGGCCTATTTTCTTCTGCCTATTCGCTGGTAGCCTATGAGGCTATCCCAGCTATGTCCGGATGGGTAGTTGAGCTCACGGACTCAACCTGAACGAGTTTCCTAACACTAGCCCTAGCAAGAACAATGCTTCGCTGAATCTATCATCAGATCATAATCGCGACCCACTGAGAAGATCCGGCGAGAAACTCAGTGGGCTGTGTCTGTGGGTTCATTTAATCGCCGATCCCTTCGTCTCAAACGACGGGTTCGGCGAGAACGATGACCGATCTTTGTTCATTAATGGCTGTATGTTGTGAAGCATGGTTTCGGATTTAAGAAATCGACCTCATGTCTCAAGGTGGGTTACGGAATTCATTTTGTAATTTCAATAATCTCACCGACCACACTTAACATCACGTGGACCGTGCTATTATTGTTATTACGTAAAATAATAGGAAGAAAAGTACCAGGGTGTTATGATATCAAAGAGATATATTATTATAACTCTGCTTTGACGTATGTACAGCCTTCTTTATTAATTAACGGCTGTATGCTCTGAAGTATGGATTCGGGTTTGAGAAATCAACCTCATGTCTCAAGGTGTGTCACGGAATTCATTTTGTAATTTCAATAATCTCAGGTAACCCACTTAATATCACGTGGACCGTGCTATTATTGTTATTACGTAAAATAATAGGAAGAAAAGTACCAGGGTATTATGATAGCAAAGAGATTTATTAATAATTAACGGCGGTATGTTCTGAAGCATGGTTTCGGATTTGAGAAATCGACCTCATGTCTCAAGGTGGGTCAAACTTCACGAACCTCAGGAACCCCANAATAATCCCAGGTAACCCACTTAATATCACGTGGACCGTGCTATTATTGTTATTACGTAAAATAATAGGAAGAAAAGTACCAGGGTATTATGATAGCAAAGAGATTTATTAATAATTAACGGCGGTATGTTCTGAAGCATGGTTTCGGATTTGAGAAATCGACCTCATGTCTCAAGGTGGGTCAAACTTCACGAACCTCAGGAACCCCACTTAACACCACGTGGACCGTGCTATTATTATTAATTTATAGGAAGAAAAGTACCAGGGTATTATGATATCAAAGAGATGTATTATTATAACTCTTCTCCGACGTTACAGCCTTCTTTATTAATTATATTCTGAAGTATGGATTCGGATTTGAGAAATCGACCTCATGTCCTCAAGGTGGGTCACGGAATTCGAATTGATTTCACGAACCTCAGTGACCACTTACCATCGCATGTATAGGTGGCGGCCCGGCGCTGCCTGCAACGCCACCTGTACACCCAGCTGCTGCTTTACGCCTCACAAAAAGGTCGGTACGCTAGCGCCATCTGCCGACAAATAGTTTCCAATGCGAACATGTTTCCGGTACAGATGTAGTGAGAAATTAATGACCTTCAGGAAAACTCGGATCTTTATCGGAATACGATGACACCTGAACTGTCAATTAGTGACATTTTCATATACATTAATATGGAACTTTATTGTTTAGTGTCAAATGTCAAAATGAATAATGTCATTGGTACTGAACCTATTTGAGAGAGCACACGATAAATACGAACTTTTCCCGAAAAATTAGGAGCAAAAATCTTTTCTCACTATATCTATAACTCATAAATACAGTAAAACTACGACCCCGCCTAATTCTGCCGTGAAGCAGTAATGCGTTTCGGTTTGAAGGGCGGAGCAGCCGTTGTAACTATACTGAGACCTTAGAACTTATATCTCAAGGTGGGTAGCGCAGTACGTTGCAGATGTCTATGGTCTCCAGTAACCACTTAAAACCAGGTGGACTGTGAGCTCGTCCATCCATCTTCATATCGAAACGCATTACAGTGGTGGTACCTTCTCGTGCGAACTCGCATGAGGTCCTACCACCAGTAAGTTTTACTTACGGATGGGTAGTTATGAGACCACAGTACAAGACTCCATTCTCAACTATAAGGGTACATATATAAATAAATAATTAGGAAAAAATCTCAACTGGTCACCTGATTCCAAATTAGGATCCCCTATATTAAGAGGACCGAAGACCCGACATATAACCCGTCGGAAATATCTGTGAAGTTGGCTCAATGACGTCATGCAAACTAGGGAGATTGCAAAAAATTCAAGATGTTGGAAAAAAATACCAGATGTAAAATTATTATCTATTTTTAGTATCTATTTTTTTTAATACGCTTTTATTAGCTTTAGACGTGTATTCTTTTTTTTTTATTGCCCTTGTATGCAGACAAGCATACGGCCCACCTGACGGTGAGTGGTTACCGTCGCCCATGGACCTCAGCAATGCCAGGGGCAGTGGTTACTCACCATCAGGTGGGCCGTATGCTCTCGTCTGCCTTCTACAAGGGCAATAAAAAAAACATACATACAAGTGAAGCTAATATAAAACGTAGAAAAAGCGTGGTCCTATACCACTAGTAAAAACCGCGTTGACCCGCCAGACCCCCGAAAGCCGATCCCCGAAGCGGACATCGAGCCCGCGGAGGGGGGCGGCTACCGACTCCGCCCCGACCGGCAGCTACACATGTACGTGAGCACCGCGCCCTGCGGGGACGGGCGGATATTCAGCCCACACGAGCAGCTACAGCATGAGCCGGACCGACATCCCAACAGGTAGGGGGGCAGGGGAGAGGGGGCAGACTGTAATATTGTACTTTGGGAGGTGTTAAAGGAAAACGTCTTCTTGCGTGTATTCCATGCTTAACAATCATCTTTATCCTAGTTTACAATTATAAAGAAGCCCATGTTTCCGGGTGGTCCGCCTTATTAGGGTGACATACGAGATTACACCTATTAATTATGTTATATACTAAATGCTATGCTAATGCTATATGTATGTGTACATATATGTATATGTATTTCACTGGATTGGTACACCGCGCGTAGTTCGTTTCCAAATGATCCTTGTCCACCTGATGGTCTGGAAGAGATCGCTCTTAGCGATAAGACCGACAATTGTACTTTTTTGTGTTTAATGTATCGCACTGTTTATTTGTTTTTTGTTGTACAATAAAGAATACTCTCTCTCTCTCTCTAATACTATGCTATGCTATGCTATAATATATAAGTATACACACTTCAAGAGGTTCCAACACGGGGTCCAAAGATTAGCATCTCCGAGTACGCAAACACAATGGGGGGGGGGTCCCTCAGTAGTCCCCCAGTAGTCCAAATTCGACTATAATTAATTGACATTATTATTTTTTCATACACTTTGCCAAGAGAGAGGGAAAATGGGAGAAGATGGTATGAGGAATGCGACTCAGGGAGGAGGAGGCAGACGATGATACGGACAACCTGATGGTGAGTGAATACCGTCGCCCATGGACCACAGCAATGCCAGGGGCAAAGCAAAGCCACTGCTTACCGAACTACTGCCAAAATGAGTAAAACTTAACAATTTGTTATATCCGGAAAACGCCAAGAGATTTTTACGAAGTTGGGACGGTATAATGCCGCTAAGCTCACGTAAGCACTAAAGGCTTTAAGCTCGTACTTATTGCGGCGCGGGCAGGTTGGCCCGGGGACAGCTCCGCACGAAGATAGAGTCGGGCGAGGGCACGATCCCAGTGAAGAACTGCAACAGCTTGCTGCAGACCTGGGACGGTGTTATGCAGGTAGGTGTCAAGAATTTTTATTTTTTGATGATAACCGCACTCAAAACTGATTGCTGGCGTGGCGACGCCGCGCTATGTGATAGTAAAATTATGCCAATTTCTTCCCAAATATTGTCACATTATCTCGATATGACTAGAGTGTCGAGTCGTATACAGGTTGGTTTTTAGACACATCTATTAATAATTCGTCATCATGTGTGGAGAATTTCTCCATTTTGACGTGCAACGTGGCCGGGTCGCGCGGCAGCACTGCTCCACTAACAATAGCGTCGTTATCTACCCGATGATATGTAGGCGAAGTAAAATGTCCCTTAGAAATAAGGTGACACTCTACAAAACTTGCATACGCCCCGTCATGACCTATGCAAGTGTAGTGTTCGCTCACGCGGCCCGCATACACTTAAAGTCATTCCAAATCATTCAATCCCGTTTTTGCAGGATAGCCGTCGGAGCCCCGTGGTTCGTCAGGAACGTCGACCTCCATGACGACCTGGACTTAGAGTCCATCAGTAAGTATCTTCAGTCGGCGTCCATGCGCCACTTCGATAAAGCGGCACGACACGAGAACCCTCTCATCGTGGCCGCCGGTAACTACATTCCCGATCNTCAGGAACGTCGACCTCCATGACGACCTGGACTTAGAGTCCATCAGTAAGTATCTTCAGTCGGCGTCCATGCGCCACTTCGATAAAGCGGCACGACACGAGAACCCTCTCATCGTGGCCGCCGGTAACTACATTCCCGATCCTGCGGACAGAATGGAAAGCAGTCGACGTCGCCCAAAACACGTCATCTCGGATCCTCCCGATCCACTGACGGTGCTTCTAGGTACTTCAAGCACCGGTCACCGTTCTCGTCGCTTGCGACGAAGGGCTCGACGAGTAAATTAACTCCCAGACACAGCCCACTGAGTTTCTCGCCGGATCTTCTCAGTGGGTCGCGCTTCCGATCCGGTGGTAGATTCTGCGAAGCACGGCTCTTGCTAGGGTTCGTGTTAGCATCGTAGTCAGGTTTGAGCCCAGTGAGCTCACCTACTAGCCACAGTTACGCTGAAATAGCCTCTCAAGGCTATCAGCTTAGATAGGAAAAAAAAAAAAAAACGTCGCGACCACGGTCGCTTGCGTTGTTTAGGGTTCCATATAAATTCAAACTAAGCAGTAAGTCGCGCGACCCGGGCGCGGTCGCCTGTCGCAGTCGTCGGTCGCCTGTCGCCAACATCGGAATGCTACCATTAGCGGCAAACGTTCCAACTCCATACATATTCGAGTTAACTTTTACGCTATCGAGAACGTTAAAACGCTGGCACTAATCACCGATCTGTTCGTTTGTCAGGGCGAGCGTCTCCTGACGATGTCGTGTTCTGATAAAGTGGCCCGCTGGTGCGTCCTCGGCCTGCAGGGCTCGCTGATGTCCACGCTGCTTGCGCCCGTGTACCCGACCTCGATAGTGCTGGGCTCGCTGCTGCACCCGCACCACTTGTACAGGTCAGTCCGGCGCCGCGCGCTCTAGGGGCGGTCGACCCTTTTTTTTGAAGTGAAACTTTAGGATCGTTGTGATTTCAAACTTTAGGACCTGTTGTGAGTCCGCGCGGGTAGGTACCACCGCCCTGTCTATTTCTACCGTGAAGCAGTAATGCGTTTCGGTTTGAAGGGTGGGGCAGCCGTTGTAACTATACTTGAGACCTTAGAACTGATATCTCAAGGTGGGTGGTCACCATTAAGAACAAGTTATGAACAAGTTTATTTGCTCTTTTACCGAGTGCTTAATCCTACTTCCTACTACTAATATTATAAACGCGAAAATTTTTAAGAATGTATCTTCTTTCTCTTTTTCTCCGCCTTATCCTACTAGGTGGGGTCGGCACAGCTAATTTTTCTCTTCCATTCTCTTCTATCAGCCGTCAGCTCAACACTCACTCCTCTCTCTCTCATATCCTCATTCACACACTCCATCCATGTGTTCTTCGGTCGACCTCTTCCCCCTCCACCTTACACTACCATTTCCATACATCTCCTTTTATACATCTCTCCATACATCTCTTTTTAAGAATGTATGTATGTATGTTTGTTACTCGTTCACGCAAAAACTACTGAATGGATTTTAATGAAACTTTACAATAATATAGCTTACTTATCAGAATAACACATAGGCTATAATTTATAAAGATACAGCGTGAATTACTCAAAATGTAACGATAAGTGTCACACCTATGTAATGTTTATCTTAAATAGTTTTATTTTATTTTGTTATTGCTTAGTTGGGTGGACGAGCTCACAGCCCACCTGGTGTTAAGTGGTCACTGGAGCCCATAGACATCTACAGCGTAAATGCGCCACCCACCTTGAGATATAAGCTCTAAGGTCTCAGTATAGTTACAACGGCTGCCCCACCCTTCAAATCGAAACGCATTACTGCTTCACGGCACGGTCCTACCACCAGTAAAATAGTTACAGGAGTCCATGGACATATCGATTTGTGACGCGCGGCTACACTGTCTCGTTCTTCTGTTGCTATAATTCATATTATTATTTATTGCTTAATTAATATGCTTACGTCTAAGTATTGCGTGAAGAACTGAAACACGATTACGTTTTGAAATTTATAAATTTATTTATATATATGTAGTATATAATAATATATATATTACTGTATAGAGTATGGTGACTTCCGTTGCGTGGCCACATAATAGACGCCGCGGGCACTTGAACACACAGAAATACAAATAAATTTAATAATAAAGACTAAAATTACTATGGTGGAATATCAACCATATTGACAGGTCACAAGGGCTATTTGGCTTAAGCGATATTTTTGCAACTTTACAGGATGAGCGATTTGAGGATTAAAATTTGAAAAAAAATCTATACATATATAAAAAAATTGGAGTGTCTGTTTGTAATATTAAAATAACCGCTTTTTACTACATGCATATGAATATATTATATACGGTACATACACCAAAGTAACATTTTTTACAATTTTTGTGTCTGTCTGTTTGTTCCGGCTAATCTCTGGAACGGCTGGACCGATTTTGACGAGACTTTCACTGATAGGTAGCTGATGGAATAAGGAGTAACTTAGGCTTCTTTTTTAAACCTTACGACGTTGCTAACACTGGCCCTAGTAAGAACCGCGCTTCGCAGAATCTACCACCGGATCGGAAACACGATCCACTGAGAAGATCTGGTGAGAAACTCAGTGGGCTGTGTCTGTGGGTCAATTTACTCGCTGAGCCCTTCGTCGCAAGCGACGGGTTGGGCGAGGACGGTAACTTACAGTAGACGTTGTCGGCATTTCTCCAAATCAGCGTTTATTTTGGCGCCAAATGGCGTAGCATATTTAAAAAAAATACCTCTCCCAATTTTCCAGAAGAGGAAAGATTTCGGTCGTACAATTGGAATATTTTTAAGTTTATAGTTAATTACTGTTTTAAGCAATAACTTTTTTGTACGTAAAAAAATGAATTCAACACAGCGTTGTCTTCGGTTTTCGCGGGCCATATACACAATTGAAACTATTGTAACGATTTATCTAATACTCGACATCAAAACTCAAGTCAAACAAATGGCCATACCTTAACATAATATGCTTAGTTATAGTTGTTGCAATGTACGACTACGCGCCGCCCTTAGTTGTGTGAATGACCAATCTGTATACGCGTCAATGTAGGCGAGAGCACGTAAGGTCAGCAAACAAAAAATCGTTAATTCTTGCTATGGATTTTTATATTTTAAGTTTTTTTTTATTTACTTATTAGGAGTGGTCAGAATCTATATATATATATAAAAATGAATTGCTGTTCGTTAGTCTCGCTAAAACTCGAGAACGGCTGGACCGATTTGACTAATTTTGGTCTTGAATTATTTGTGGAAGTCCAGAGAAGGTTTAAAAGGTAGATAAATATGAAAATACTCGGAATTAAATAAAAATGACAATTTTGTTTTTCGTTTGATGTTTCCCCCGTCGGGCGGATTCCTTTTGTTTGCTTTAAGTTTATTTTATACAAAAGTTTAGGTCTTTTATTTATCGATTGAGGCACTACGAAGTCTGCCGGGTCAGCTAGTAAAAAATAAACAAGATCGTTAAAGTAACTACTAATTTACATTGCGTTTTCTTTAACTTTTAAGATTTGATATGCTGACCGTACTTCGTGAACAATAGCAACTTAGAAATAAATAAGGTCACGCGCTCCTATTTTGCAACAACTATTACCTAGTAGGTATCTGTGTGAAAGGAAAAAGGGGAATGTAAATAAAATTCGTTCATATAGAAAATTTGACGGTAGCTAACAAAATACGACCACGAAAACAGCGGACTATCCGTAAAATTAGTTCCAATTAAACCCGTTCTCATCCGCTGCTGCTTACGGATAACCTATCCCCACCCAGACCCAAAATTTTCTTGAAGAATCCATTAAACGCTGAACCTTTGCTCGCGTCTATATTGTATGAGAAAGGCGTCCCGAACAACGCTGGTTTCGCGCCTATATAACTATTCGTCTCCCGACTAAAATGGCTCAGTTCTGTGTGGCCATTTCGGATCATGGTGCTTATCTCTCTAGCCAACGAGACGACAGGCAACACGTTTCGGTGGTTCCTCAATAAACCCAAAAGACTAAAAGCGTTAATATTCTCGTTTCTCTTGAACGAGGGTAGGAATCGTTTTTCTCTTTTGATTATATTATCATTTACGTATCGATTAATTTTGTATACGCCTCGAATAACAGCAACAGGATTGAGCTTCCTTAATGGTAATGCTGCTTGTTTATGGGTATGTTTGTCTTTCGAATCCTCAATATCGATTTTGTTTGGTTTTGTAACGATATTATCTGTCGATTCTTTATCGATTTTTGTATCTTTCGCTAAATGTTTATCAGCTTCTCTCTTAGATATTTTCAGAATAGTTCCTTTTCCAAACTTCATGTTATTTGGGTTGACGTCTTTAGATTCGTGTACTGCGTTCATGTTCGTTTTACTGTGAACGTAATCTTCGATTGATTGTGCTCTGCGATCTTCAGTGAGTAAATCGTAGGTCAGGAGTGCTGTGTTTGGTCGCGTGTCGGTTTGGGGACCATCACCTGTAAGCGAATAAGGGGCGGGTGTGAGGCAAGCCAAGTGCACAGTGAAACGTCATGCTAAAGCTTTGAACTTGAGCTTGAATTTGTTTTTTTTTGTAATAAAAGCTTATTGTATGTGAAAAGTATTAGAGACTCTGCTAATTGTGCGTTTATCGGTTATCATATTTCGAAAGTGCTTTGTAATGGATGCGTCTGGAACAGTCTAAATCGTGCACAGAATGTTGATAAATTTATGATTTCTTGTTTTGTTGCCTTTTGCGTGCAAACGAAGGTCATCAAGAACACATTTTTATATATAGAAGGATAACAGTTGAGTCAACCGCGACCACGAAAACTGTGGTGAAGCAGCAGTAGTTTTAAACCTTTGAGCGCGAACCGTCAATTTATCGACTCTATTAATGCATATAAATTGCCGAGCGTCGGAAAATCGACTATTTGCGCAGTTCGATAACAGGTATTAGGAATCGACCAGTGCGGAAGTGACTTAGCGCGCGAACATTTAACGTTTTTATTAAGCTAATAACATTTATAAATCACTATTTAAAATTATTTTGCTGTGAATTTAGAATTGATGTTAATAATAATGTATATTTATGTTATGTATTTATGTTATGTATGTGTATGTTAATGTATATTTTTAAGTTAGATTTTATTTATGATGAAAATAAAGTACATTTTAAAAGAATCCTTCAGCAAATTCTGCAAATTATGTGAAAATAAGCTCAGCACTAAAAGAGCTAGTGGGTCGTTTTCAAATTTGGGGCCAAAAGCGAGTTATTTGATTTAATTCTCATAACTTTAATGTTACCGTAATTATAAGTACAGTAAATTTGTTGTCATGACAACAGGCACGTGGTCATATAACTATACATTCGTAAACTCTGTTAAATTAGGAGTTATACATTAAAAACTACCCCAAATCTCATTCGTATCACTGGTCCGAAATTCTAATTCTAACTTGTTTGCTATTTTTCCAGTAATGCGTGTCGAAATTCGGCAATTTTTTTTCAATCATTATAATTGGCTTTATCAAATGCGTAAAAGGAAAAAATATAAATGACTTAATTGTGATGAAGCATTTTTTATTCTGAACCTGCCTAAATAGAAAAAAACGGAAAATTAGAGAACATTTTAAATTCATGAAATCGTTACTTTTTTGGCCGCAAAATTGAAAACGTTCCTAATTATGATAGACATATATAGGAATCTTAGTTATTATATCTGTGATAGTGCTTTGTGACAAACAATCGGTGATGTCCACATCTAGCAACAGAAAGCTATACTCACGGATAAAGAAAGGACTGTCATGAATCAATCTCAAATATGATCCAATGTTGACCAAAATTCTGCTACATATTAACAAATTCCAAATCCGTTCCAACACTTGTGCAAGCATTTTTTTAAGTGCCTCTCATAACTCTAAATTGAGTGGTCCCAGATTGGAGTGCATTCAGATCTCTTTGAAAACACCAATAGACGTTTTCTTGCACTAAAATGTGTTTTAAAATGGTCCCAGTGGTGCTCAAGAGAGCCACGTGTGACTAAGATGTACTTTAGAAGGGTCACAAAAGTGCCAATAGTGCCCAAGACTGCCACGTGTGAATAAGATTCGCTTTACAAGAGTGCCAATAGTGCCAATAGTGCCCACGATTGCCACGTGTGATGTACTTAAGAAGGATCCCAAGGCTGCCAAGTGTGACTAAGATGTACTTAACAAGGGTCCTAATGGTGCCAATAGTACCCAAGGTTTCCACGTGTGAATAAGATGTGCTTTAGAAGAGTGCCAATAGTGCCCAAGATTGCCATGCATGTGTGCCTAAGATGTACTTTAGAAGGATCCCAATGCTGCCAATAGTTCCCAAGGTTGCCAAGTGTGACTAAGACGTGCTTTAGAAGTGTCCCAATGGTGCCAATAGTGCCCAAGATTGCCACGTGTGAATAAGATGTGATTTAGAAAGACCACAAAGCGCCAAAGCTTTAGATGATACGGACTTATCTCTTACTTCCTATCGACCCCGAATCCCATGTGTGTGGTTTTCTCAAATTCGCATCCGCCACTGGAGTACCTCCTCCACGAGGTGCATTCGGTGGCGAGGAACGAACGCGGCCGGATAACAGATTCCGTGTAGAACTGATACGAACGCCAGTGGCTGCAGAAGACTGAATGGATATTGCCAATGGCGAAATCTTAGTTGGACGGTGTCTGATCTTTAAATTAATATGGATGAGACGGAATCTTGGGGTGCCGAAGGTTGCTGAGATATTTATAAATATAATATGGCTCGAAGGACCAATGTTTTGGTGCGGGCTGTATATGGGCCGGTTGCTGATGATAAAGAAAACTTGTGCTTTGTGCAGCAATACGGTTTATATGTATGTTTATACACTTGATATTTTATGAGTCTTGTCTATTAACTTTCTGTTTCTGTGAAGTAAAGCTGTTGTATTCTTTGTACGAGGAGCACTGCTGCTTGAGATACAGGTTTTATCACCTAGTTCAAGCACAGATGCACATTATGCTTGTGTTTCTACTTCTATGTTAATAATAAATAAATTAAAAAAAAAAAAATGAGTATAATAAACACGTTCGCTTGCGGTGAAAAGTAAAAAAGGAAGAGAGTGACATAGACAATGTTGCCAGTCATAATTTTATCTTCCATACTAAAATGTTGGAATTGCCAACAATATGTTCGCATTCTTGTGTATCTAAGAACGCATGGGATTCTGTATTTTCATGTTAAATGAACTGCTCTATTAGTGAGTAAGATTTGATATTTACCAATCTTGAGACGAAAGATACGAGATGGAAATTATTTTCGTAACGTTTAGAGTTCGGCTTTAAAACACATAAAAGGGGCAAAGCTTGGCTTCAGAAAACTGAGGGGGAATTGTCGATGGAAATGGTTTTGTGGGATTTCTTTTTACAATGAAAATTCGCAAACAAAAGACAACCAGTTAAAATAGTAAAATGTCGTAATTTTTTTTATTTCTTTTAAAATATGGTATTATTTGATTTCGCATTATTCTGTTTAGTCGGAGTTTTTTTTAACGTTCTCGATCGCGTAAAAGTTAACTCAAATTTGTATGAAGTTGTAGCAGCACTCGCACTAAGCGCACTGGAACGAACTCCACGGTGTTTCTCGAGTGCCAACTGCCTTCTTCGAACGAGATTTGCAGAAATAGCTCAGTGGTAGGCAGCGGCTTGTCTCTAGCATGGTCTTTAGCCGGCGGTAATCATTCAACATTAGAAGGGGCGTGGGCTCATATTCTTTTTTTTTATTGCTTAGATCGGTGGACGAGCTCACAGCCCACCTGATGTTGAGTGGTTAATGGAGCCCATAGACATCTACAACGTAAATGCGCCACCCACCTTGAGATATAAGTTCTAAGGTCTCAAGTATAGTTACAACGGCTGCCCCGCCCTTCAAACCGAAACGCATTACTGCTTCACGGCAGAAATAGACAGGGCGGTGGTACCTACCCGCGCGAACTCAAAAGAGGTCCTACCACCAGTAATTACGCAATTTTTTTCTTATAATTCGTGGAAGTCAATCGTGAGCATCGAGGGTAGCTGGAAAATGTGACGCTTAATTTGCTGTTAAGCTTTAGGAAGCTATACGTACACTTGTTCAGAAGTAGCTGCTGTGGTATGACGGCTTCCAGCTCGCATCCTGGCTGGGGACTGATGCCGCCGTTCGGGTAAAAGTCCACGTGACCGATCGGCGACTTGTATCCTGTACAGAAAGGAGCTTTATAGGTCGACTAGCTATTGCCCGCGACTTGGTCCGCGTAGGATACCTAGTTACTTTGGCATAACGCTAAATTTTACCCGCGACCTCATTTACGTAGAAAGTGAAAATATTTTTGAATAATAGAATGTTAAAAAGTTATTTCAGGTACCAAAATCACGTTTTTAAAGTGACTTAAAGAAAAGCCGATTTTGAAACATTCTTTATTGGTACTGCGCTAGTATTGGTGTTAGCGTGATGTTATATAGCCTTTAGTCTTCCTCAATAACTGGGCTATCTAACACTGAAAGAAGCACGTTTCAGTTTTTAGGGTAGGGCAGCTCGTGTACTAGAAAAGTGATACTTGAAACTCGTGTCTTAACGTGACCGGTAATCTCCTTTACTTGTACAAGCACAAAAAAGAATCCGGATCGCATTTGCGCATCTTATCTATAGAGGCAACATTCTTGAAAGGAAGCTCTGGTTTCACTCACCAAAAATACCGGCGTCGGTGTGGATAACGTCAACGAATTCGGCGTCCGATGCGTCTAGACGCTGGTCTATCGGTAGGCCTTCGAATAAAGGTAGCGCCGGATCTAGGCCCGTTATTCTGGCCACGCGACCTGGAATCATAAAAGTTAGCGACGTCATGACCAGACTCGGGCCTCTGCTTCATTTCAAAGACCCTGGTCTTTAGAGCTTGTTGATGAATGCCACATTGATACAAGTATTGGCGAAGGAGTTTCAGAAGCGTCTATCGTAACGGAGGAAGGTCCACGGCACATGTCTTAGTATGTGGCACAGGACACTACCGTGTTTCGATCTGATCTGTCCTGAGCAGGATAACAGGACGGTTACATTAAATTATTGCACAATAATCGGTTCTTGATAACTCAGCGAAGTTCCAATTCAATCCCGTGCTTTGAAACGCGACCCACTGAGGAGATCTGGTTAGAAATTCAGTGGGTTGCGTCTATGAGCTAGGTTGTATGTCAAAACGAATTATTTGCTTGTCGACATTTGAATACGTTGATAGTTGTGACTGCAACAGCTTTCCATCCGTGCGTCGAAAATTCGGACGATGATCCAACTCTAAAGAATATTCATATTTAAATATTCTGTTGCATAGATACCTAGCTAACTGATGGTAGGACCTCTTGTGAGTCCACATGGGTAGGTACCACCAACCTGTCTATTTCTGCCGTGAAGCAGTAATGCGGTTCGGTTTGAAGGGTGGAGCAGCCGTTGTAACTATACTGAGACCTTAGAACTCATATCTCAAGGTGGGTGGCGGTATTTACGTTATAGATGTCTATGGGTTGCAGTAACCACTTAACACCAGGTGGGCTGTGAGTTCGTCCACCCATCTAAGCAAAAAAAAGCTAAGCTAATAATTTCGTTTTGTACATATTTCTATATAGTGCCGGATAAATGGCGTTAGTGGTTCCTTGAATCGCGCTATAGTTATATTACACACGTATACAAGTATGTGGCGGGTAGCCATCATACAACGCAAGATATTTTACAGATGCCTGAATCTCGCTTACGTCATTTTCAAGATAAGCCTGCATATATACAAGTTCCGAACAACAACATTCGGACCGTCGGTCAAACGAGCAATATCACCCGCTCGGTGGAAGATCTTCCCTTTGTCGTATACCTACCAATACATTTCTAAGCTTGGAAAGAGTTCGGAGGGTAGTTTTGTTACCTGATTTCAATGAGCTACCGGCGACACCGGCGCTCTGAGCCCCGAGGCTGTGCCCTATCAGATGGGTGTTATTTAGGTTCAGGCCCCTGGAATAGTATTATACAAATCAGTAGATATGTAGATAAAGAATTTAGCTTTTTTGTCTCTAGCTGCGATGTGTTAACGGCAGGCAGCGGCTTGACTCTGCTCCTGGCATTGCTGAAGTCCATGGGCAACGGTAACCACTCACCATCAGGTTGGCCGTATGCTTGTCTGCTTATAAGGGCAGTAAGTAAAAACTTCCGCAGTTACTGAACATTAAATGCGTGGCGAGCTAGTCAGTCCATTGCTAAACAAGATAAACCCAAAAGTATGGCTTCCTTGAGTGTTTTTTAAATGAGTTTAAGGCACTTAGCGACCTCCCTCGCGTGTTAGATATTTTTGTCCAGGCCCAAACTTGGCGTAAACCAAACTGCTTTTCACAGGACAATCTTTTTTTTCTTCGGAGCATGAAACTGGCTCTCCGACAACTGAGCAGCTTTTGTGGCTTAAGACGGTGTCAGTTACAGTAGGTCTAGAAAAGTTTCAAACCCCCCTCCCCCTCCAATATCAGCACGTATATGTACCTTCGCAGCTCCCATTCTAACACCAAGACTTTAATGTGTTTACCTGGTCACGAGGAAGTCTGGCTTAAGGCATGTCAGTTGCTGTAAGTCTAGAAAAGTTTCGCTCCCTCCTCGATATATCATGTTGTGTATGGGCCTTCGCAGCCCCCATTCTAACACCAAGACTGGAATGTGTTTACCTGGACACGAGGAAGTCTGGCTTAAGCCATGTCAGTTGCTGTAAGTCTAGAAAAGTTTCGCACCCTCCCCAGTTTATGACGTTGTATATGGGCCTTCGCATCTCCCATTTTAAGTTTACCTGGTCACGAGGAAGTCGATGAACTGCGCCGCGAAGCGTCCTATGTACCACGTGTTCTGGGCCGCCGTGACGTACCAGGGTCCCGCTTCTAAATGATGAGCGTCTATCATGATGACGTTCGTATCACCTCGCTGGACGTATGCTGCGGAAGTAAAGTGAAAAGTGGAAATTTTTTCGTCACGTATAAAAACATGAAATGGCATTTGAAAATACCTACCACCAGTGATCACTCAAATTGGCCCATTCACCCTTTGGTCACGGCTACCACCCAGTTTTCTGAAGGACGTATTTGGGACGATCGCTCCGGGATTGAAATTCCGGGTTAGATGCAACACTACGCCGGGCATCGTTTAGACCAGGGGCTCCCAAATTTATGTTGTTTACTGCCCACTTTGAGGATAAATTATCTTTTACCGCCCCCATCTTTTCACCTACTTGAAAACTAAGCGAGAGTCCTCCCAGATGAAATTGCTAATGGCCTCTCAAGCCCACACACAACGCCCCCTTTTTTCTGATCTCTTATCGCCCCTTTAGGCTTGCAGCGCTCACAAGGGGGAGTTATCGCCCACTTTGGGAAAAGCTGATTTAGACTAATGGTGCGCAAACTTTATACTACAACCCACCCCTTTAGCTGAGAGAAAAAAATTGGCGACATCTCAATAGGGAGGGAGTGAGCTGCTAAATCGAACGCATATTAAAAATAAATGGCGACTCCCAACAGCCTTCTGGGGGCTTTCACAGGAGTCCCGGCCCCTAATTTTCGCGCCACTGGTACAGACCACGACGGCTACAAATTTTATTGAAAGCGCACTCTTCGGGACTTTTGATTGCCTTCACTTCATTGAGCATAGTTTGTATGTGTAAACACAATAACGATTCAAATAAATCTCTCACAAATCACCTTCCCTGATCATGATGCCGCTACCGTCGTCGGGCTGCTCCATGAACGCGTGGAAGTAAAGAACTGTCTTATCGTTGAAGTCTATATTCGAAGCGAAGAGCTTCTCGTCATCACCGTAGACCAGCTCCTGGTAGACTGTCGGGTTATGCCTGAAAATGCACTTAGTACTGTTTTTATTTTATTGCTTTGTGGTAGTNTTCGAAGCGAAGAGCTTCTCGTCATCACCGTAGACCAGCTCCTGGTAGACTGTCGGGTTATGCCTGAAAATGCACTTAGTACTGTTTTTATTTTATTGCTTTGTGGTAGTGTTAAGTGGTTACTGGAGCCCATAGACATCTACAACGTAATGGCACCCACCTTGAGATATAAGTTCTAAGGTCTCAAGTATAGTTACAACGGCTGCTCCACCCTTCAAACCGAAACGCATTACTGCTTCTCGGCAGAAATAGGCAAGGTGGTGGTATCTACCCGTGCGGACTCACAAGAGGTCCTACCACCAGTAAACATCTACGGGCAGATCTGTGCATCTGGTTGTACTGTTGACCGCGGAGTACCCTCATACCTTTGCCCAGATTCTATCTCGGGTGGGGATCGCGCGAGAGTAGGGGTCGTTTGGTGGGTGGGCCTTTAACAATCTCAACCATCGAGTCCTACATACCGCGAGCGTCCCCTAAGCGCGAAACCTCGTAGGAGGTACGGCCCAAAAAAATAGACCTCTACGATCATATCCTCACCTAGTGTATAGCTGGAAACCAACATCATTGGTGTTCTTCACGAAGGGGCACTTTGACTTGTCGATGGGCGCTATTTGCAGCAAAGAGTTCTCGAACTGCACTCCTGGTGGTCCTGGACATCAAACGGGCATTGCTTAACAAGGACCCTTGGCTGTTATAAAAGAAAGATCCTTCGAATCCTTAAGGAATCCAATTGCTTTGACTTGTGTGTATAAAAAAGCGTGGGGTGCATGGTATCAATAGTTTTAAATATTTTATGAACATATATAGGTAGAAAGGTTATTTTGATAATATCCTGAAAAGCAAGAACCCCATGCTTTTTTTACAATAAAATCATTTTTTCTTACTCTATTTTGAATTCAAATTTATTTTCAATTTTCTAGTTGTTTTTTCTATAAAAGCGTCCTGTTTTGTTTTTTTTTAAACTATTATTTATTTTTAAATGAACTTCAATTAAGTTTACTCCATTCAAACAGTTGAAGATTTTTTATTTTATCTTATGATATTTTCTCCAAATTTTAAAAGGTATTCCTGTAAAGTTTCAAAAATGTCGCTTAATCCAAATAGTCTTTCAACCCTCTATATATTAAAATTTATGTACGAATTAATTTGATTATGCAATTTCCTCGATACTTAAGCTTAATAGAAACTTAAGTTTTAGAACCGGTATCATTTTTGTCCATTAAGAAGCCATTGCGTAACTCTGGCTATCTATAGCTTATATAAACAGTTGGGTTGTTAATAAGTAGCTATCGCGCCGCGGAATCCGGATTCGATACCGGTAGAGGACCGGTATCATTGTTAAAGAAAAATAAGGTCTGCATACGATTTTGAGATGTGTAAAAAAATTACGTAAAATTGTGGATAAGAAGAAAGAACCGGGTCCACTGATTTCCTCGCGGGATCTTCTCAGTGGGTCGCGTTTCCGATCCAGTGGTAGATTCAGCGAAGCACTGCTCTGGCTAGGGCCAGTGTTAGCAAACTCTCTCAGGTTGAGTCCGTGAGCTGACCTACCCGTCCGGACGTAGTTGAAATAAGCCAGCTACCAGAGAATAATTAGGGGAAAAAAATAATCGATTTTTACGGCACGCCCTTGTTCCTTCGCTTTGGAGCTATTTTTGTACTTACGATAATAACATATTTAATTTAAAAAAAAAATAGTTTAAAAAAACTAACAAAATAAACACGCTTTTATAGAAAATTCAACAAAAAAATAGAAAATAAATTTAATAAATTAGAATTAAAAATAGTGTAAGAAAAAAATATTTTATCGTAAAAAAAGCGTGGGGTGCATGGTATCAGTAGTTATAAATATTTCTTAGTTTTGTTAGTTTTTTTAAAGTATTATTTATTTTTCATTTTTAAACGGTTTTATTTAGCTCGACCTGTATGGAATTTGTTTTTTATTTATTTGGGTCAAAATTAGAAATTGAAATTTAAGCACCTTCCCGTTGTCAGATTGATCTGAAATTTGGTACACACATTTAATTTAGATGACAATACAATATAATAAAATCAATGACATTATAAATCTAAGATGGCCGCCGATACAAAATGGCGGATTACATATTTTTCCTTAAACCCCTCAATNCTTATCCTCCAGGCCACGACGCCCTTAAACTTTGAGATACGACTCCGAAATCTAAGCTGTCTTTTTATAAAGACGAAACGTTATTAAAACACGACAATGCCACTCAAGCGTGCTCCTTATGTTATTAGGTAAAGAGTGCAGAATTGATTAAAAAAAAATGCACTAATTAATTGTGATTCGAAGCGTAACAGCTGCGCAATATTTGCATCGGTATTTTTATGTAAATCTGGTCTGTTATAGTCTTCAAAGATACCGGTGTACTGGAGCGATTCATTCTTTCATTTCCAGATTGATCTAGGAATGTAACAATATCTCCTTGAATTTATGCTCTCCTGGTACTTTTTTTAAACATAAAACTTATCGCGTAGGTAAGTTCTTCGATTTGTTTAATAAATTATGTATGTATATATTACTCTGGTGGTAGGACCTCTTGTGAGTCCGCGCGGGTGGGTACCACCACCCTGCCTATTTCCGCCGTGAAGCAGTAATGCGTTTCGGTTTGAAGGGTGGGGCAGCCGTTGTAACTATAACCTTAGAACTTATATCTCAAGGTGGGTGGCGCATTTACGTTGTGGATGTCTATGGGCTCCAGTAACCACTTAACACCAGGTGGGCTGTGAACTCGTCCACCTATCTATGCAATAAAAATAATAAAAAAATACTAGCTTTTGCCCGCGACTTCGTCCGCGTGGAATAATTAGTTTGGCATAACGCTAAATTTACATAGAATATGATCTTTATAAAAACATTTTCACAAATAATGCTTTAGAACAAATTTGATTAGCATAAAAAACTTTATAGAGAGCCAACCTTAACATATAGAGATATGCTGTCGCGGACTTTTTTTTAGGTCTTTTAAAGGGGAACAATTCTCTCATACATTATTTTAACGAAACTTTAACAGTTTCTACAGCGCACGCAGCGGAAGCTCTCAAAAGGGGGAAAAACGCCGATTTTGAAACATTTTTATTGGTGCTCCGCTTGCATTGGCCTTAGCGTGATGTTATATAGCGTATAGCCTTCCTCGATAAATGGGCTATCTAACACTGAAAGAATTTTTCAAATCGGACAAGTAGTTCCTGAGATTAGCGCGTCCAAACATACAAATTCTTCAGCTTTATAATATTAGTATAGATTTAAAATTTATGTTTAAATGTTAAAATTATAAATGTGTTTAATAGTCAGTCTTGGGAGAGAGACTTGACCAATTGTGACCAATTTTTAATTTTCAGAATTTATGTAGGAATGTAACAATATCTCTTTGTATTTATGCGTCCCTAGTACTTAAATATCGCGTTGGTAGTTTATAGTAGTAGTATGTACCTTTTTCAAAAAAGTTCAAAACATGAAGTTTATTTGTTGGTCATGCTTGTTTGTACGCATTCTTTACACATCTCGTCATCATCGACGAAAGAAGCGCTATAGGGCTATTATTTTGCAATGTATGTTTTGTTGTCTGAGACCTGTGTACTGGAGCGATTCATTCTTTCATTTCGAAATTTCATGTAGGAATGTCACAATATCTCTTTGTATCTATGCTCCCCTGGTACTTTAAAAAAAATATCTTATTATTTTGATGGTGAGATAGTTCTTGTTAGATTTATTTTGGCAATATATATTTATGTATGTTTTGTATACATGTATCTATCTATGTTTTGTAGTCTTCAGAGAGACTCGTCGTATACTGGAGCGATTCAATTTTTCATTTCTTTATTTGATACTAGCTGACCCGGCAGACTTCGTAGTACCTCAATCGATAAATAAAAGACCTAAACTTTTGTATAAAACAAACTTAAAACAAATAAAAGGAATCCGTCTGACGGGGGACATATCAAAGAAAAAACAAAATTGTTATTTTTGTTTAATTCCGAGCATTTTCATATTTATCTACCTTTCAAACCTTCTCTATACTTCCACAAATAATTCAAGACCCAAATTAGCTAAATCGGTCCAGCCGTTCTCGAGTTTTAGCGAGACTAACGAAGAGCAATTCATTTTTATTTAAATAGATAGGAATGTAACAATATCTCCTTGTATTTATGCTTTCCTGGTACTTTTTTTACGCGTTGGAAATTGTTTAAGATTAATTGGTAAACTTTTAATTTTTCTTTTTTTCCTTTGTTTACATATTATTATTATTATTCTTATTATTTATTATTACATTATTTATATAATCATTAGTTGCATTAATAAGAATAATTTAACATAAATACAGTATTTAGATTTAATTATTATTAAGTTTTGTTTAATTTATTTTATGGTTCATGTTTTTTGCCATTTTGTTTAGGATTGCATACTTTACTTATTTGATATTTACTAATATAGTCAATAAAATACTAATATAGTCAATAATATAGTCAAAAAAAGTTCGAAGGAAAAAAGTTAATTTAAAATTAAGAAAACATTGTATAAAGCTGTTTTTACTTGCATTTACTTTTTTTTACTGAGGGCTGTGATTCTGTAGACGGTACAGCGCTGGTAGATTTATATTTCATTAATGAAATGGTAATCATCCTGAATATTGTTTGCATTTGCATGTTTTATAATTTCAATCCTGTTCGTGCTTTATTATTACAGACGTAATGTTTTAATGTCTCTTCGTATGTTATGCTATCCTGGTAGATTTATTTTTAAACAGATGTAAATTAAAACAGATTTACAATAACAACAATAATCTAAACCAATATTTGACGGTTTGTATGTTTGTTAGTCAATGCTTTTTATATAGGTAAATGGATTTGACCCGGACAACGTCAGTAAGCATAAATAAAATCAACATGAGATTGAAATCCCCGTTAAAAGTAATTCAAATGATTACGTCTTTGACTCGTGAAAACCGAAGTAAATAATAATACTTTTTAAAGTTACAAATCAAAAAGAAAATTAAAATTAAAATAAAATATAATTTATGAAAAATAACTACTCACTTATGACGGATAAAAGACACGCCAAAGGAATTGCTGTCTGCATGATTTTTTTGTTTTACCGCGAAAACTGAACGTATTGAAAAACAGAAACACAAAAAAGATCTATTACTATATTATATTTCAATTAAAATTCTCTGATTCAATCGTGTCTTCCGAAAACGAGTGTCGTGTATAGTAAACGAAGCGATAGTGCAATTTGTTACAAGATTTTCTTCGCTATGAAAATTTTTAGGTCGGCCCTCCGGTGAGAGCTAAGCTATAGTTATCGGGTATAACAGCCCACGTCATCACGGATCCTCCCGAACGGTGCTTTTACGTACCTCAAGCACCGGTCAGCGTCCTCGTCGAACCCGGCTTGCGACGAAGGGCTCGAGGAGTAAATTAACCCACAGACACAGCCCACTGAGTTTCTCGCCGGATCTTCTCAGTGGGTCGCGTTTCCGATCCGGTGGTAGATTTTGCGAAGCATGCTTCTTGCTAGGGCTAGTGTTAGCAACGTCGTCAGGTTACAGCCCCGTGAGCTCACCTACTAGCTCGGTGTATCTAGAATAACCCCTCGATTTTACTATAATAGGTAGGAAAAAACAAAAAGGGTGCGTGTACTTATGTACGCGCGTAAGAAGTTATACTTTATTTTTATTAAATTTATTTCTTTTTTTTTTATTTAAATTTTAATCAATTTGAAAAAAAATCGATTAAACAACATCCTAAAACACGCATATTGGACATCCCTTTTCTTGACATCGTATAAATTCGGTGATTCTCGGTACGGTTCGGAAAGTTCACCTGCGGCTATATTCAGACTCGCCAAGATACGTCGGTCATATTGTAATGAGCGATTTAGTGGGCAACTTCATTCTGTTAATTTTGTATCATGGTGCGCGCGCATCGTAAAATTTCACTCTCATCAATTTTTCATAACGCGCCTAAATAAGTATAACTTCAAAAGTGAAACACCCGTAGCTCACTTACACGTCCGGGCTTATCTGGAATAGCCTCTTAGACTACCAACTACAAGCAAATAAGTAGGGAAAAAAGAGGTACATGTCGTGGGTCAGTGCTTAAGTCGTCGCGGCCAAAAGGATAAGACGTCCGGTGCATTCCTATCTAGCCATGCACCGGTGTTCGAATCCCGCAGGCGGGTACCAATTTTTCTAATGAAATACTTACTTCACAAATGTTCACGATTGATTTCCACGGTGAAGGAATAAGGCGTTATCGTCCACTTTGAGAAAGGCTGATCTAAGCAATAAAATAAAAAGTGTTGAGAGATAATTAGGTGTTATCATTTAAATAGGTCACACTGCGTGTGTGTGTGTGTCTACCTCTACGAGTATGTATGAATGATAAATAGGCCATTTCTATAGACGAAATTTTTTCATTCACAAAATTTATAACTTTAATGTTCGCGTAGCATTAGCTTGCAGTGTGTCAGAGCCCTTGCAGGTTACCTAAAACGGCTTTTACCGTCCCGACCGGTCCGTTGCGACACGAATAGTTATTGGATTATAAAACTGCAAACTACATAGTTACAATCTATGGACGTGTTATGTAACGGTATCAATATATTAACTGGCATAAGACTTGGTCTGAAGGATAAGACGGCCTGTGTATTAGTATCCAGCGATGCGACAGTGCCGAGGTTCGAATCCCGCTGACGATTTAGACGTTCACACAGACCGGCTCGGAGAGGAGAGCAGATCTTTATCACGTTGGAAACGGAGTTTTGAGTAGCTGTAGTAAAGTTTATTTTTGCATGTGCACTTTTTTTGTCATTAAGAATGCTTGGACGCGCTACGTGTGACTCAATAAGAGGACCCGACCGATTCCGATTGCGCGCTCTATCTCGCTCGCGTAGCCGACCGGCTCTGATTGCGCGCTCTATCTCGCTCGAGTAGCCGACCGGCTCTGATTGCGCGCTCTATCGCGCTCGAGTAGCCGACCGGCTCTGATTGCGCGCTCTATCTCGCTGGCGTAGCCGACCGGCTCCGATTGCGCGCTCTATCGCGCTCGAGTAGCCGACCGGCTCTGATTGCGCGCTCTATCTCGCTGGCGTAGCCGACCGGCTCCGATTGCGCGCTCTATCGCGCTCGAGTAGCCGACCGGCTCTGATTGCGCGCTCTATCTCGCTGGCGTAGCCGACCGGCTCCGATTGCGCGCTCTATCGCGCTCGAGTAGCCGACCGGCTCTGATTGCGCGCTCTATCTCGCTGGCGTAGCCGACCGGCTCCGATTGCGCGCTCTATCGCGCTCGAGTAGCCGACCGGCTCTGATTGCGCGCTCTATCTCGCTGGCGTAGCCGACCGGCTCCGATTGCGCGCTCTATCGCGCTCGAGTAGCCGACCGGCTCTGATTGCGCGCTCTATCTCGCTGGCGTAGCCGACCGGCTCCGATTGCGCGCTCTATCGCGCTCGAGTAGCCGACCGGCTCTGATTGCGCGCTCTATCTCGCTGGCGTAGCCGACCGGCTCCGATTGCGCGCTCTATCGCGCTCGAGTAGCCGACCGGCTCTGATTGCGCGCTCTATCTCGCTGGCGTAGCCGACCGGCTCCGATTGCGCGCTCTATCGCGCTCGAGTAGCCGACCGGCTCTGATTGCGCGCTCTATCTCGCTGGCGTAGCCGACCGGCTCCGATTGCGCGCTCTATCGCGCTCGAGTAGCCGACCGGCTCTGATTGCGCGCTCTATCTCGCTGGCGTAGCCGACCGGCTCCGATTGCGCGCTCTATCGCGCTCGAGTAGCCGACCGGCTCTGATTGCGCGCTCTATCTCGCTGGCGTAGCCGACCGGCTCCGATTGCGCGCTCTATCNCGGGTGTTAGTCTGGAATAAATACTGTTACAATTAAAAATAAACAAAATATTACATTTGAATTTGGAATCTGTCATTTTTATATGATTGCTCATTAGGCATGTATTGCTTATGATGCAACATAATAATGTTCAAACTTATGATTTCAGTTAATTATAGTCGAATTTTGACTTTTTATTTTTTTTTTTTTTTTTATTGCTTAGATGGATGGACGAGCTCACAGCCCACCTGATGTTAAGTGGTTACTGGAGCCCATAGACATCTACAACGTAAATGCGCCACCCACCTCGAGATATAAGTTCTAAGGTCTCAGTATAGTTACAACGGCTACCCCACCCTTCGAACCGAAACGCATTACTGCTTCACGGCGGAAATAGGCGGGGTGGTGGTACCCGTGCGGACTCCCAAGAGGTCCTACCACCAGTGATTACGCAAATTATAATTTTGCGGGTTTGGTTTTTATTACACGGTGTTATTCCTTCACCGTGGAAGTCAATCGTGAACATTTGTTGAGTACGTATTTCATTAGAAAAATTGGTACCCGCCTGCGGGATTCGTACACCGGTGCATCGCTTCATACGAATGCACCGGACGTCTTATCCTTTAGGCCACGACGACAAAGTCTACAAAGTAAATGCCGCCACCCACCTCGAGACTCGAGTTGTAAGGTCTCAGTCCAGTACAACGGCTGCCCCGCCCTTCAAACCGCGTTGTTGCTTCACGGCAGAAGTAGGCAGGGCGGCGGTACCTACCCTCGCGGACTCACAAGACGTTCTAACACCGGCACCCACGCGAATACGTATCGGTTCTCTTTACCAGAGCGATATGCGGGCGCATCGAAGCGTACATATCGTCGCTGCCGCCCCCTTACCACCTCCGGCGGCCCCTGCTGGCGAGAGCAGCAAGCACCGAAGCCAGGACCCCGACCAGAGCACCCTCGTTCAGCGTCTGCTGGGCGTGCACTAACACGGTAATCAAACTTTATTTTTAATTTTTTTATTGCTTAGATCAGCGGTCGGGGAACCGGGGTAAATTACCCCGAATGGGGTAAAATGAAATTTTGGGGGGTAAAAATGAAACTTTTGTGAGTAAAAAGTATATCATCATAATTATCCTGCCCTTCTCCCAGTTACCTGGGGTCGCCGCAACATGTTTTCTCCTTCCATACTCTTCTATCATATACCATTTCTTCGCTCACTCCCCTCTTACCCATATCGTCTTTCACGCAATCCATCCATTTCGTCTTAGGTCTACCTCTTCCTCATATCCTTCCACATTCATAGTTAACACTCTCTTACCAACCTCATTTTCATTTCGTCTCATCACATGTCCATACCATCCCAAACGCGCACTCCGGTGCCACTTTCAGACTTCCTCTAACATATTCATTCCGTATTCTATCCATTCTCGTAAAAAGTATATATTGAAGTGAAACTTCTTTAGAATCGTTGGGATTTCAAACTCGATGAAACGAAATAAAATGAAACGAAAAAATAAGTCCATAGAGACACTAACACATAGATGTATAGGATTCAGCCGGTGAGAGAATGAGATAGAACACATTATTTGGAAACACAAAGTTCACGTGATTCAGAAAAGGGAATTTTTATCCCCGAAATTAATAATTTAAATTAAATAAGCTTTTTTATGGGGGCTATATATAAAATTTAAACTAATTTTTTCGTCAAATAATACAAGAAAAATATCATATGAATTATATAATAACAAGAAATTATCATTTACTTTTTTTTTTGTGGGGGACATTTTTTGTCCACAACTTACATATATTACTATTATTACCGTTATGTATTATATTACTAGGTATTACAAATGATAAATTGATAAAATAAATTTTTTGTTATTGTTTTCTTTTCAAAATTATCAGGGGGGGCTATAATATAAAAGATGCTAAAAAGAAGCGATTTCGTGTTTTTTTGTTCCTCGCCATGGGTTCATATCAACTTACACAAAAATATTTTGGGGTCATCAATTAAAAAAGTTCCCCGACCGCTGGCTTAGATGGTTGCACGAGCCCACAGCCCACCTGGTGTGTGTGAAATGCCATATTTTATGCTGCGCCTTAGCTTGGGCACTGGCATTGCCGACGTTCTTGAATAACTGTGATCGCTTACCATCGGTCGGACCGTTTACGGAGAACGACAATAAATTGTAATTTTCGCTATTGTAGCTCGAATTTTAGGGCATTTTTAGGATGTGTAATAATGTTTGAGAGTGAGCCGTTTGATAAGACATTTTTTTTATTGCTTAGATGGGTGGACGAGCTCACAGCCCACCTGGTGTTAAGTGGTTACCGGAGCCCATAGACATCTACAACGTAAATGCGCCACCCACCTTGAGATGTAAGTTCTAAGGTCTCAAGTATAGTTACAAAGGCTGCACCGCCCTTCAAACCGAAACGCATTACTGCTTCACGGCAGAAATAGGCAGGGCGGTGGTACCTACACGTGCGGACTCACAAGACGTGCTACCACCAGCCCAACACCGATATCAATACCAATTAATTTTGTGAATGTCTTCCAAAACTATAGGCCCCCGAAGTATTGAATGCCACAACCGGGAAGCTGGAGAATGGCCAGCCCTCACTACTGTGCAAACAGAGCATGTTCGCCAGATGGCAGTATTTGATCAAGAAACTACCCCCCTTACAGCAGGTGAGACGACCGCCCTCACGCCCTTATGATTACAGAAACTTACATTTCTTAGTTCCTATAGTTCTCTTTTTGGCCCTAAGTACCTCATTACGGATCCTCCCGATCCACTAACGGTGCTTTTAGGTACCTCAAGCACCGGTCACCATCCTCGTCGAATCCGTCGCTTGCGACGAAGGGCTCGACGAGAACACAGCCGATTTAGTTTCTCTCCGGATCTTCTCAGTAGGTCGCGTTTCCGATTCGGTGGTAGATTCTGCGAAGCACTGCTCTTGCTAGGGCCAGTGTTAGCCATCACTCCCGATTTGAGCCTCGCGAGCTCACCTACTAGTTTGGTGAATCTAGAATAACCCCTCGAGGTCACTAGAATAGATATAAAAAATACTTTAGGTACCATAGCACCGCCCGCCACCGGAGTAGAGTTCATCCATACTACCTGGAGCAACTGCGTTCATCCACAGTGCGCTTACAGACATCTTTTTTGCCGCGTACCATCTGGATTTGGAATGAGCTCCCTCCACGATGTTTCTTGAGCGCTATGACATGTCCTTCTTCAAACGAGGCTTGTGGGCAGCGGCTTGGCTCTGCCCCTGGCATTGCTGAGGTCCATGGGCGACGGTAACCACTCATCATCAGTGGCCATCCATCAGAGTTTATCCGTTTTTGTTCAGCGTAGAAGTGCGAAAGGCCTTACGGGACCAGCTTGTTTTAAAGTTCTTACCGGACTCTTCCCACAATATGTAAGAACTTGCGATATGAGAGGACCTAGTCTCAATTGTATTGTATAACGTTTGTCCTCCCCCAACCCCTACCTTGCATCCCCTAGAGTTTCAATACTGCTTCGCGACAGAAGTACTTACCTACCCTTACGGCCTTACAAGATGCCTCACCATCAATAAACGCCAGTTGTCGATCGCAGTACGTTATATTAGTTAGGAGAATGCTTCTGTCCATAATCTTGAGGAGATAGGAGCTTGTTCTAAGACATCACACAGCCAATATGACTCCTAAACTACCTATATTGTATTATGTACAAAATTAGATATGTTCCTTCGTTTTAATTGGTTAAGCTTGGTTAAACTACGAAATCCCTCATCCGATTCTGACTCCTCAACACGGCATTCGTTCACGGCGACAACGAAGACTATGGACCACTCAAAACGTCGGAGATAATAAGCGAAATTGAACCGTAAAATTGATAAGAGTTAGGTCCAAAAATGATTGATGCACGTGTAATTTGGTGCACGTGAAAGAAGTGAAACTTCTTTTGCGGTGTGTGCAGTATTGTGGTTTTCTTCATTTGTCACTTTTAAATCAAATTTCTCTTGTAATAGGGAATGCTGTGTGTAAGAGAAACGACCACTTCACCATTTATTTTAAATTGTATATAGAAAAATAAACCTTTTATTAAATCCGTCATTACAAATAAAATATAAGATAGTTAATATATTACTGCCATCTACAGGAGCAATGGCAAACTAATAACGAGCCATCTAGTGGTCGACGCCCGCAAACAATGTGTAAGAGAGAGACGACCTAGCTCGCTCTCTCCCTCTCTCCACGGTCGAGTGGTTCGCGAGACGCTCTGTCTTTTCTCTCACTCTCGCTCCTCCTAAATTGTATCTTCTGTCTCTAGCCGTAACGAATATGTCGCGAGTTAAATTTTACCCACAATGCGCCTAAAGAAGTTTCACTTCGAAAAATCACGTTTTCTTTTCAGTCACACCCGGACGGAACCAGCGTCTCATTGCCGAATCACTTGGATACTTTACTGTATAACGAAGCGAAACTACTCTCCCCAACGTATCAGGTAAATATATATATACTAAGCTGACCCGGCAGACTTCGTAGTGCCTCAATCTATAAATAAAATATCTTAAGCCTTTGTATAAAATAAACATAAAACAAACAAAAGGAATCCGTTCGTTATTTTTATTTAATTCTAAGCATTTTCATATTTATCTATCTTTTAAACCTTCTCTGGACTTCCACGAATAATTCAAGACCAAAATTCGCCAAATCGGTCCAGCCGTTATCGAGTTTTAGCGAACAGCAATTCATTTTTATATATATAGATAGATATATCTCGAGGAGTGAAGGTTTGAAGTTTGAGCGACATTTTTACTACTTTACAGGAGAGCCATTTATAGTTTAAAATTTGGAAAAAATATCAGGAATAAAAACTTGAACTATTCGAATTCGAGTAAACATAATTGAAGTTCAATTAGAAACATCGAACCGTCGATGCGAATACCAAATAAAACGGACCTTTAATTACAAAGGCAAATGTCGCTTAAATAAAATAGCCATTCACCCCTCAATATATATTTATATTTTTTTTTTTGCTTAGCTGGGTGGATAAGCTCACAGCCCACCTGATGTTAAGTGGTTACTGGAGCCCATAGACATCTACTCTACAACGTAAATGGGTCACCCACCTTGAGATATAAGTTCTAAGGTCTCAGTATAGTTAGGACGGCTGCCCCATCCTTCAAACTGAAGCGCATTACTGCTTCACGGCAGAAATAGGCAGGGCGGTGGTACCTAATGTCTATTTGACGAAGCGTTCACAAAGGATATTCGGTTGGATACGTACATATTAGAATCGTTTTTATCTTTGTAACTATCTTCTAACTTCTATCTATCTAACTTCTCCCTAATCCTTTAATCCTTTTTTGTAACTATACTGAGACCTTAGAACCCATATCTTAAATTGAGTGGCGGTGCTTACGTTGTAAATGTCTATGGGCTCCAGTAACCGCTGAAAACCAGGTGGGCTGTAAACTCGTCCACCCATCTAAACGATAAAAAGAAATATGCAACTGAGCTTAGAATCCAAATTTATCCGTCCGTAGGTAGCGAAGGACCGCCTCTTCCAAGCCTTCGAAAAAGCGAAACTAGGTCGTTGGATAAAGAAGCCATTAGAACAGGACCAGTTCGTATGCGAACTCCTGAGCGCGGACCCAGCCGCTCTGTTCACTTAGACAGATCTAGTTCAAGGTCATAGCGCGACACGGTACGACGATAGAGCCAGAGGAGATGATGGACAGGCTAATGACAGTGCTAAAGCTTTAGGCGACGATAAACGCGAGAGAATCAAGGCGAAATCTGACGTGGGCGTGACCGGTGACTTGTTAGATGGTCCGTTGATGTACGGAAAGCTAATACTCGCCGAGAAAGCTCGTCAGCTTAAATTAATGGGCATGATATTAAAAGCGAAAGATAAAAGTAAATTTCGTATCTTCAATGATAAACATTGCAATGATAATGATATAAAGATTAATGATAAAATCGATGGAGGCAAACGAAGTAAAGGATTACCAATGAAAAAAAATTGTCAAAAGTTTAAAAAGTCCATTAAAAACCAAAGAAGTAGCGTGTTTAAGAAAATTAGTAAAAATCGTGATTCTAAACTTAAAATAAGCAATGAATCTACGAATAACATTAACGTCGCAAATAACGATCGACAGGATAATAATAATAAAAATTGTAGGGCCAATTTAAAATTGAAAGTAAACCTCGGGAAATCTAAATATGATAGATGGAAAGGATTGTTAATAAAGAGTAATAAAAAAGTGCTTAAAAAAGCTAAAATAAGTAATAAAGAGAATACATACAAAAACACAAAATCCGATGCTGCGTTAAAAAATGAAAATAAAAATTCTATAAATAAATCATTGAATACCAAAGCGAACCTTCAAAATTGTTCTATCGAAAAAGACAATTTCAATTCTGAACCGAAATGTGAAAATAAATTGATACAAAAGTTCAGTGATTCTGAAAATAATTCCATTATTAGTCATCCGAATGGATACGTTAAAAATGAAGGATTAACAAATAAAAAAGAAAACAAATTATTAATAAAAGTTAACACAGAAATTGTAATCGACAAAATATCCAATGATTCACACGAAAATAAATGCGACGTGTTAAACAAAATATTTGATGATGGAATCAAACGTCCAGATGGAGACAATGAAATATTTGAAAGCAATCCGAAAAATAAGCCGAACGATGATAATAAAACCAATAATGATTTTAAGAACAAAAACACCACTGAAATTAATGATTCCATCATAAAAAATAAGCAGTGTAATGATAAAAATAATGAAATAAAAGTAAATAGTGATCAAATGAAAATTTCTAAAGTAAAAAAGAAAAAGAAAAATAAAGTCTGTAATGACAAAAGTAATGACATTAAAGTAAATAATGATGATCCGAATGTTTCTAAAGTTGAAAAGAATAACCAAAATAAGCCCTGTAATGACAAAAGTAATGATGTTGAAGTAAATAATGATTATCCGAATGTTCCTAAAATAGAAAATAAAGTCTGTAATGATAAAAATAATGACATTAAAGTAAATAATGATCATCCGAATGTTTCTAAAATAAAAAATAAAAACAAATATAAAGTCTGTATTAACAAAAATAATGATATTAAAGTAAATAATGATCAACCGAATGTTTCTAAAATAAAAAACAAAAACAAATATAAAGTCTGTAATAACAAAAATAATGATATTAAAGCAAATAATGATCATGCGAATGTTTCTAAAATAGTAATGAAAAATCAAAATAAGCCCTGTAATGACAAAAATAATGTTAATCAATTAAATAATGATCAACCAAATGTTTCTACCGTAAAAAATAAAATTAAAATTGAAACGATACCATGCATAGTTCAAAATAATACCAATGAGAACACCAGTACTGCAGATAACAAAAAGCACAATAATGATAACTTTATCAACGTTAATAATCGCTCGGAAAACGAAAGCGTCCTAAAAAACAGCTTTCTGCAAATGAAACTTTCCATATACAAAAATTTTAATAAAAATTAACGTTTTTTTTTTTTTTGCAAATATCTTATCTCGTAAAGTCATTAGCACAACGACGCTTTTAACGTTACGTTATTTTAAGCTAAACGGTTTTTATATGCTATAAAATTTAAGCACCTTTGGACGCATTGAGAAATACGAATAATCATGACTTCGCATTGAAGTAGATCAAGCACGTTAGCCTATCCGATTCTCAGGGTTTTTAGAAGTCGTTGCGTGAATGTTAGTCTAAAATTAACCTTTAAAGAAGTGATTCCCTTTTGAAACGGCTGCCATCCTAAAATTCCCTAGCTATAGTAGTATGTACTTACTGGTGGTAGGACCTCTTGTGAGTCCGCGTGGGTAGGTACCACCACCCCGCCTATTTCTGCCGTGAAGCAGTAATGCGTTTCGGTTTGAAGGGCGGGGTAGCCGTTGTAGCTATATTGAGACTTTAGAACTTATATTTCAAGGTGGGTGGCGCATTTACGTTGTAGATGTCTATGGGCTCCAGTAACCACTTAACACCAGGTGGGCTGTGAGCTCGTCCTCCCATCTAAGCAATAAAAAAAGAAAAAATAATAATTAGGATATGTTGATATTGGATTCATATGGCCATTACATTTTATAACCTGCTGATCCTATCCTTTATCTGATTTAAATTTTGTCTGATGCAAAATTCTTTTCCTTTGCTATTCCATTTCCTTACCTTCGTCTGTAACAATAGGCACTGGGTGAAGCCACTTAATAAAAAAAATATTTACGAAGAAATGAAAGGGGATTACTTTTTTAAACCGCGTCGCGCTATGGAAGTGAAGAGATCTTGATCAGTCTTAGGCGCAGAACGGATTTTTACGAACTTATGACAAGCGAAGGATGTTTTCATTACTGCGGTTCCGTTTCCAAGGGAATGTTAGCGGTCGTAAGAGGAAAAATATGTCAACTTGAAGCCTTTTTTTAATAGATTTTAATAGACCTAGAAATATATATATATTTTTTGCGCATCGAATATGGTTATTGCTTATCATTTATGTACAAAGCAGTTATTGCCGCTTAGTCACGTTTGCCTTTCAAGCGTCGATATGCAATTTCGGAAAGGGCACATCTCTGAAAATGTAAAATGTTCAGGAAATGAAAAAAAAAATACTGATTATTTTCTAAAGCAAAGTGTAAAATTTAAAATATTAACTTTTGAGATATATTTTAGTGTTAATTAGCAATTGAAAATTACTGGAATTATTATCAAAATGGGTGTAGGTAAGCCTCAAAACTACATGTATATGAAAAAACATATTTGACAAAATATGCGACATGTGCCCTTTTCGAAATTGCATATTCAATTATAGGCTGAGTGGTTAGGATTGTCACTAGAGATGAAACGGATATCCGGTAACTATACGATATCCGGTCTATCCGGCCATGTTTTCGTTATCGGATACCGGATAGTAAATCAGTATCCGGCCGGATTTCGGATATTAACATTTAAGAAAATCTCATGGTTATACAAAAGGCAAATAATACCAAAATAGGTGATGGACAACTTTTATTTTTATCATCGCACGTCAAAAGTGATTGTTTTATGAATTACTTTGTTTAATACTCGAAATTAACAAGTGGCAAATTTTGGTGAACGAATACCAAATCGTCGTCTTGCCGATTCGTCGCGATCTCCGCTCACGGGCGACAACACTCGGACGCGCACGATTTTTTCCGAAAGGGCAGAATATCCGGTAGCTGAATATCTTGCCGAATATTCGGTATCCGGTAGCCGGCCAACCACTATCCGTTTTATCTCTAATTGTCACTTTTTTCTCTACAAATAAAAAACTGTTTACAACATACCCTTGATTGTATATAGCTCTGTGCCAATGTTGAGGACTTTTTGGCGGAACGCGAGGAGTGAAGTTGTGTGATTTGTTTTATTTTGTCTATTTAGTGTTTCTTCAGGTTTAAATGTGTAATAGCGGTGGTTTATTAACTGTTTAGTATCTGTGAAAGTGCATGTGGGAAAATGAAACAAAGACGCCGAACGTAACTTCTCGGGGTCCTCCAAAAAGTCCACTGAAAAAGTCTCAGTGAATGACCAACATTTTACTGAGATTATATTTCATCCCATATCATCTCATCTCATTTCATTCCACCATCAATATAGTGGTGGGAATATTTAGTTCTCGGATAACGAAGATGAGGGAGATAACAGGAGTCCCTCACTCGCTCACTCATCTCATTAACTCATTGCACGCTGTTTTTTGTTGACTATTCAATTGTAGGGACATTGTTTTGTGTTCGAGCTTAGGGGGAGTAAAAGTTGGGCCTATTTTTGCCTGTAAGTACTAGTATCTAATAGAAAAACACAGAGATAATGTTATATGGCCGGTACATAACGTTTTTTTGTTACGTGACGGCTTTCCATCAGTCAACTACTAAGGGCGCGTTAAGGATCTTCCTAAAACAAACCTACGCCTATGATGGCTTCGTATAGTTGAAATATTTTTCCGTTTACGCTAAGATTGTCGTTGTGTATTATAATTAGCGACAAGTATTATTTTAAATGTTGGTTTTATATATGTAATATCATAATTTGTTTAGTCATTATCTGTAGTATCTGGGGTATGGAAAGTAGATCCGAAAATTCTTTCGGGAATCCTTAAAGCCTTCGTCAAACAGAACGCGTAGTTAGCGCGCGTCAGAACGCTAAACTGACGCCGCGCTATGACGCCGAGATGTGTTGTACTACTATGGTAACATACCGCCAAACAGAGCCCCAGCGCTATAAGTACGCAGCGCTCTGTCGCGGCGTTAGGACGTTTAGACGTCAGGCGTTGTAATTTTTTACAAATTTTATTTAGCGTCCGAGTAAATGTGCATTAAAATACTAGATAATGCCCGAAAAAATGATATAAATAGTTAGAAAATACCCATGCATATACAACAATGTCACATCTGAATCACTCGATTTCTTAATACTTTTAAATTTTCACACTGCTATCGAAAGGCACTATGATTTGGCGAATGCGTTCTAGTCAATTTGAAGAGCGCGACGTTAAGTACGCGGCGCTAAGTACGCGTTCTGTTTGACGAAGGCTTAAGTTGTGTTAATTGCATCATATACGATGATGCATTGCTTGGTGATTCCCGACGGATTTTGAAAGTAATAAGAAATTTAAAAACGTTATTATTTTAAATATGTGACATTTTGTAAATTTCTGGATTAAATTGAGATTGCTTAACTTTTTTTTTGGTTGTTTTTATTGTTAATTTACGGCCATCGGCCACTAGACCTTAAAGTTAAAAATGAAGTGTTGCTAGATTAAGTGTAAGTCGACAATGTCTTTGAAAAACAATGAAGATTTATATTTTTATTTATTTTGAGGCATTCCGTGTTTGTTAAATGCATGTTTTTTAATAAATAATGGTGATTTTAATTATTGTATTAATTTGATAATTAAAGGATTTCATTTTATAGTAAATTTTGTTTGTTTTTCGTGTATCTATATATTAATACGTGAAGCAAAAACTTTGTATCCATTTTTACGAAAATTTCGCGGACGGAGGAGTATCAAATTTTCCACACTTATAGAGAATATAGAGAAGAAGTGCACAATGCTAATATTTTTTTTAAATAATGCATAAAAGATACATTAAACCAATAAAGAAAACATTACACACACTACATACCATGTATTTGACGCACACACGCATGCATACTATTTATTGTCAAACTTTTGTTCTTGCCGTCTGTTGTCAAATTGAGAATAGATTAAATATTGTTTGTCTTTATTAATATTTTTTATAGTGTTGTCTTGGCGAAATTTGTGATTGTAGAAGTATAAAATACAATCATAATAGTGTACAAACTTACAATTCCAATTAATTATAGTCGGATTTCGACTACTGCGGGACCACTAGTATTCCTTAATGTCTAAGGAAACCTATCTCATAATTGAATATGCAATTTCGGAAAGGGCACATCTCTGAAAATGTAAAATGTTCAGGAATTGAAAAAAAAAACTAATTATTTTCTAAAGCAGTGTAAAATTTAAAATATTAACTTTTGAGATATATTTTAGTGTTAATTAGCAATTGAAAATTACTGGAATTATTATCAAAATGGGTGTAGGTAAGCCTCAAAACTGTACATGTATATGAAAAAAACGTATTTGACAAAATATGCGACATGTGCCCTTTTCGAAATTGCATATTCAATTGAACTTCAATGAAGTTTAGCTGAAGAAGTTTTTTTTATGATAAATATTCCCCAAACATTTCAACTTTAAATAGCTCTCCTGTATGTAAAGTTGCAATAATGTCGCTCAAACCAAATAACCTTTCACACCCCGATGTACCTATTAAACAACATTGGGACGGTCTTATAGCTTTACTAAAGCTCACGTCTTACTTAATGTAAAGTCATCTAGGTCCTTAGATATTGCAATTTGATTGCCGTCGCCCACTTCAAAGCCTGAGGACCCAAGTCTCATTTGTATTGCAAACCAGAGTGCATTACTGCTTTAAGCCCACTGAGTTTCTCGGCGGATCTTCTCAGTGGGTCGCGTTTCCGATCCGGTGGTAAATTCTGCGAAGCACTGCTCTTGCTAGGGCTACTGTTGGTAACTTCTTCAGGTTAGAGTCCCGTGAGCTCAACTACTTGCTCGGTGACGCTGGCATACCCCTCTAAGGCTATAGCTTACGTAGAAAATAACCATTAGGAGTGCAGAAATGGGATGTTGGTAATGGTATCTTGCAAGGCTGCTGCCCATTCTGTGGAGAATTCCTTTAGTCGCTTTTGACAGAGATGAGATGAGATGGGGAGTTTATTCAACACTAAATAACCTACATAACAGAAATAATCAGAGATAATAACATTTTTTTTTTACTACCGGACGGGTAGGTGAGCTCACGGACTCAACCAGAGAGAGTTTGCTAACACTGGCCCTAGCAAGAGCAGTGCTTCGCTGAATCTACCATCAGATCGAAATCGGCTCATTTAAATACGGAATCTTCATTACAAGACGCGCGAAAAAATTAAAAAAAAAAACATATTAGAAATGTCGTTCTGATATGATATTTTTAAAATTTTTTTAATTCTTACATGGGTAGACGAGCTCACAGCGCACCTGGTGTTAAGTAGTTACCGGAGCCCATAGACATTTACAACGTAAATGCCGCCACCCGCCTTGAGATATTAGTTCTAAGGTCTCAAGTATAGTTACAACGGCTGCCCCGCCCTTCAAACCGAAACGCATTACTGCTTCACGGCAGAAATAGGCAGAGCGGTGGTACCTACCCGCGCGGACTAATAAGACGTGCTACCACCACCAGTAATTACGCAAATTATAATTTTGCGGGTTTGATTTTATTACACGATGTTATTCCTTCACCGTGGAAGTCAATCGTGAACATTTGTTGAGTACGTCTTTCATTAGAAAAATTGGTACCCGCCTGCGGGATTCGAACACCGGTGCATAGCTACATACGAATGCATCGGACGTCTTATCCTTGAGGCCACGATGACTTCATTAGATAAGAAAGTATTTACATGGATACCAACATACACTCAACATTAAATATTCTGGTTTATCGATGAATGAGACAAGAAAATAATGCGAGGGTTTGATTAGTGGGGTAAAGTAATACAACATAGTATTGTTGGTATGTTTTATTGCGAGTCGCTGTGTGTATGAGGGCGGTGAGTCTGGTGTAGAGTGGACACCGGCGGCTGGATGGCTTGCAGACCTGGCGATGGTCCACGCCAGCACCCTCCACAGACCCCACTCCCGCGTCTGGACACGGATTGCTTGAATTAAGTACTCGGATGGGCGAGCTCAATGTCCTACTGTTTCTGCCACCAATCTTGAGATGAGCTCTAAGTCTGTCGCGGTAGGTGTGGTGGTACCAGTACCATTACTGGTGGTAGGACGTCTTGTGAATCCGCACGAATAGGTACCACCACCCTGCTGATTTGCGTAATGCGTTTGGGTTTGAAGGGTGGGGCAGCAGTTGTACAGTAAAAACGGAGACGTAGAACTTGGTCTCGAGGTAGGTGGCGGCATTTACGGCGTAGATGTCTATGGGCTCCGGTAACCACTTAACACCAGGTGGGCTGTGAACTCGTCCACTCGTCTAAGCTATAAATAAAACTAGTGCCTGCTCGCAAGACACTCTACCACAAGCAACAGACTGATTGATGGCAGTGGTATAGAATGGAATATAGAATTCCGGCTCAAGATCTTCAGTTACAAGAGTTATTGCCGTGAATCCGACGGATTGTGCTTTTGAGACTGCGACCTCATGTCTCAAGGGGGGAGTGGCAAACAATTAATTAATTACTCAAAATCATCCTTGAACTTTACGTAAAATAGTAGCAATAGTACCAAGGTACTATGACACACATAGAGGTGTAATTTAGAATAATTTTAACGAAATTTCCATCTTATATCTAAAGGTCGATGGCTTTGACACCAGACTGTAAAAATGGCACCTATTGCAATCAAAGTAAGATCTGAAAATGATTGAAGTGGTATAGTTTAAATGAAATTATTAAAATGAATTATTATTTAAATAAGTTAAATAAGAAGCAATAGAAAGTGTTCTGAGGGATTTTTGAGATACCCTCATCTTCAAAGAAGTTTTCAAACCACCCACTACTTTCATGACTTGCCACGTACCACCCGGCTCTGGGAGATTCCAGACAGCGACTTGTTTGCGCCACAACAGTAACCATATACCACCAAGATTATCCAAATGAAGCTTAAACACTAAAACGGTATAATAGAAACGGCTCGTGAAGACTGACCGGCCGATTGTAAGCTGACGATCCGGAGCCAGAGCACGGACATGAGGGTCCGCCGGGTTTCCACCAGGCTGCAGACGGTGGCGCTGCCGCTGCGCACCGCTGACATCCAGCGGGACTGCAGCGACAAGGTAGACCGGCTGTCTGCTCAAACATCCCAAGGTTGACTGTTAAACTCACAGCCTACCTCTTTACGTATCATAGTATCCTAGTACTTTTCTTAGTGTTATTCTAAGTAAATTGACAATAAGCCTACGTTAGTTACCGGAGCTCGTAGATAACTACGTAAGTGACGACAGCTTGAGGCATGAGGTCGAGGTCTCAAATAACTGCCCCCTTCAAATCGAAAACTATGACTGTCTCACACTAAACACATATAAGATGATTGTACCTCGGAACAGAGTTAACCTAAGACATTCATTATTTGTACTCATAGTACCCTGGTACTTTTCTGGATATTATTTTACGTGATAACAATAAATATACAGTCCATGCGCTGTTAAGGGGTTACTTAAGGTTGTCGACATTAATACCATCGTCCACCTTGAGATATGAGGTCGATGTCTCAAATGTATAACTGCCCTCTTCAATTTGAAAACCATGACTGTCTCACAGCAGACATATGAAAGATGGTTGTACCTCGGAACAGAGTTACACATACATCTCTTTGTATTCATAGTACCCTGGTACTTTTCTGGATATTATTTTACGTGATAACAATAAATATACAGTCCATGCGCTGTTAAGGGGTTACTTAAGGTTGTCGACATTAATACCATCGTCCACCTTGAGATATGAGGTCGATGTCTCAAATGTATAACTGCCCTCTTCAATTTGAAAACCATGACTGTCTCACAGCAGACATATGAAAGATGGTTGTACCTCGGAACAGAGTTACACATACATCTCTTTGTATTCATAGTACCCTGGTACTTTTCTGGATATTATTTTACGTGATTAACAATAAAATCACAGTCCACGTGATGTTAAGTGGTTACTTGGGGTTGTCGACATTTAATACCATCGTCCACCTTGAGATATGAGGTCGATTGTCTCATTCTGCCGCGAAGCAGTCTTGTGGGCTCTAGTAGGGAGCACGCGTGCCAGAAAGTCCTTGCACACAAAACCCTGCAAGACATTTTCAGAGCAACATTACTTTGGCTGATCTCCAGGAGTTCGATGCTCCTGGCTGTTATTGGGGTCTTGATGTCCGCCAGCGGCGACCCTCGGTGCGGCACCGAATAAAACATGAACCCGGAGCTGCTGGTCCACAGGCCAGCACGTGCTGACAATTCTGAAAAATTATATACTAAATTACACACCTCCTTGTATGTCATAGTACCCTGGTACTTTTCTTCCTAATATTTTACATGATTAATAATATTATCATGGTCCACGCGATGTTAAGTGGGTTCCCTGAGCTTATTACAAATACAAAATGTACCCACCTTGAGACATGAGGTCGATTTCTCAAATCGGACCCCATACTTCACAACGAACTTATGAGACTAACTAACTAACGAACTTTAAAGATGGCTGTACTTCGAAATTAATATTAAATTTACACCTAAACATATTTGCATTGACATGCAAAGGTTATTTTTAAATTTATTTTTTATTTTTTATATATGTATATATTTATTACATACATTATATATTATTATGTACTATGACTAGTATCCTGGTACTTTTCTTCCCTTTATTTAACGAAATTGACAATATATTATTATAATAGTTTACTTGATGTGAAGTATTTACCTGAGGTCAGTGAAATTACAACATGCATTCTATGCCCCACCTTGAGACATGAGGCTGAATTATCAGTCATATAAGTGACCCTGACTTCAATTCGAACCTACGACTGGTTCCCAGCAGATATAATATGAAGGATGGTTGTACCTCTGAACAGAATTATCCTATGTTACACATACACCTCTTTGTATGTCATAGTGCCCTGGTATTTTTGTCGCTACATTTACATAGATTGACTGACGAAGCTAACAACAGCTCTCACCTCTTTGCACATCATAGTGTCCTAGTACTTTCCTTCCTATTGTTTTACATGACAAAATCAGAGTCCATTTGATGTTAAGTGGTCACTGGAGGCTATAGACATCGCAACCTGAATGCCACCCAACTTGAGGCACATGAAGTCGAAGGATGAAACGACTATCCTTTCGAAGAGGAACCATATAAGCAATAAAATAATAAATTAGAATAACTTTTGTGATCATGATTAGACTATAGACATATCTGTCTACCCTCTCTTTCTATTCGGTTTTTTAATTACCATTGAAACTTGATAACTCGCCCCCTAAAAAAATGTGGTAACAAATTAAATTAGGTTTCTAAGTTTCCATTACAATCAAAAAACTTACCATCCAAAATTACAGCATCATCGTTATAGCGATTATCTTCATTCGCACCACCGGTCTTCGTATGCTCGCAGTCATTATATCCCGCGCCGTCTTCGAGAATATCCCGTTTGGTATACGATTTCTCGCTACACATCTCGCTGCCCTCTCCCATATGCTTATCATTATCCTTCTCGCATAGGATCTCTATTGAATCTAGCTTCCCAACAAATCCTTCGCCCTCTTCCCGCCCATTATGATCATCACAATGATTGTATGTCTTAAATTCGATATTATTATTACTAGCACTATGTTTATTTTTGGCATTAATTAACTTCAAGTGTGCTTCATAAGCTGAAAAGACAACACGGGTTTAACTTTAGCCATTTTTTCCCGTATAAAGTAATTTTTTTTAACGGTAACTGTGTAAATAAAGATTGCTGAAGTCCTATGCTAATAAGAAAAATGTTTAGTAGCTATGTAGTAGTTAATAATGACCTAGCTCGTTTTGTCATCTCCTCTCTCAACGGTCGTGTGGTTCGCGAGACGCTCTGTCTATTCTCTCACTCTCGCTCGTCCTAAATTGTATCTTTTCTCTCTAGCCGTAACGAATCAGTTGCTAGTTAATTTTTTTTTCCTACCTAAGCCTTGAGAGGCTATTTCAGCGTAACCTTAACTAGTAGGTGAGCTCACGGGGCTCAAACCGGAGTAATGCTAACACTGGCCCCAGCAAGAGCAGTGCTTCGCAGAATCTACCACCGGATCTGAAACGCGACCCACTGAAAAGATCCGGCGAGAAACTCAATGGGCTGTGTCTATGGGTTAATTTGTTCGTCGAGCCCTTCGTCGCAAGCGACGGGTTCAACGAGGACGGTGACCGGTGCTTGTGGTGCCTAAAAGCACCGTTAATGGATCGGGAGGATCCGTAATGACGTGTTTTGGGCGACGTCGGCTGTTTACCATTCGGTCTACAGGATCGGGTATGGTAAATTTTACTCTTAACGCGCCTAAAGAAATTTCACTTCAAAAACATTTAATTTATTACTAAAGCAAGGGGAAAGACAATTAACACAATGTCGCGTTAATTCTGATCACCTTACCATCACAGTATATCTGTTTTATAAACAGTCCCCCCTTGGAATGTCCGACCCACACGATGGGTCTCCGCCCGACCCCCAGCTCCAAAAGTTGGGCGGTCATTTGTTCGGCGCGCTCGTGTAGGCGCAGTCTGTAATGCCATACACAAAAACGTTACCGAAGTCAATAATAATTGAATACGCATTATTATAAGTGGAAATGGATAGATCATTTAATAAGAAGCAAAACAGAAAAATGGGCTAAATTAGTAACTGAATGGTACCCTCGAGAGGGGAATAGATTAAAAGGACGACCGTTCCAAAGGTGGGAGGACGACATTAAAGCCGTTGCAGGCTCTACAAGGAAGAGGAAATGCCACGACCGGAACTTATGGCAGGATTTGGGGGAGGCCTATGCGAAAGTAAAACAATCTTAGCCGATGTTAAATGCAAAGAAAAATGAATAGTAGGTATATACCTAAATATGAATTAAGGTTGTTAATAAAAAAATAAAATTCACATTGAAAAGCTCTGAGCCTAACGTAAAAGAATAATAGATGCTAACACTTAAGCACTTTTTAAAGAAAACTTTCTTTCCAACATTTTCCACAAGACGACTTCATTCGCCAAGATCGACACCCTATTGTTTTGGACGTATCATGCGGTCTCCGAGGCATAGACTGGAAAGGCTTCTCATTCTTGGTCAAATGTAGGGGAAACGAATTATAGGTAGGGAGAGACCAATAAGATGGTCGGACCCCAAAAAGGGGACATTTGGGGGGCAGCATCCAAAAGGCGGTCCACTTCGAAGGGGACGGACTTTTATCGAAACACATACGTATGGTCGCAATCTTAAGCAATGATGGACGAAGCAAAAGAATATAAATGGTCTTTAAAATCACGGTTTCCTGATGATCTACAACGTAAATGCGTCCCCCACCTTGAGATATAAGTTCTAAGGTCTCAAATACAGTTACAACGGCTGCCCCACCATTCAAACCGAAACTGCTTCACGGCAAAAATAAGCAGGGCCATGGTACCTACCCGTGCGGATTCACAAGAGGTCTTACCACCAATAAAAAATTATATGTTTACAGCCCTATCGGAATTCACCTCTTTATTTCTCGGATCCATAACGGCCGCCACAGATACGGATCGCTCGTGTAGTTAACCGATATGACTCTGGCCCCCGGGAAGTCGATCTTGATCCAGTCCCGGGGCCAACAATCGGAGTAGCAAGCGTCGCAGAGACACCCACAGCCCGCGTCACAAGGTCTACTGTCCCCATAGCATTCGCAGGCGTTACCCTGATCAGGCGGTTTAACGCATTCGCAATCGTTACGGTTAACACGCGTCACACACTCCCCGCAGTGACCCTTGAACAGGTCCTGAACGAATCTCGCTTGGGCGTCGTAATCCTCGACCCCCTCACCCGGATCTGATTCGTCGTAAAATCGCTCCGTTATCAGAGCTTCCTCGTTAGGCAGAATCCTTCTAAAGCTCCCGTTAACGTTCTCAGCCGTTACGTTATCGGCGTTAGCGTTATTCATTTTAACATTGTCTGCGTTATCGAGGGTTTTCGAAGTGTGGTTTATCAGAGTCTTTAATTCCGGTTCGCTTTTGTATGTTGGTTTCCAATCGCCTTGACGCCAAGTATTGCTTAAGGATCCTGTAACGGTAACGAAAGATGAAAAAGGATAGTGGAATTGAATAGCATTTTACATCATTTTCGAGATAATCTTGCCTATTATACAGTGTACCAAAAAACTTTTTATTTACTGCTTAAGTGAGATAGACATCTACAACGTAAATGCCGCCACCTACCTTGAGTTATGAGTTGTAAAGGTCTTACTTTTGACACTACAACGGCTGCCCCACCTTTCAAACTGAAACGCATTACTGCTTCACGGCAGAAACAAGCAGGGCGGTGGTACCTACCCGTGCGGACTCACAAGACGTCATACCACCACTAATTATGCAGATTATAATTTAGCGGGTTTCGTTTTTATTACACGATGTTACTGCTTCATTGTGGAAGTTGTTCGGGGATATGAGTCAAGTCTGTCTGCGGTATTCGAACCCCAGCAGAGTCGTATCGCTCGATACGAATGGATCGGCCGTCTTATCCTTTAGACCGCGAGGACTTAACCGACTCTGTGTCAGGACTTACCGTATAGCCCATGGACGAAGATGACGTCGAGGGTAGGAGAAGGCGGCTCGTGCAGGACCACGCACTCCACGCGAGGCACGGGGTCCAGGTGGTCGGTCCCCGGCACCCTAAGCTTCGTTTTGACTGGTTTCGCTGTAAATTAAGATATGTCCTTATAAAACGGGTAGGTACCACCACCCCGCCTATTTCTGCAGTAATGCGTTTCGGTTTGAAGGGTGGTGCAGCCGTTGTAACTATACTGAGACCTTAGAACTTATGTCTCGAGTTGGGTGGCGCATTTACGTTGTAGATGTCTATGGGCTAACAGCAGATAACAACAGATTTTCGTCTTTCCCTGAGTCTACTAGATATTCCGGCGCCTTAAGAAGATCGAAGAGAGAAATCGACATGATTAGTTTAGGACGTCGCGTAGGGCACCGGTGACCTACATGTCAAAGGTATGAGTTAAGGCGTTCAAGTTAAGGGTTCGGCGAATGCTGTTGGAAAAGTTAGCGGAATCGTCATGAACTTATTAAGATTAAGCTATTTGTTAAGAAAATCTATTAATGTTATATTCCTTTTAATACTGTATAAACTATTGTATGTATGTATGTGTATATGTATTTGTAACTTAATATATAATATAATTTCATTGCACCTACCACTATTTACTCTGCACTACCTTTGGTTGACTGGTAGAGAATGTCTTAGGCATTAAGTCCGCCAATGTAAGTTTTACATGCGAATTTTACATAAAATGTCTTTTATTTTTTATCGCCCTAATAGGCAGACGAGCATACGGCCCAACTAATGGTGAGTGGTTACCGTCGCCCATGGACTTCAGCAATGCCAGGGGCAGAGCCAAGCAGCTGCCTACCGCTTAGTAAAAATCACGTTGTGGCGGTTTGGGTCACGCTATTTGGAATCTTGCAGACCGCATTGAATTGGGTTAAGTCGGGTCCCCGCGCCGCCTTGTCGCGATGGGCGCGGGATAAGATAAACAAACCACTTGACCTAATTCTGCGTTATCGTAATTGCGAAACTCAATGAAACGGTGAAAATTATCAAAGGATTACTACATTGATTACAGGCCAAACCCTAGTTTGATGGTCGCTTCTTAATTTGAACCCGACCAAACAGAAGATCGCACACTAGGTCATCTCGAAGGTTTCTGGTAGAAGGACTGGTGGTAGCGCTTCTTGTGAGTCCGCACGGGTAGGTACCACCACCCTGCCTATTTCAGCCGTGAAGCAGTAATGCGTTTCGGTTTGAAGGGCGGAGCAGCCGTTGTAACTATACTGAGACCTTAGAACTTATATCTCAAGCTGGGTGGTGGCGTTTACGTTGTAGATGTCTATGGGCACCGGTGACCACTTAACACCAGGTGGGCCGTGAGCTAGTCAACTATTAAGCTATAAAAAAAGGGTGCGTGTACTTATGTACGCGCGTAAGAAGTTATACTTTATTTTTATTATTATTTTTTCTTTTTTTTAATATTAAATAATTAATAATAAATATTTAACGTTAATAATTTAATAATATTTAGTATGAATTATATTAAATAATAATTTTGTCATCTACATTACTAAAAAATGAATGTTATTAACACTTTTTTTTACGAGTGTACATGAGCGAAAGTTCACCTGCGGCTATATTCAGACTCGCCAAGTTATGTCGGTCGTATTGTAATGAGCGATTTAGTGGGCAACTTCATTTCTGTTAATTTTGTGTCACGGTGCGCGCGCATCGTCAAATTTCACTCTCATCAATTTTTCATAACGCGCCTAAAGAAGTATAACTTCAAAAATAAAAATGAAAATGTCATCAAAATTCATATCAGGGTCTGTAGGGAACACATGTGACATGTCCCTCTTCAAACGAAGCTTGCGGAAAGTCTTTTAAGGGGGAAGCGACTTGACTCTGCCCCTGTTATTGCTTAAGTCCATGGGCAACGGTAACCACTCACCATCAGGTGGGCCGTATGCTCGTCTGCCTTAGAAAGAGCAATAAAAAAATTGACCTTAGCCTTGCACTTTTGTAATAGAAAAATCATACTTAATGCAATAACTGATAGCTTTAAGTACAATCGAAAGAGTATAACTTAGTACAGTTTAAGGATTTTATAAGCTACTAACTGACCCGGCACACTTCGTAGTGCCTCAATCGATAAATAAAAGACCTAAGCTTTTGTATAAAATAAACTTAAAACAAACAAAAGGAATCCGTCCGACGGGGGACACATTACTTAAAGCAAAACAAAATTGTTATTTTTATTTAATTCCGAGCATTTTCATATTTATCTACCTTTTAAACTTTCTCTGGACTTCCACAAATAATTCAAGACCAAAATTAGTCAAATCGGTCCAGCCGTTCTGGAGTTTTAGTGAGACTAACGAACAGCAATTCATTTTTATATATACTAGTGGCCCCGCAGTAGTCGAGATTCGACTATAATTAATTGACATTCCCGATCCTGCGGACAGAATGGAAAGCAATCGACGTCGCCCAAAACACGTCATCTCGGATCCTCCCGATCCACTAACGGTGCTTTTAGGTACTTTAAGCACCGGTCACCGTTCTCGTCGAACCTGTCGCTTGCGACGAAGGGCTCGACGAGTAAATTAACTCTCAGACACAGCCCACTGAGTTTCTCGCCGGATCTTCTCAGCGGGTCACGTTTCTGATCCGGTGGTAGATTCTGCGAAGCACGGCTCTTGCTAGGGTTCGTGTTAGCAACGTCATCAGGTTTGAGCCCCGTGAGCCCACGGTTACGCTGAAATAGCCTCTAAGGCTATCAGCTTAGGTAGGAAAAAAAAAAAATTGAAAAAATAAGTTTAAACATTATTATGGTTCTATTGTCAAAAACTATTATATTTCGTTAATATAATCACAGTATTCGCCAAAACTGCACTATAGATCAATAATATTAAAGACAAACAATATTAATCTTTTTTGTCAATTCGACTACAGACTTTAAACAATAACAAAAGTTTCCCAATTGACAGTAGGTAAACAAAGAATATTAGATAGATATTTTTATGTATGTGTTGTGTCGTGTCAAATACATGGTAGTGTGTGTAATGTTTTCTTTATTGATTTAAAGTATCATTTATGCATATATTTTTTTTAAATATTAGCATTGTGCATTCCTTCTCTATATTCTCTACTAGCGGCCCGCTCCGGCTCCGCTCGGGTCTTTAACAAAAAATTCAACGATATTTGACGTTGTTTTATTTTTTAAAATAAAAGAACACTTATTGCGGCATAACTATAATAGTTAGACATATGCTGTCGCGACACTTTTCGTAAATAATAATGTGTTCTACAAAGTCGTAGTACGTTATTTTATTCTATCACCAATAGTTTTCGCAGGACACGCGATATAAAGAATATTTTAGGTAATTTTTTTACACCTTGGGTTACATTACTGGAGTTTTGTAATAGGATCCCTAATTTTTTGTAAAAATAACATTACAGCCTATGTCGATCGGGAATAGTGTAGCTTCCAAACAGTGAAAGAATTTTTCAAATCGGTTTAGTAGTTTTGGAGCCTATTCTATACAAACAAATCTTTCCTCTTTATATTCATACTCCTATTTCAAACTCCTCCGTCCGCGCAATTTTCTTAAAAAGGGGTACAAAGTTTTTGCTTCACGTATTAATATATAGATAGATATAAGCTATGAATGAAAAGGAAATACCTTTGATTTGCGGCAGTCTGACGGCGACTAATCGATGCAGGAAAACGGTGACCGTCCTCCATAAGCTCGAAGCACACCACCGTCTGCAACAATATCTAGGCTGAATGGACTGCGGATGGAGTGGGGGGAAACGTTTGCAGTGGGGGAGTCAAGCGGGAGGAAGATGGATCGCACCCTTTGCCAAAATATCTACTTAACGACGAGAAGGAGTGTAGAATTTTTTTACTGGTTGTAGGACCTCTTGTGAGTGATACTGCGAAGCACGGCTCTTGCTAGGGCCAGTGTTAGCAGCGCTCCGGTTTGAGCCCCGTGAGTTCACCTACACGTCAAGGAGAAGCTGAAATAGCCTCTCAAGAGTATCTGCATAGGTAGGAAAAAAAATTTGTCGTACTTGGTTACAGACGTCTTCGCTGTTTCCGTGGCAACGTTAATCTACCCTCATATAAATCGCTACAGTGTATGAACAGCCTTAAGTCGCGATCGAGATGCGTCGCGGCAAAAGAGCTGCGTTCCACCGCGTGGGGCTTCAAAACCTTGACATTTGAATCCAGTTAGTGAATCTACGTGTCAGCCGGCGTGCGCTTGAGGCGGGATAATTGACTGTTATCGCGAATCATTTCCGCGTCCGTTGGATTCCCGTCACCTCCAACAGATTTGGTTCATCGCGTAGGGGGCACGCCCACGCGTTGAATACGCGGGCCAAAATCTAGGGCTCATTGATCAGACTGGTCATCCACAATTCGGCGGGATGTGGTCTGCCCAGAACCGGTCATTATGGCGATCCTTGGGCGAGTGAGCCTATGTCCAGCAGTTACAGATTTTTACTGGTGCTAGGACCTCTTGTGAGTCCACGCGGGTAGGTACCACTACCTCGCCTATTTCTGCCGTAAAGCAGTAATGCGTTTCGGTTTGAAGGGCGGGGCAGCAATTGTAACTATACGGAGACCTTAGAACTTATATCTCAAGGTAACCACTTCAGTTCCGATAACCACTTAACACCAGCCCACCGGCTGTGAGCTCGTCCACCTATCTAAGAAAGAAAAAACTACTGAATGGATTTTGATGAAACTTTACAATGATATAGCTGACGCATCAGATTAACACGTAGGCTATAATTTATAAAGATACAGTGTGAATTACCCAAAATACAACGATAAGTATTATGTATGATAAGAGAAAAAATATGCCATTTAATTTTCATAATCAACTAGCGACCCGTCCTGGCTTCGCTTCGGAAACTATAATTTATTATTGATTTCTCCACTATTTAATTGATGTTATTATACATATAAACCTTCCTCTTCAATTACTCTATCTATTAAAAAAAACCGCATCAAAATCCGTTGCGTAGTTTTAAAGATTTAAGCATACATATATATAGGGACAGAGGAAGCGACATTGTTTTATACTATGTAGTGATAATAAACTAGTTTCTGAAGCGAAGCGAAGGGGGGTCACTAGTATACACATGAATTCTTGAAACATAAATACATACATACATTTACATAAATCGACGCGTATAAATTTGGCACGTGCTAAATCTGACAATTATGACATAACACGTCCGCTAGTTCGTTGACCTCTGACAATGTTAAGGTCATGGCGAAAAGCCAATACAAGAAACTTTAGTTTGACGAAACATTTCTTCGGTGGACGGGACGTTTTGTATTTTGTATTGCTCCAAAGTAGGATTACGGGCCATCTTTTTTAATGCTTAGATGGGTGGACGAGCTCACAGCCCACCTAATGCTAAGTGGTTACCGGAGCCTATGGACATCCACAACATAAATGCCGCCACCTACCTCTAGATGGCAGATACCTTGGTAGGCAGCGGCTTGGCTCTGCCCCTGGCATTGCTGAAGTCCATGAGCGACGGTAACCACTCACCATCAGGTGGACCGTATGCTCGTCTGCCTACAAGGCCAATGAAAAAAAAAAAGATATGAGTTCTTAGGTCTCAGTTTTTACAGTACAACGGCTGCCCCACCCTTCAAACTTGAGTTTGTCCACCCATCTAAGCAATAAAAAAAAGACTGCCATATGGCAACACTGTTGGTGGAGGCGAGGGCAGTAGTGGGGACGAGGCTTATTAACAAAAAAGGGTGCGTGTACTTATGTACGCGCAAGTACTTTATTTTTATTATTTTGTTTTTATTTTATTTAAATTTTATTCAATTCGAAAAAAAATCGATTAAACAACATCCTCAAAGACGCAAATTGGACATCTCTTTTCTCTCTGACCTCGTATTAATTCGGTAATTCTCGGTACGGTTCGGAAAGTTCACCTGCGGCTATATTCAGACTCGCCAAGTTACGTCGGTCGTATTGTAATGAGCGATTTAGTGGTCAACTTCATTCTGTTAATTTTGTGTCACGGTGCGCGCGCATCATAAAATTTCACTCTCATCAATTTTTCATAACGCGCCTAAAGAATATAAGAGTATAACTTCAAAAAAACGGTGGTCTTTAAAAAAAAGGAGAGAAAAGCGATGTATTCTGTAGTAAGCACAATACCTAAAAGTCGTACAAGCACTTCAAAACAATACTCACAGCACCGCAATGAAATACGGGTGCAGTCTGACGTTGCCATGTCCGCCATTTTGTGGAAGTATTTCACGTGACGCCGCCATCTTGTTTAAGCCAAGTCTTGGTTATCTGCGAAAGAAGAGTAGATATAGTTCGAGTTTCATGTTGTCCAGGGGCTCCAAAACTAATTTATTCTACTGCTACTCTTTGGGAATAAATTACTTTTTAGCGCCCCCATTTTTTCACCTACTTAAAAACCATTATATGAGCTCAGTAGTTAGGTAACTAGGTAAACAGTGTCCTTAGTGCGTTTTTTTTAACGTTCTCGATAGCGTAAAAGTTAACTTAAATTTGTATGGAGTTGGAATGTTTCGCTACGTTTGCCGCTAGGGGCGCTGTTCCAACTGCATACCAATTTGAGTTAATTTTTACAAAACAATTGTTACAAAACTCGCCCTAAGAATTACACAGAGCGAAATGTGGTAGTTTATTAAGCTGTTTTTAAAATATCTCCTTCCTTAGAACCTTCTTCAGCTATTAGAAAGGGGGTAAACTTAATTTAAATTCAATTAAAAACATCGAACCGTCGATGCTGATACCAAATAAAACGGACCTTTAATCTATACTAATATTATAAAGCTGAAGAGTTTGTTTGTTTGAACGCGCTAATCTCAGGAACTACTGGGCCGATTTGAAAAATTATTTCAGTGTTAGATAGCCCATTTATTGAGGAAAGCTATAACATCACACAATATAAGCGGAGCACCAATAAAAAATGTTTCAAAATCGGCTTTTTTTGAAGTCGGTTAAAAAGCGTGTTTTGGGTATATCATCATCATCAGCCTTTACCTGCCCACTGCTGGACATAGGCCTTCCCCAATGCGGTCCTCCGCCTTCCGCATCCAACGACTTCCCGCCGTGCGCACTAAGTCGTCAGTCCACCTGGTTGGAGGACGCCCCACGCTCCTTGTACCCATCCGTGGCCTCCATTAGTTATATAACTATAGGCTATATAACATTACGGTAAGACCAATACAAGTGGAGTATCAATAAAGAATGTTTCAAAATAGAGTTATAAATAGCTCCTTAACATGCTATAATTCAAAAATATTTTCACTTTCTACGTAAGTGAAGTGGGAGGTAAAATTTAGCGTTATGCCTAAATAGTTATTCCACGCGGACGGAGTCGCGGGAAAAAGCTAGTTACAAAGATAAATGTCATGTGTTAAGCGAAATGTCAATTAAACCAAATGGCCCTTCATCCCTCAATATAACAATAGGCTGACTAGCATACGGTTCACTTTTATTTATTTATTTATTTTTATTTATTTTATTATTATTTGTGGTCATAGTTTAACAAAGATTAATAAGCTAATATTAATAAATGTATCACTATGTCCTGCTAGTAAAGCGTACAAATATTAGGTGTAAGTGTAATCTACATAAAAATTAAAAATAAAACTTAAATTATTCTACTTTATCATCTTAAGGTTATCGTCTAAATATTCTGACATACTATAGTAAGCCTTATCTATTAAAAATATTTGCAATTTTTGCTTAAAATCTTGTGAATCTACTGTCTTCAAAATGTTTATAGGTAGTTTATTAAATATTCTTGATGACATACTAAAAAAACTCTTGTCATACTGTCAACTCTTGTCACTTGATCGGGAGCCGTAACTGTCTCTTATGCACGTGAGCTATACTGAGAGCTCTTCGTACCTTTGCATTAGACGCCTTCAGCTCTAACACTAGGAGCGGGCTTAGGGACCCCGGTAACCGTACTCGTCGAACTCGACAAAGAGACCTAGCCCATGCATCAGCCCGATGAGTTTCTCACCGGATCTTATCAGCGGGTCGCGATTCCGATCCGGTAGTAGATTCATTCGCGAAGCAGCTGCTCTTGAGTTGTTAGGTCTCCTTTGGAGGCGCTCGGGTAGCTGTTGGCAAATCCCGCCCCTCCTGACTGAGCCTTTGCTCGCCCACCTGTCCTGGTGAAACTGGAAAGGCCTCAGGGCCACCAGTAATCCTTCAGTCATCAAAAAAGCTCTTCGCAAACCTAGTTCAGAAGAAGGATATATGTTCTCCCGACACGAGAACTTCAAAGAATTAGAGGATATTTCAACGAATGGTACCTACTATCCTAGTGCCTACAATGTACTTACTCGTATATTTAAAATAGGTTAAAACGTTTGTCTGATGTGCCATTGTTTTCAAATGAGTTTTATTTAGGGCGATTCTTAATGATCGTATTTAGACTTCGTTTTGTGTATATGTTACCGGAAATGTATGTAATCCGTCATTGTATACAATTCCTAGGAAATGTATGTAATTCCTAAAATCGCACGGAAATGTGTGAAATAAATTATATTATACTTACACATTACACATTTCCTAGGAAATCTATACATTTCCTAAATAGCAATCGGAAATGTAAAACATTTAAGATATTGGTGGGTACGCGGGGACAGCGGGACGAGTCTTGCACTACGGTCAGTTGCCAATTTGCAATCCACTGGAACCGGCCAGGGATTTAAGAAGTGCGTTTGCAAGAAAAACTGTGCTACATCAAGATGTCTGTGTTTTAAAAATAAAGTATTATGTACTTCCAAATGTCATTCGAGCTTACCCTGCAAAAATAAATAGCTATATGGACTGACAAAGTATTATAATATAAAGATTTACTTTTATACTTTGACATTTATAATTACTTAATTATCAGACTGATTACTTGCCAAATGAAAATTTGATTTTATAAGAATAAAATATAAGTTGATTTTGTGATACGTTAAAAGTTAATAGATAGTTGATTTTAGAAGTTTTAATTAGTAAGATAATATGAATATATTATTATTATTTTACGGTATGACTGTTACCCGATTGTCTCAATAGTGTTATAATAAAAAAATATTATTAACAACGTGTTTTATTACAGAAAGCATTTACTTTATACATTTCCTAATACGATATTGGAATTATATACAATTCCGAGGAAATTTATACATTTCCTAGGATATCTATACATTAAATAGTTTTTCAAACAAAATTTTATACATTTCCTAAATAGTATCGGAATTGTACACATTTCCTAGGATTTGTATACAATTTCTTGATTTCATACATTTCCGGTAACATATACACGACGTAACTATAAGTAGACTCTTCTCTGTAGACACAGTCTACTGAGTTTTTCGCCGGATTTCTTCAGTGAGTCGCGATTCCGATCCGGTGGTAGATTCAGCGAGTCACGGCTCTTGCATACCCGATCCTGTAGACCGAATGGTAAACAGTCGACGTCGCCCTAAACGCGTCAAAGTTTTTTTTTTTGGTATTTATTGCTTAGATGTGTTTACGAGTTCACAGTCCACCTAGTGTTATGTGGTTACTGCAGCCCATGGACATCTACAACGTAAATGCGCCGCCCACCTTGAGATATAAAGTTCTAAGGTCTCAAGTACAGTTACAACGGCTGCCCCGCTCTTCAAACCGAAACGCATTACTGCTTCACGGCTGAAATAGGCCGGGCGGTGGTACCTACCCGCGCGGACTCACAAGAGGTCCTACCACCAGTAATTACGCAAATTATAATTTTGCGGGTTTTGATTTTTATTACACGATTTTATTCATTCACCGTGGAAATCAATCGGGAACATTTGTTAAGTACGTATTTCATTAGAAAAATTTATACCCGCCTGCGGGATTGGAACACCGGTGCATCGCTACATACGAATGCACCGGACGTCTTATCCTTTAGGCCACGACGACTTCAAAGTTCCCGCCTAAAAAGTTTAGAAATTATATTTATTGTGTCGATGGACCAAAGTTAGTTTTTAATTAATCATTCTCAATTAAAAATAACAATTAATTACTGTCACTTGCGTCTTAAAATCGTCTAACATCAATCTGTATAAGTCACTCAACATTTAAGTACATTTATTTGTAACACTAACAAATTGTCATTGTTTTTTTTTTTCAATTTATTTTTACACTACTTAGTTCAGAACGCCGCGACGATACTAATTTAAAAACAAAAGTTTGACATTCATAAACTGTTTTTTGTTTGAATTTCTTTAATGCCACACATGAAGCGATGTATGAATCTTAAATATTCAAGATGTAACTGAATGTATAACATGAAAATCCATCTTGGTCACTCGACCAGGAAACGCCAAAATTAAGGCGAAAACAATCATGAAAACACTAACATTAGAAACTAAATTAGGTTTGTTAAACTCCAGTTTGTCTAAATAAATACTTAAACTGATACCTTGACATAGCGTTGAAGCAAAACCCGATATCACATTAACAACAGTCTGACCTTGTTGGTATAATCTGAACACATTATCTAATTCAATGTTGGTTTGATCAATTTAACTCACAAAATAACTTTTAAATTGATAATTCAAATTTAGATAATTTTTTTGCACAATTTTTTTATTTTAAAATAATTTAAATGAAGCGCGAATAAAAACCAAGCAACTCTGGCGCGGTTTTCCGCGCGACTACTATTTTTTTTACTAACAAGTTTGGTGCAAGCTTATTAAAACAATTGACAACGCCTCATCGCATAAAAAATAGAGTTGAAAATAGATTATATAGATGGCAAACGTTACTTTGTTTAAAGATACGTCACAACTATGTTATAATGCTGTTGGCAGAACTTTATACAGTTGAACATAGAGTCGAAAGTCGCATGAATTATTTTAATTGCTTGCTAAACTACGTAATTGATACGAGCTCGACAAACTTACGGATGCGGTCGACAAAATGAATCTTCGCTTTGTTGATGTTGTGCGATATTGTTCGAGAGGCGTAAATTAATTTTGTCGTTTCGAATTGAATCATTGTTCACGATATTATTATATTAGGCTCTCTGTATACTGTCTGTGACCGAAGCGCGTCGAATTCGGTAAGCGATTAAAGAATTTGTACGCTAATAACCGTATTATTGACGTGACAACGTCTTTTAATTTGAAGATGATTGATTGATTGTTCAAGAACATCTGTGCAATAAAGCTTACTATAAAGTCAATGATTATCTAGACGATTGCATAAACTGGGAATGAGTTGCTCGCTCCGGGCATTTCAATATTGCAGTAATTGTTACGTTATAATACTCATTGTAAAAAATTCATATTAAAAAAAAAAATATTAAAAAAAATTATTATAATTTCATATTTAAAAAAAAAAAGGACATGCCCGCTGAGTTTCTTGCCAATTCTTCTCAGGACGGAGGCTAGTTCTTGTGAATTGGCGGTAGTTCTTTTTGACGTTCAACAAGTATGTACTTTCATTTATGTTGAATAAAAGATGTTTGATGAATATGAAGCCTAAACCCAGGACAAATAATTGCCTGACAAACAAATAATAACAAATAATTGTCTACTCAATCGGGATCGCGAACCGCTGAGGCACTATGGGCCAGGAGTAGCCAGACGAGGTCCATAGATGGCAAGGTAAAAAAATATAAATACATAGAACAGGCAGGGCAACGCAAGGAGTAGGTACTAATATTAAATATCAGTTATATGTTAATTAATTTAATAAAATATAATAAACGAGTTTTTTAACGTTCTCGATAGCGTAAAAGTTAACTCATATTTGTATGGAGTTGGAACAGCGCCCCTAGCGGCAAACGTAGGCAAACGTTGACGCTGATTTAATAAACATACTTAATTGTTATTTTATTATATTCATTCCATTAACCTAGCGTTTATTACACTTTTTTGTTTCCTTCACTTCTTTGACTATAATGGCTTAGGCATAAAACTCTCGGATGTGTATATCGTGCATACTAACGAATAGATAAATGAAATTCTCGTTTTTATTAACGCGATAACATCTTGTAAATCGATGATCACCGGCTGCACGCACAAAAAAGTGTTACGTTCCGCCTGAGCGTGCGAGGGAGAGCGCGGAACAAGCGATAGAGAGGCACGATCGTCCCAAGCGTTGGCTTGTGACACGTTTATCTATCTTCTCGCGTGACGTCTGAGCTAGGAGTTCGAACAGTAAAACTATCGTCCGTAAACCGAATTTACCGACAACCATATTTTTTTTCTGTATTCGTATATAATATAGCTTTATGTGTATTCTCCAACTAAAGTTTATCCGAACAGGATTTGTCTGTTATTGGAGTGTGTTAATGACTCCGTTAAAACATTTAAATTGGATTCTAAATACATCAGGCACTTACGGACTATTATATGTGAGTTTAAAATAAGTATATATGTACATATTGAGGGGTATAAGGCTGATTGTATACACGTCGTTAAGTTTCTGAAATATTAGTTTGAAAAATATACTTATATTTGTCTATACTACATAATATTATAAAGAGGAATGATTTAAGTGTTTGTTTGTATTGAATTGGTTCCGAAACTACTAAACTACTGAACCGATTTAAAAAATCTTTCACTGAACTGGCAAGCTACACTATCCCCGGGTGACATAGGCTATATTTGAGTCGTCTATTATCAAAGGTGGCAATCTGTGCATTTGGACAAAAAAAAATTATTGATATGTCAATACAGATTGATTTGAATATAATCGTCTCCTTCAAAGAATACGGTTCAAAACCTGCATTAAATGAAGGTTAATAGTTAACCTGTTATTTATCTAAGATGTCGTTCCGAAGAGTTTTGTGACTGCCAATGGAATACAAAGTCAATAATTCGTTTTTCTGATTTACCAATCATTGTCCAAAAGTCAGATTGCCGGCTTTGATAATAGTCGACTCATTTATTGTATTTTCAAAAAAATTAGGGATCCTTACTGAAACTCCAATAATGTAACCCAATGTGTAAACCCAAAAATTCTTTACATCGCGTGCGCTACTACCCAAGCGAAGCCGGGGCGGGCCACTAGTTATAAATATAAAGGGTTTTTTCAAAAGAGGCGTGCGATCTTTGACCGCTCATAGTGGCAATCTTGGTAAAGCAATAGGTGTCAAATTTGGCATAAACACATATTTAGTCGTGATTTTTCACCATAAATAATAATACACTTAATATTTAACCATGGAACGCTACAGGCTTCAACATCGCGTAGTAATTATTAAAAGTCCATTATCAAAATCAGTGCCCTATTCGCCAAGCGTTCCGTGCATTGCATCCAATTTATTGCTGTCCATGGTTGTCCTGCAGAGTACACAATCCGTCGTTTAATAAAAAGAAATTGAGACACCCGGGTCGTTGTTTTTTTTTCTCCCAGCTATTCTAGTAACCTCGAGGGGTTATTTTAGATTCGCCAGTGAGTAGGTGAGCTCACGGGGCTCAAACCTGATGACGTTGCTAAAACGAACCCTAGCAAGAGCCGTGCTTCGCAAAATCTACTACCGGATCGGAAACGCGACCCACTGAGAAGATCCGGCGAGAAACTCAGTGGGCTGTGTCTATGGGTTAATATACTCGTCGAGCCTTTCGTCGCAAGCGACGGGTTCGGCAAGAACGATAACCAGTGCTTGAGGTACCTAGAAGCACCGTTAGTGGATCGGGAGGATCCGAAATGACGCGTTTTGGGCGATGAAGCAGTACGTCAAAGAAACGCAAGACCGTCATAGAATATTGTTGCCGTTAGGTACAGTCTGCGATAAAACCCAGACAGTCCATTCCGCGTCGTGCCCAAGGGCTGGGTCTTTCTGCGACATTAACTCGGCGGACTCACCCGTTTTGCACGTTTTTCTTCTGTGCTTAAGATATAATAATATATACTTTTCTTTCGGTATACATAATCAATGTCCTCACTTGATTCTGTGTTCGCACAACATAACACTACCGCACGTAGGTAACCTGTTCAAAACTCCAACTAAACTCGCTCTCTGTGGAAATTGACAGTTAATTTCCAGTTTCTCATAGTCCGTTCAATTCGCTCAGCTGATTCACCTCTGTCGTTATTCGTTTGCAGTGGAAATGAACAGGCAAAACTCTTTGTGGGTGGGAATGCAAACCGCTGTTGTTCTGGGATACCCTGCTGGCCTCCAATCCTAACCTAACTTAACCCACACACACAGCCCACTGAGTTTCTCGCCGGATCTTCTCAGTTGGTCGCGATTTCGATGTGGTGATAGACTCGACGCAGCACTGCTCTTGCTAGGACCAGTGTTAGCAAATTTCTCTCAGGTTGAGCCCGTGAGCCCACCTACCCGTCTGGGCGTAGCTGAAATAGCCCCTTAGGCTACAAGAAAATAGGTAGAGGAACAAACAAAATTATATACATAGGTGTCATTATAGAAATGTTACGTTTGTATCGGGCCTAAGTTCGAAACTCAGAAATCTGAACCACGTGCAATAGTCAATGTTATTAAATAATTGCTCCATAAATTATCTTATAATCATCATTGTAGTTTATTATGGCGAATAAATTAAAAGGTCTAACAGTGTTCAATCAGATTTTGTTTTCGAAATTATCTCGCTCATGAGATTGCATAGTCCGCTACAAACTTCAGTGTGCTTATTGCGAGTTTTTTAACGTTTACGATCGCGTGAAAGTTAACTCAATTTTGTATGGAGCTGGAACAGCGCCTAGCGGCAAACCTAAGCAAAGGTAGCACACAGAGTTGATAGTTTCCAAAGATATTTTCATCGCGAACGCTGCTCTGGCTTAGTCCTTCAAAAAGAATCCCTTCAGAACGAAATAGATTATAGATGTTGCTTGATTGCCGATTTTGAGAATGAGCGTCGAAGGTAATATAAAAAAGGCGATACTAGTACGTTAGTTAAGAAAACGGTGTGCAATCACAATTCATTGCCATTGACAGGGCAAATCCCAGAAATCTCCAGTTACATTTAACGAAATTGCAAGATGACATTTTTATTTACGCAACAAATTGTTAGTTTTATTACAGAGTCATCGTCAACTATAGGACGTACCGTGTATATTAACGAGGTACTTACATTAAGCAATGTATACATAAAATATGTAAATACTTGATTTTGTAAAGTGACGTTGCCTGTATACTAAAATTTGTGCTATTAAATTTATTTTATGAAAGAGTGTTAGGCGAGTTTATTAACGCTCCAATATTCAAATATCTTCATTTTATTAAAATACTTTCATAAAAAACGTAAAATTGATAGGTAATAATTCGTTGAAATATTTTAATCAATTGTTTTTATGGCTCGTTCTATTTAGTAAAGGAACAAATAAAACGCAACAAAGTTTGACATTAATTCTGACATTTATTGAGTAATGTTGCAAGCAAAGCATTCATTTCACATTTTAAGCTAAATTCTGACGAGTGCAATAAAAATTCAAAATTGGATGATCACTATATTACTAAATTTCAAATTTTACTATTATTACTGTTAAATTGCAAATTTACATTGTTATTAGCGATTGTATGAAAACAATTATTAAAGCTAAATTTGATAACAAATTTTGATTAGCATTGCCCATAATCAAAGATGACCACTAGAGATCTTCTGACATCCATATCTATATCTATTATTTGTTTGTGAATGTGGAAAACAGTAGCAGAGAACAAGTTCATTTTTTCTTTTTAAGTCGCAGGTAAGGAGTTTAGTTTATGGACTACCCAATGATATGTGAATACCGTCACCCAGGTGCTTAAGAAATTAAAAGGGCATTGCTAAGCCCCTGCATACCATTAAAGAGTCTTTAACATGTAATTGATCAGAAATCTTTGTGGAGTTCAATCAGTTGGTGATACTTATTCTAAGTGATGCTTAAAATCGCACGATGAACAGACTAGTTCTAGGTGGTAGCGATGTACTTCATGTTGTGAGGCGTGATCATAATTTTTTGATCAGGTCCATCTCAAATGTTTGGTTAAAACAATTTTTTTTTTCTTAGATTAATATGCGAGGAGGTGGTCACGACCTTCAATATTACGAAAACCGAAGCGAGGAGGAGGAGGAGGCGGTCACATACTGCTATAACGAAATATAATAAAGATACAGTCTTTCTGTACCGAAATTATTCTCAAACCAATGGTCTGAATAAATACAAAAAAAATCATTTTATTATTGGAAACTGTACATTAAAGCTCGCAACATTACCAATCTGACGGCCATGACAGCTCATTCATCATAGAGTGTAAAAAAATGTGAACATGTATTTTAATTAAATCGTTTAAAAAGTAAGAAAAATGAGCTTAAAAATGAGTTAAATCCGTTTTACGAACAGTCAACGAGACTATAAAGTTGTTATGCGTGTTAAAATTGTGTTCGATGGAAAAAAAAACATAAAATTACATGTTAAAAGAATCACTTGAATTTTTAATAGAGAAAAAAAGGCAGTTTTTCGTGACAAGCGCTCGTCTCAGGTGGGTTTTTTTGTAACGTTTGTTATCGATTATTCGTCTGCGCTGGCTTTGACGCTACAATTCGTTCGTCGATCGTCGTAAAACACCTAAAAAACGAGATTAAAACATTTTGTTTACATTCAGAATTCGTATAGTTTCGACAGTCAAATTATATTAAGCCATTTGTTAATTATCCAGAAAATTCAAGGTCGTTACTGATTTTAATGTGTTTACTTAAATTTATGATAAGTTGCCGTTAAATTGCGAGTAAAAAAAAAAAATTAATGTGTTTGTAGTGTCTTTGTTGATATCATGAATGACGACTTGGTAGTTGTGCTTCATAAGTATTGCCAGAATGCAGGCTGATAGTTTGTTTTTCTCACCCAAAAACATGGTTTGTATAATTTAGCTCAAAGACTTATTATAGTAAACACAAATAAAAAAAAACAATGTTTTCAAAAAGGACGGGTCAGAGGTCTATGTCCAGCCGGAGATTAAACTTTGTTTATATTAATGAAATAATAATGAAAACAAATAATCAATAAAGCTTGTGTGCTTTTAACTCTTACTTGAAATGCTTGAGCTTAAAATTTTTCTAATGAAATACGTCCTTAAGAAATTTTCGCAATTGACTTAATAATGAATGGTGAATAATATTGTGTAATAAAAATCAAACCCCCAAAATTTTAATTTGTGCAATCACTGGTGGTAGGACCTCTTGTGAGTCCGCGCGGGTAGGTACCACCACCCTGTCTATTTCTGTCGTGAAGCAGTAATGCGTTTCGGTTTGAAGGGTGGGGCAGCAGTTGTGACTATACTGAGACCTTAGAACTTATATCTCAAGGTGGGTGGTGGTGCATTTATGTTGTATATGTCTATGGGCTCCAGTAACCACTTATCACCAGGTGGGCTATGAGCTCGTCCACCCATCTAAGCAACAAAAAAACTATTTTCACACTTTAATTATACATATTTTATTCTCTTTATATTAATTTTGAGTCCTTTACGGTTGTAGATTTGCTTTTTTACTTTAATAGCTTTACAAGAAAGTCTAAAATCAGTTTTAATTATCTACAACTTGCAACCACTAAACAAAATGTTAAAAAAAATGCTTTCGGTTATGCATTATTTATATATTTATAGACTGCACGGGTAGTCATGTCTATCGCCCTTCTGGTGTTAAGCTGTTACTGTAGTTCAAAAACATCATCCCGAGGTTAAAGTTACTTTTCCACTCGCAAAACCTTGCAGGAAGGTATTGTTGATTTTTCAAATGTGTTTTTCAGAGTAAACAGAAATGAACGTTGTAACATTAGACATAGACCCACTGAGCAGCTACGAGTACCCTTACGATTATGAAAACATACCGGAGCCCTATCCGTACGTGCAGGATGTCAAAAACGAATGCCACTACCAGTACGGGCAAAATTATCAACACACTCAGCAAAGTAATGTCGTTGAAGACAAACCACCCGAAGTTCCTGCAGAGAAGATTGTCGTTGAAAAGAATGCTGACGATACAGCGAAATCAGATGTCAAACAAGATTTAAAACCAGTCTTAGAAGACGAGCAGAAGCCTAAAGCCAAGAAAAGCAATTACTGGTCGATTAAAATCAAGGAGAAGAATTTTTCTTTCTACGGCTGTGCCCTGTGCAACATTAGTTACTGCGAACTCCAAATGCTCGATCAGCATATGACGACGCACAAGGACAGGCTGACCAGCTACGATTTGAGAGTCAAGAATCAAATTAAACGGAAGAAAATTAAAAAAGAAAAGAAGATTAAGAAGAGGATCAAAATTGAGAAAACGGAAGACGGGATAGAGATAAAGCCAGAAGAGGGTTTTATTGGTGAGGAGAAGGCTTCAAATTATAACAACGACAAGGTTATGTCGGATAATGATAAACAAGATAATGATGAGCGTAAAGATAACAATGCTAACAGAACAAAGAAGAGAGTAGGCAAGAAAGTTGAGTTATTGAAGAAGCAATGTACAGATGATTTACAGAAAATATATAAATGCTTCGCTTGTGGAAAACAATTCACTTTGAGTTACTATTTGAGGCTACATGTGCGTTCGCATACAGGTTAATGTTTATTTTAATTAATTTTTACTTTTTTTTGTCTATACAAAATTTATGAGGTTTTAATCTCATGTTGAGACATGGAAATGTATTCATTCTGGTAACCACTGAACTTGAGTAGGGGTGTTTGGTCATCAGTTAACAAAAACTACCAGGATACTATGATACGTAAAGAGGTATATTAAATTGAATGAAATTGTTTCAAATCTCATAAAGAAATTAAGAAAAGCAGACTACTTAGAAGTCGTTGTGACGTTAAGTCGTCGTGGCGTAAAGGTTAAGACGTCCTGTGCATTCGTATGTAGCGATGCACCGGTGTTCGAATCCCGCAGGCGGGTACCAATTTTATCTAATGTAATACGTACTTAACAAATGTTCACAATTGACTTCCACGGTGAAGGAATAACGTCGTGTAATAAAAATGAAACCTGCAAAATTATAATTTGCGTAATTGCTGGTGGTAGGACTTCTTGTGAATCCGTACGAGTAGGTACCACCACCCTGCCTATTTCTGCCGTGAAGCAGTAATGCGTTTATGTTTGAAAGGTGGGGTAACCGTTGTAACTATACTGAGACCTTAGAACTTATATCTTAAGGTGGGTGGCGCATTTACATTGTAGATGTCTATGGGCTCCAGTAAACCCTTAACACCAGGTGGGCTGTGAGCTCGTCCATCCATCTAAGCAATAAAAAAAACTTAAGAATAAGTTGGCTGGTGTAAGCTTATCAAGTTATGGCCCAGTGTGTCGGTGTGCGAATCTACTCAGTAGGTATAGATTGTTGTAAGAAGATTTGTACTTAACTTGTGATCATGAAAGACCTCTACCATGGCAGAATAACATAGTGTGATAAAAACCACATTTTGTACCACCGTCCTGTATAGTTACTGCTACAAACTTATTTATTCTGGTTCAGATCAATTAATATTATTCCATCATGTTTCAAGGTCGGTGGGCAGCATTCACCCCGTGATGTCCACGGGCTCTGGACCGATGCCATTAAAATGTCAAGCTACCTTTAAATTTATAAAATTTCAGATGAAAAACCCTACACGTGTGCCGAGTGTGGGCAATCGTTTATAACGGCCAGCAAACTCGGCAGACACAATAAACGGATACACTTAGCCATCAGATACCAGTGCAGGATATGTTACAAGTTCTTTTCACAGTAAGTGTTTAACTTCAAACTGCTTTAAAAAATAATGGTGAAGGAACATTACCTATCCGCCTAATAGTGTTGTTTGCTTGTGTATGCTTTATCCTTACTGTTAATTTATTATGTGTATGTAATTAGGGGGCGTCCATTAATTACGTGAGGCGTTTTTGAGAATTTTTTGACCCCATGTCCAGCCCTGGTGAGATATCGTAAGATTTTTCTCAACTCCCTCCCCCCTCTAATCTCATGCGAGATTCTTCAAAACTTCTATTTGGACGGTAAATGTGTTGGATATTGAGAAAAAAAACTTGCCCTTCTGCTCTGCGAAGTTCGGACGAATACGAAAAATACTATTTTCTCAGATTTGGCAATATTTTATTCTAGAAATAAATTTTCATGCAATTTTACACCGTTTTCTGCGAGAAATATAATTACGTGATATTTGCCAAGGCCCCCCCTCCCCCCTAAATGAGATTTGGAAAGATTTAGCTTGATCCCCTCCCCCCCTAGAATACCTCACGTAATTAATGGATGCCCCGTTATATTGGAATATAAATCATAATGGATTGGAATATAATGAAGTCGTCGTGGCCTAAAGGATAAGACGTCCGGTGCATTCGTATGTAGCGATGCACCGGTGTTCGAATCCCGCAGGCGGGTACCGATTTTTCTAATGAAATACGAACTTCACAAATGTTAACGATTGACTTCCACGGTGAAGGAATAACATCGTGTAATAAAAATCAAACCCGCAAAATTATAATTTGCGTAATTACTGGTGGTAGGACCTCTTGTGAGTCCGCGCGGGTGGGTACCACCACCCTGCCTATTTCTGCCGTGAAGCAATACTGCGTTTCGGTTTGAAGGGTGGGGCAGCCGTTGTAACTATACTAAGACCTTAGAACTCATATCTCAAGGTGCGTGGTGCATTTACGTTGTAGATGTCTATGGGCTCCAGTAACCACTAATACCAGGTGGGGCTGTGAGCTCGTCCACTCATCTAAGCAATTAATAATAATAATATCAATTTAATATATTTTCAGATTTGACCTCTTGAAAAGGCATTTCGATAAGAAACATGCTGACGACAAACTCGAAGGAGAACCATATGGTGAGAAGATGTTGGTTTATTGATAACATGAGGTCCATAGACAGCATAGAATTCAGTCGATCAACCTTGTCACTTAAGGTCGAAGTCAACCTTAGTTACAAACACACACTTCTCCATATGTCATAGCACCCTGGTACTTCAGTTGCGGTACTTGAAGTACTTTGACTAATGAAGTTAGCTCCACTTCTTTGCATATAGTATCCTAGTACTTTTCTATCGATTATTTTACGTTTATTGACAAGATCTTGGCCCGTTAGATCTTAAGTAATCTCCAATAGCATGCCGTCGTCATCTACCATGGAGACAATGACATGAGTTCAAAGCCTAGAATTATATAACTATCCTCTCCCCCTCTTCAAATCGGAACCCTGGACTGCTTCACAGCAGATATACGAAATAGAGTTATTCTAGTTACGGAAACACCTCTTCGTATGTCATAGTACCCTGGTACTTTAGTTGTGATACTTGAAGTACTTTGACTAATGAAGCTAGCTCCACTTCTTTGCATATCATAGTATCCTAGTACTTTTCTATCGATTATTTTACGTTTATTGCCAAGATCTTGGCCCGTTTGATCTTAAGTAATCACTGACTGATCTTGATCTCTAGAATCTATAACCAATAACATGCCGTCGTCACCTAGTGTGGACACATGAGATTGTAAAACTATGCCGCCCCCTCTTCAAATTAGTACGCTGAACTGGTTCACAGCAGTTATCCTCAGTTATAAATCCACCTCTTGGTATGTCATACTATCCTAGTACTTTTCTTCCTATTTATCTACGTAAATCGACTCAAGATCATGGATTTCTGATGTTAAATGGTCACCGGAGCCCATGGACTCTCCTACGTATTTATCAGCCCGGATGCCACCACCCACCTTGAGACATGAGGTCATTTTGAAGATTCAAGTTTTGCAACTGAAGATCCCAAAAGTGATCTCATAAATATTATAGTTTCCAATAATGTTCTCATGCACGTCTCTCGCTCACAGATTACAACGCCATCTTGCCGTATTTGAAAGAGTTAGAGGAAGAATTGAAGGAGAAGTCAGAGAAAGAGAAGCAGCTCAAAACCGAGGAGACTTGGCCCGATCAGTGGCAGGCAGGTGACAAGAAACCTGACACTGACACTGTTGAAACTGATATGCTGAATGTGAATGTAAGTTATTTGGTTTGTTGAAGGTATTCTTATATGGTTCTTTTTAATCTATCTATATATTAATACGTGAAGCAAAAACTTTGTACCCTATTTTAACGAAAATTGCACCGACGAAGGAGTATGAAATTTCTCACACTTATAGAGAATATAGAGAAGAGTGCAGAATGCTAATATATTTTTTTAAATTATGCATAAAAAACGTATTAAATCAATTAAAAAAAAACATTACACACACTACCTTGTAATATATTAATACGTGAAGCAAAAACTTTTTGCACCATTTTACGAAAATTGCGCAGACGGAGGAGTATGATTTTTCCCACACTTATAGAGAATATCGAGGAGTGCAGAGTGTTAATATTTTTTAAAAATTATGCATAAATAATACATTAAATCAATAAATAAAACATTACACACACTACTCTATATTATACTCTTTTGTTTATTGTTGGATTGCTGAGGTCATATTGAGAATAGATTAATATTTATAACTGTAGTCTTGGCGAAATCTGTGATTATAGAAGTACAATAGTCTTTGACAATAGAACCATAATAATGTTCAAACTTATAATTTCAATTAATTATAGTCGAATTTCGACTATATACCGGAGGACCACAAGTTATTATTATTATTATTTAAATATGTTTCTTGTATCATTTTTTAGTGCAAAAAAAACAATTCTGTATTACTCTTAGTGTGAATTCAGATCCTCCAGATCCACTATCAACCCTTTGATGCCTTCCAAGCTCCGGTCTTAACTAATCCGGTGAGTTTCTCGCCGGATCTTCTCAGTGGGTCGCGATTCTGATCTGATGGTAGACTCAACGAAGCAGTGCTCTTGCTAGGACCAGTGTTAGCAAACTCTCTCTCATGTAGGCAGCGGCTTGGCTCTGCCCCTGGCATTGCTGTAGTCCATGGGCGACGGTAACCACTCACCATCAGGTGGGCCGTACGCTCGTCTGCCTACAAAGGCAATTAAAAAAAAACTCAGGTTGAGCCCCGTGTCAATAGATGGCGTTAATTGTACTCCTAAAACGCGCTATAGAGTTCCAGCGTATAAAAACGTTAAATAAGTTAAAATATTTGTCGTGTCCATTACTTAGAAAGTTGATTTAACGATGTTTTTGTAAGCTCTCCTCTTCGTTGACACGCGAACTTTTGGAAGCTTTGAAAATTGACAAAAGAAAAAAAAGCGTGTTAAAATAATGTTATGTGGTATTGTCAGCTTTTTACATACACTAGAGGTCCCGCAGTAGTCGAAATTCGACTATAATTAATTGGAATTGTAAGTTTGTACACTATTATGATTGTATTTTATATTTCTATAATCACAAATTTCGCCAAAACTACACTATAAAAAATAATAATTTAAAAACAAACAATATTTAATCTCAATTTGACCACAGACGTCAAGAACAAAAGTTTGACAATAAATAGTATGCATGCGTGTGAAGGCCTATGTCCAGCAGTGGGCAGATAAAGGCTGATGATGATGATGATGATGATGCGTGTGTGCGTCAAATACATGGTACTGTGTGTGTAATGTTTTCTTTATTGATTTAATGTATCTTTTATGCATTATTTAAAAAAATATATTAGCATTGTGCACTTCATCTCTATATTCTCTATAAGTGTAGAAAATTTCATACTCCTCCGTCCGCGCAATTTTCGTAAAAAGGGATACAAAGTTTTTGCTTCACGTATTAATATATAGATAATGTAACTATACTGAGATCTTAGAACTTATATCTCAAGGTGGGTAGCGCATTTACGTTGTAGATGTCCATGGGCTCCAGTAACCACTTAACACCAGGTGGGCTGTGAGCTCGTCCACCCATCTAAGCAATAAAAAAAATAAAAAAAAGATATTCTCCAAAACAGATTTACCCTAAATATTGTATTAAGAAATCTGAAAACACTTCAATCGGCTTATTGCGTAGTCTTATAGACAAGTTTACGGCCGGAATGCATTTTTTTTTATTGCATATATGGGTGGACGAGCTCACAGCCCACCTGGTGTTAAGTGGTTCCTGGAGCCCGTATACACGTACAAAGTAAATGCGCCACCCACCTTGAGATATAAGTTCTAATGTCTCAGTATAGTTACACTGCATCACTGCTTCGCGGTAAGAACAGGCGGAAAAATCGTAACAGACCGGTGTGGGCTTGTAAAGTCGAGTCCATTTCTCGAATTCGGCTACTTTCCGAAGCCGAAAACGCGAAAATATCGAAAATACCATATCGACGCTTGAAAGTCAAACGTGACTAAGCGACTTTTTTTTTTCCTATCTAAGCTGGTAGCCTTGTGAGGCTATATCAGCGTAACCTTAACTAGTAGGTGAGCTCACGGGGCTCAAACCTGACTACGATGCTAACACGAACCTTAGCAAGAGCAGTGCTTCGCAGAATCTACCACCGGATCGGAAACGCGACCCACTGAGAAGATCCGGCGAGAAACTCAGTGGGCTGTGTCTGTGGGTTAATTCGCTCGTCGAGCCCTTCGTCGCAAGCGACGGGTTTGACGAGAACGGTGACCGGTGCTTGTGATGCCTAAAAGCACCGTTAATAGATCAGGAGGATCCGTAATGGCGTGCTTTGGGCGACGTCGACGGTTTACCATTCGGTCTACAGGATCGGGTATGTAGTTTCCAGCGGCCAAGACAAGAGGGTTCTCATGTCGTGAATTAGTTTACTGTAAAAAACGGCTGTCTGGTGTAGTGGTAAGTGACACGGTCACTACATACGGGGGTCGCGGGTTCGAATCCCGCCAAGGGAAGATATTTATATGATAAATGTATTTTCCAGGGTTATGGATGTATATTAAATATATGTATGTGTATAATAAAAAAATCTTACACTTATTTCCGTTATCTGGTACCTGTAACACAAGTTCTTTACGAACTTATCACGGGAACAGTTGACGTGGCGTGATTGTTAAAAAAAAAAAGTTCACGCATTAGTCACGTTTGCCTTTCAAGCGTCGATATAATTTCCGTTCGTCGTCAACAGATGGCATTAGTTGTACTCGTGAATCGCGCCAACGACTATGCACAAATAAATCTATATAATGTATAGATTGTAAATCTGCAAGTACTAGTTTACGAACGTAGGCTAGACGAGCTTATGACCCTTTTTTGGACTGCTTGCTTGTTCGGCATCGCGTGAACTTTGCTAAGCTGTGTGTGGAGTAGACTTGCGCAAAACATCACTTCCCAATGTAATGTGATATGACATCACTTTTACAGATAGGTGATATTACTCGAAAACATTACACATCACTCTTAACATTACTCGGTGCGTTCAATAGATACTGTGACGACGAATACATTGTATCTATACACCCGAATCATTACCTAAGTGATGTGTATCAACACATCACTTAGGTAATGATTCGGGTGTGTCATTACAGTAGTGTATTACAATACAAAGTATGAACTTTGTATTGTAATACACTGTTATATTACTTGACAGAGATTGACTTACTTAATAATATAATAATTTTATTTTTTACTTAATATAATTTATTGTGGGATGAACGGATTTCATATGGCGACTTAGACTGCAAATTGAGCTCGACAATAATGTTAATATACGAGAGCAGTAGATGCATTGTTTCGGCGCGATATCCTCAAAGTGCATCCAAGGAGGACTGTACTTTCATTTAGACGCCGTTATTTCTTTCACTTATTAAACACGCATTAAAACAAATAATAAAACTATCTTCAAACAAGTGCTTAAGTAATTCAAATCAAACACAAAAATTAATATGAAATATTACTAAACAATTACGAGCGACTAGCGATTTTACAAAAGTTGCGAATAAAAAATTAAGTAAGTACTTGCGGGGAACTACCGGCTGGCCGCATGAAAAATATAAACACAAATACCTATATTAAAATTCAGACGTACCATAGGTATAAAAATGTACCTAGCGGCCAGGACATACGGTTCAAAATCACTAGGAATAATTCCGTGTCGCTTGCTCATTTATTTTGCGTAGATCGGTCTGTCTCGCTCGCTCGGTTCCGTTCGTGTATCAAGCAACATTACACGACAAAGAAAGAAACATGTTGGGTGATAGCTTCGCTAGAAGTAATAGTGTTCTGTGGGTGATAGTGTGATGTTTGTTTCCTTCGCGTAATGTGTGATGTTGCGTTACATCGTAGAGTAATATTACCCGAGTAATATCACTCGCATTACTTACACATGTCTAGTAAATACGCCACCCACCTTGAGATATAAGTTCTAAGATCTCAGTATAGTTACAACGGCTGCCCCGCCCTTCAAACCAAAACATTACTGCTTCACGGCAGAAATAGGCAGGGTGGTGGTACCTACCCGCGCGAACCCACAAGAGGTCCTAGCAGCAATAACTGACCAAGAAGAAAAGAGAATTCTTTTGGATACATAAGAATAATTTATACTTTTAATTTCGTATGATGATAATATTTAACGCGTTGAATGCTTTGCGAGTTGCGACCCACCGGTGGGCCTAAGGTAGCTATCCATTAGGACAAAGAGAAATCAGGGAACCAGTCATTTTTATCAACTCGTTTTTTTTTAGATGGATGGACGAGCTCCCAGCCCACCCGATGTTAAGTGGTTACTGGAGCCCATAGACATCTACAACGTAAATGCGCCACCCACCTCGAGATATAAGTTCTAAGGTCTCAGTATAGTTTACAAAAGTTATAAAATGCGATCGATCATTTGCATGGAAGATAAAAATTAGCGACCTTTAACCGTCTAGTTTAGATATTTTAAAAGGCTCACGGGTGACCCTTATGACCTGAACGGGTCAGTAAGGATAAAGCTCACCCTGGCTTCAATGAAGATACTCGATTTTTCATTTGGCGTTCAACGCGTTAATTTACGAAATCAACTGTCTTCAAGAGACTACAGTGTTCAAAAAAAATTTTTTTTATTTGATTGCCTTTGTGGGGTAACCCGATGGTAAATGGGTCAGTAGTGCCAATGGGCCACAATTAAAGCGCTGTTTACCGCTAAGTAAACTCATGAAGCCTCATTTGAAGAAGGACATGTCGTAATTTGCGCTATAGAATGAGCTCCTCTCCACGGTGTTCCCGAGCGCTATGACATGTCCTTCTTCAAACGAGGCTTGTGGAGAGTACTTAACGGTAGGCAGGAAGCTTCCAAGTGAGATCTCTTTGAATTCATAATGTCCTAGTACTTTATCTAGACTAGTAGACAGCTTGGAGGCTTGTGGAAAGTACTTAACGGTAGGCAGAAGACTTCCAAGTGAGATCTCTTTGAATTTATAATGTCCTAGTACTTTATCTAGACTAGTAGACTGCTTGGCTCTGCCTCTGACATTGCTGAAGTCCATGGGCGACGGTAACCACTCACCATCAGGCGGGCGCATGCTCGTCTGCTTACAATAAATAAAAAAGTTCACGTCAGAGCAAGACGGTACGTAGTCGGGAGGAGAGGTTAAAATGATATAACGGAATCTCAGAGCGCACAGAGAGGATTGGAGTCCTTCCGTAAACCTAGAGGGTCCACAAACTTCACAAGCTCCAAAAAAAACTGGAGGAAAAATGATCCTAAACTGTCTCGTTTGTAGGATTTACAACAAATGCTTAGATAGTTGGGTAAGCTCACGACCCACTTGCTGTTAAGTGGTTACCGGAGCCCATAGACTTCTACAACGTAAATGCCGCCCACCCACCTCAAGACGAGTTGTAAGGTCTTAGTTTTTACAGTAGAACGGCTGCCCCACTCTTCAAACCGCATTACTGCTTCACGGCAGAAATAGGCAGGGTGGTGGTACCTACCCGCGCGGACTCTTAAGACGTCCTACCACAAGTGATTACGCAAATTATAATTTTGCGGGTTTGATTTTTACACGATGTTATTCCTTCATCGTGAAAGTCAATCGTGAACATTTGTTGAGTACGTATTTCATTAGAAAAATTGGTACCCGCCTGCGGGATTCGAACACCGGTGCATCGCTACATACGAATGCACCGGACGACTTATCCTTTAGGCCACTACGCCTTACTACCAGTAAGAATTTTTTGCGCAAAAATCATCTCATCGTCTTAATTGTAACTTGCGCGTTTTAGCCTCAAATGACGTCACACGTTGCGTTCTCGTTGAGAGCGAGATAGCACTAACATAGTTTCCCTGCAGGTGCAGCAAGCAGAGGTCAAGACACCCCTGGATGGAGTGGTCTCACCGCCGCGGACGGTGGTCGCTGACGTGCTGTACGGCGCGGTGAAGCTGGAGAATGAAGATGACAACAATGATGACGTCACGGCCGATGACGTCACCGCCGATGACTTGAAAGATGATAGGTTAGTTCCGAGGAGAGACTGTAGTAAACTAAGCCAAGGAATTCTTAGTACGATTTTAGGAATGTTTGTTTAAGTCGCGCCAATAAGGCAACGAATCGAAAATGGCGTCTATGTACCTGCACTGACAGATGGTAGGGTCAACAGATAAAAAAGAAAGAAATAGAAAGAAAATAGTTGTTTATTGTAAAAAAATATTCGGAAAGGCATTAAAGGAAGGCACTATATATCAATTCAGTATTACTTATATGTATTTATTTTATGTACTTCATAATATACATATGTACGTGTATGTATATGTTTATGTTATTTATGTGTGTAAAAGTAAATTGATTAGATTCTACCCACTTATATAAAGCTGTCTCCCTCTTTAAGAACGGTTAGCTGGTAGATAACTTAATTGTTGAGTTAAGCTCGCCATTTTATAACTTTTCGCAATTATTGTATTGCATATTTTTTTTTTATTGCTTAGATGTGTGGACGAGCTCACAGCCCACCTGGTGTTAAGTGGTTACAACGGCTGCCCCGCCCTTCAAACCGAAACGCGTGGAATAGGCGGGGTGGTGGTACCTACCCGTGCGGACTCACAAGAGGTCCTACCACCAATTACCACCAAATAACACGTAACAATTGAGACTCGATGTCTCAAGCCTCAAAGCTGGCGCCGTTTCGTTTCAGCAACTCCGACGAAGACTATTTCCCTTCAAACACTTGGGCGACTGTGTCTCCGGCCCAGAGTCCCCAGCCGGCTTCAAACCGACGCGCGAGTGGCAAGCTGACCTGTCAGATCTGCAACAAGACCATCAGCTCCGTGACGTACATGAAGGTCCACCTGAGGACCCACTCCGGGGAGAGGCCCTTCAAGTGCTACATCTGCGACCGGGGCTTTATAACCTCAAGCAAAATGCACAGACATGTCCTCACCCATAACGAAGGTGAGTGCTCATTATTTGAGTCGTCGTGAGCACCGATGCGTCCTTAGAGGTCGGGGACCAGCGGTACGTTTGAGTCGTCGACCTCATGTCTCAAGGGAAGTCGTCGTTTCGTTGTTTTAATTAAAGTCATACGACCCAAAGTACCAGGGCACTATGAAGTGTGAAGAGGTATTAAGACGAAGCGATTCAGTATCAATAGGAACTGTCGAACTTATATCGTTCTAATTGAGATGGATGGATCTGTATAAGCTCCGGGGTCCACTTAACAACCGGCGGGCTCGTCTGTCTGGTGATTAAGAAAATAAATTGAACAATATATTTTGTTGTTGTTGTAGAAAACGAAATACATAGTTTGGGAGATGGCGCTGACGCGACCGGACTTAAAGAGTGAGTATACGTTTGTTTTTTATCGAATTAGATGAGCGGACGGCCCATCCGCTGATAAGTGCTCACCGGATCCGATGCTATCGAAGTTTGATATTAACTTATTTTTTAGTGACGTCACAAATTCGCTTAATTTTTTTGTAAATATGTTATGTTCATTTTCAAATTTAGGCTACTATTGGATCTGGTGTGTAAAATAAAATGGTGCTTATAGAATATTTCTCTTCGGTCTCAAAACCTCAAGACCTCAATACGCTGTTGGTTAGTTCCGTGCGAATTGAGACTAAAGTCTAAGTGTGATTTATTGAAAATTTGACGGTAAACAGCATAATGTTTAAATTTATAATGCGAAGCGTCGCTAAATAACAAAGCAAATTTCCATACCTCGAATTGTATTTTCTTTCAAACAGAGAGAAGCCAAAGAAAAAGAGAGGCAGAATCAAAAAGAAAGAGAAGGCAGACCTACCGAAGATCAAAGAGAAACACAAGAAGAGGCCGCACTCGTGTGAGTTCTGCAATAAAAGGTGAGTGGCTTTGAGGTTCCGACCTCATGCCTCAAACTAAAGGTCCACTCGATTGGACTCGTGTCCTTCAACTCCGATGTCCGCTTAACATCAAATGGGACGTGTCATCGTTAATTTACGGAAAATAATACAAACAAAAGTACCAGGCTACTATGATATGTTAGGAGGTGTATGCAATTTAAATCATTCATATTAAGTGGTTCAAAGACACCCACTTTGAGACAATAATAGGTGGAAATATTACCTACCACCAGCAAATATAAAGGTAGGTAAGATAGATTAGAGCTTCTTTGCCCACTTAATGCTAGACGAGTTGTAAGCTAATTTGCTTTTAACACAAAAGAGTGGAAATCAAAGTACCAGGACACTATGACTTGAGGAATTGAAAAATAAATTCCCACTTATTCCTTTTCACTCTGTTCCTTTAATTAAGTACATACATATGGGCTTTAATTAATATTCTACCATGCTCGATTAAAATCTACCATGAACTCCCCAAGGTTTTTGCATCTGGCAACACTGCAAGTTCACAAGAAATGCCACGAGGGAGAGACTTTAACGTACAAATGCGAGTACTGCCTCGAGGACCAGCCCGACGAGGAGGCGCTCCGGCTGCACGAGGCCACGCACGGCGGGGCGAAGCCCTACACGTGCACCCTGTGCGGGAAAAACTACAAGAGGAAAACGACAATGGTAAATTTTTTTGAACCACTCAAATCGGACACGTGCAAGAACTCAAGCAGCGATTAATAGTGTAACCAATAACAAAAATGCTACTAATGTTTTTTTATTGCTTAGATGGGTGGACGAGCTCAGAGTCCACCTGGTGTTAAGTGGTTACCGGAGCCCATAGACATCTAAAACGTAAATGCTCCACCCACCTTGAGATATATGTTCTAAGGTCTCAAGTTACAACGGCTGCTCCGCCCTTCAAACCGAAACGCATTACTGCTTCACGGCAGAAATAGAGCGGTGGTACATTAAGGAAGCCATTGTCGGTGGACGAGCGGTCCTCTCGAGAGGGACGCTTGTTGAGGCGGCTCGATGGGCACAGGTCCACCACCGGCAGCACCACCGCGCTGACCAGCCAGCGTTGAGCTGCCCTGCGTGCCCTAAGCGGTTCCACTCGGAGCGCAAGTTACAGCGGCACGCAGCGAGGCACGGCGCCGCCCGCTCCTCCCTACGCTATGAGTGCCCGGTGTGCGCGCACATGTTCCACACGCGGTACCACGCCCTCATGCACCTCAAAAGCCACCTCAAGGAAGGATTGTGAGTAAAAATTTTTTTTTGTTATTGGCAACCCTATTCTATGTGTTTATCTGTGTGTACCTTTTGGCGGGAAAGCGAGGAGTGAAGTTGTGTGATTTGTTTTATTTTTTTATTTAGTGTTTCATTAAACTTAATAAAATAAAATAATTCACACAACTCTTGACATAATGATATAACTAAAGGATGAACTAGAATTTTTTTGTTTGTTGATAAATTGTGTTTTTTAGAAATTATATTTAAATACGAATTACATATTGATATTATATTATATTATTTGTTATTTTATTTCAATAAAAAAAAAGTTTATGTTTAAGTTGATTATCGATAAAGTTGATTATTGAAAACACGAATAAAACAATCTTTTCTGAAAATAAATCGTAGCTAGATCGATTTATCGCCCCCGAAATCCCCTGTACACTAAATTTTATAAAAATCTTTGGAGTCGTTTCCGACATTTAGATTATATATATAATAATAATATATTTATATATTTAGGCAGCGGCTTGGCTTGCCCCTGGCATTGCTGAAGTCCATGGGCGACGGTAGCCACTCACCATCTGGTGGGCCGTATGCTCGTCTGCCTACAGAGGCAATAAAAAAAAAAAAGAATTGCTCGTTTAAAGATATATAAGATTTAAAAACGACTCCCCCCCCATTCCTCGCTCCCCTCCAGGATCCAAGAGGAGAACCGGCCGGAGATCGTGGCGATGCTGCTGCAGAACGCGCGGCGCCTCCCGCAGGACCCCGGCGCCGTCCCCAGCGCCGCCGCGGACGACGAGCGCAGCCGCGTGTGCAACATATGCGGCGAGGTGTTCCAGCACTTTTACTATCTGGAGGAGCACCTCAAGAGCCACGGCTCGAGAATCGCCATCGAGGACCTGGACCGGCCCGAGGAGAAGCGCTACACGTGCACCGTGTGCCAGAAGAGCTTTAAGCTGCACTACTACCTGAAGCTGCACGGGTATACGCACTCGAAGGAGAAGCCGTACATCTGCCAGCAGTGCGGCAAGGGCTTCATTACGAAGGGCAAGCTGAAGCGGCACTTGGAGACTCACAGCGGCCTCAAGAAGTACCAGTGCCACATCTGCTACAAGTTCTTCACGAGGCCCAGCTATTTGAGGATACACGTGAGGACCATTCACGGCACGCAAGACTATAATTTCAAGATCGACAAAATCAACTCTTGGAGTCGCCCGGGCGGTCTGCCCCTCGCCAATTAGAGGCGGCGTAACGTGGTTGTTGATTTTTTATTATCGAAGTGAAACTTCTTTAGGGGCGCGTTTAGTAAAATTTTACTCCCGACTTCGTTACGGCTAGAGAGAAAAGATACAATTTAGGAGGAGCGAGAATGAGAGAACAGATGTAGCGTCTCGCGAAACACTCAACCGTGGTGAGAGAGAGAGCGAGCTAAGTCGTTTCTCTCATACAAATTCTGTTTACGGACGTCGGCCACTAGATGGCTCGTTATTAGTTCCTCATTGCTCCTGTAGATGACATTAACTATCTTGTATTTTATTTTTAATGAAGAATTTAAAAAAAAAGCTTATTTTTCTATATTTATTTTAAAGTAAATGATAGAAAGGTCGTTTCTCTTATACACAGCATTCGCTATTACAAGAGAATTTTGATTTAACGATGATAAAAATGAAGAAAACCACAACACTGCACGCACCGTAAAAGAAGTTTCACTTCTATAACGTGCACCATTCTTTTAATACATTCGTATTTGTTTAAATTAAATGTTCTAAAACGGGTAAGAGCTCTGGTAGCGGGTGGTTTTTTGTACGTATTTCCTTTTTGTTTTTTGTTTACGGTATTTTTGCGGGTAGTCTGTTATTGTGTAAATACATTGACAAGTTTTTAATGTGTCCAAATCGCCTGACTTGTGAAGGTAATAAATGCCTTTAATAACTTTAAATGTTTGTACGGTTCGAAGGGTCACACGAGAACGTTGACCCCACGTCCGCAGCTGATTTTAAATTGCAATACATTGCGTGTTATGTGAAAGAATAAAAAATTAAACAGTTTCAATAACTACCTACATATATTTTCGTTTTCTCTCATGTTCAATTATGTACTTACTTGAAGATTTTTTTCGTTTGAGCGAAGAATTTTGTTTTTTTATTGTTTAGTTGGGTGGACGAGCTCACGGCCCACCTGGTGTTAAGTGGTTATCGGAGCCCATAGACATCTACAACGTAAATGCCGCCACCCAGATTGGAGTATGAGGTCTAAGGTCTCAGTATAGTTACAACGGCTGCCCCACCCTTCAAACGTATTACTGCTTCACGGAAGAAATAGGCAGGGCGGTGGTACCTACCCGTGCGGATTTAAAATGTCCTACCACCAGTTTCATAGTCTTGATATGACAAATATAATGGTGCCATGAAGCATGGTGGGATTATTGGTGTCTTCACCATCATGCCTATTTCTGCCGTGAAGCAGTCTCGCGTTCCACTCCGAATGGTGGGGCAGCCACTATGCCATCGAGACCAGGACCTCATGTCTCAAAGCTGCTAATTCGTGTAAGAGAATAAAAACAAAAGTACCAAGGCACTATGAGTCGCAAGAGGTGTTTGTTTAACGCTCTTCACAAGCTCTGTATAAGGCTTGAGGCCGATGACCACTTAATACCAGATGGGTGATGAGCTCGTCTCATTCTGATACGAAGACACAAAAACTCATAGACACGTAAAGAGGTTCATCGATGCTCACAATAGAGTATTGGTTTTTTAAGAGTACCAGGGACGCATAGCTCGCAAGAGTTATGTCGGTAAAAAGACTAAAAAATCTAAAGAGAAGACATCTTCTAAATAAATACATGAGTGTTTTTAAAATAGTTTCTGGTGCTTTGGCTTTAAATTCGCCATTAAAAATCTTATATCGAGGGGCGATAAGGTATTTGGTTTGAGCGACATTTTTGCAACTTTACAAGAGAGCCAATTAAAGTTTTAAAATTTGGTAAAAATATTTAAAACAAAAAACTTCTTCAGCTATTTCAATGCAGTAAACATAATTGAAGTTCAATTAAAAACATCTGTTTTATGTTGATACTAAATAAACCGGACCCTTAATTACAAAGATAAATGTCGCTTAAACAATATAGCGTTTGACCCCTCGATATAAAACGCCCTTTTCAAATGCTGTCCACTGACCGCAGTTGTCGAAAGATTCTCACAATTTTTTCTATTTCTAAGTTAAAATTTGTAAAATAAGGTTGTTGTTAATTTTGTATTAAAAAAAAACCTAAAGTTGAAATAAAAACGTGGTCTTGAAATCGGAGTCTCTTTTCTTCAATGACTCTTATCTATAACAGATTGGCAATTTTATCAACTAAAATAGACCAAATTGCCCATTGAGTTTCTCGCCAGAGAAACTTCTTCTCAGTGGATCGCGATTCTGATCCGTTGGTAGATTCAGCTAAGCAGCTCAGTTTTTGAAGTCGTCGTGGCCTAAAGGATAAGACGTCCGGTGCATTCGTATGTAGCGATGCACCAAATTTTCTAATGAAATACGTACTTAACAAATGTTCACAATTGACTTCCACGGTGAAGTAATAACATCGTGTGATAAAAATCAAACCCGCAAAATTATAATTTTCGTAATTACTGGTGGTAGGACCTCTTGTGAGTCCGCGCGGGTTGGTACCACCACCCTGCCTATTTCTGCCGTGAAGCAGTAATGCCTTTATGTTTTGAAAGGTGGGGTAGCCGTTGTAACTATACTGAGACCTTAGAACTTATATCTCAAAGTGGGTGGCCCATTTAGGTTATAGATGTCTATGGCTCCAGTAACCACTTAACACCAGGTGGGCTGTGAACTCGTCCACCCATTTAAGCAATAAAAAAAGGAGCTAAGTTAGGAGCGCCAGCTCAGTGTATTAAAAAGGGTCCGCTGAAAGAGAGCCAATGAAGGTGGCGCCACTGTAGCAAGTGGAGAGATTTTAAAAATAGCGCTATAAACTATTACACTTCACTGTTTAAAACTGCTATATTCATATCATTTCCACTTCCTAAACTAGCGTTATGTCGGTGAGTCTTCCAACAATGACTTTCTATTTTTTCCTACCTATTTACTGGTAGCCTAAAAGGGTATTTCAGCTACGCCCAGACGGGTAGGTGAGCTCACGGATTCAACTTGAGACTAGCCCTAGCAAGAACAGTGCTTCGCTGAATCTATCACCGGATCGGAATCGCGACCCACTGAGAAGATCCGGCGAGAACCTCAGTGGGCTGTGTCGTCATCGACCAGTTCGACAAGGACGCTGACCTTGAATATCCTAAAAGAACAGAGTGTGGATGTGGATGACCAGGCGACAATTCTTCAACTTGTCATTTATACAAGATGGCGCTCATTATATCTACCCTCCATAATTGGTTACATACCCGATTCTGTAGACTGATTGGTAAACAGTCGACGTCGCCCTAAACATGTCATTACGGATCCTCCCGATCCATTAACGGTGCTTTTAGGTACTTCAAGCCCCGGTCACCGTCCTCGTCGAACCCGTCGCTTGCGACGAAGGGCTCGGCGAGTAAATTAACCCACAGACACAGCCCACTGAGTTTCTCGTCGGATCTTCTCAGGGGGTCGTGATTCTGACTTAATGGTAGATACTGCGAAGCACTGCTCTCACTCCCGGTTTGAGCCCCGTGAGCTCACCTACACGTCAAGGAGAAGCTGAAATAGCCTGTCAAGGCTATCAGCATAGGTAGGAAAAAAAAACAATATTGTTTATAACGCGACAACTAACCTTCATTTCAGGACCAGTTCGATTAACACTAATCATACCAACACTTACTGTTTCCCTTTTTCTACCATAGCGGGTAGATAACGGTATAAAACAAGTGATACTCAAAACAAAACAAAAAGAAATAATATAATACCAGTAGATTAATTGGTAAGAAAAAGTCATTAAGTCAAATGCGCAAAAGCAACAAGATGATACGAGGCCTATAAAATCAAAGGCAGCAACATCCGAGTCTGTCAAATATTCAGGTAAACTACAAAAATCGGCCCTAAGCACGTCATTACAGATCCTCCCGATCCATCGAAGTACTGCTCTTGCTAGGGCCAGTGTTAGCAACACTCCCGGTTTGTGAAGCTGAAATAACTTTGTTCGGATAGCTACGATATTCTTTATTTTAAAGCAGATTTATAAAAAATGAGAATGTTACTAATAATCTGAATTTTAAATGATAAAACTAGTAGAGTAAAAATAAAAATTTTGAACTGAATTTGTTTGAGATTTAGCTGCATTTGTTATAACATGAAAACACTAAATCGTGTCGAACTAACTAAACAAGATAACGCCATTGTTAATCCATTTTACGACATTAAGGCGTTTAGCTGCCTTTGATTTTATAGGCCTCATACGTGTATTTTCAATACAAAAGTTCAAAATGGGTCATTTGATCCGTTATGGTATATTTAGTGGTGCTAATATAACAAAATAAACGCTCTAATTATGTACCACAATTCATTCATTTCTTATAAACGAACAGAACCCGACCAATAACCTTAAAAATTTCATAACAATCCTTACAAACGCATACGGATATATCGCAGAGCTTATAAAACAATTTTACGATTCTCGTATTAGATTCGCAGCAGACAATGAATTTGTAAACCTCCCGGAGATAATGTACTAATATTTCACAGCAGCGGCAGCAGTCTTTAGCGGTATTCTCGGAGAGCGACAATAGAGAAAGGTTCCGATGTTTTCTTTTGCGCTTAGTCATGGCGCACGTTCCAACCCCACTGACACGACTCCTGTCAAACTTTGACATTCTCATTGGACAATTCTCGAAGCACCCCGCCGCTGTCCGCGTTGTGGATAACTAAAACATTTGACTGAATTAGATTGATAAATTCTAAATTTTTTATTGCTTAGATGGGTGGACGAGCTCACAGCCCACCTGGTGTTATGTGGTTATTGAAACCCATTTAACATTTAGCATACGGCCCACCTGATGGTGAGTGGTTACCGTCGCCCATGGACTTCAGCAATGCCAGGGGTGGAGCCAAGCCACTGAATACCGTAAACTTCTTCAGTACTACGTCCATGGCGACGTGCCATACAGAGGCACCTGCTGTTCCAACAAAATAAAAACCCGGACGGATAGGTGAGGTCACGGGCTCAACCTGAGAGAGTTTAACACTAGCCCTAGCAAGAGCAGTGCTTCGCAGAGTCTACCACCGGATCGAAAACGCGACCCACTGAAAAGATCCGGCGAGAAACTCAGTGGGCTGTGTCTATGGGCTAGTTCGCACTTGAGGATTATGGCGAATAATTCGACGAGGACGGTGACCGGTGCTTGAGGGTCCTAAAAGCACCGAGAGTGAATCCGGGGAATCCGACAAGACGTTTCGTTGCGGCGTTGCATTGCTCCGTCACGGTCGAATAAGCCATTCAGCCTTATCTTACATATAAAGAAAGATATATAAGACCCTGTCCTCATCGTGTTGCTTCTTCACGGCTGAGGGTCGTGACAATCATGTTTAAACAGGATTTTATTCCTGAAAGGATTATTATTTGTTATGTCTTTCCAGCGTTTCAGATCCTTGGCCGCGTGAAGAGCCCCGTGGAATGGGGTTTCTGGTGTGGTGATACAGATTCGATAAGACCCAAAAACATTTTGAATGGACTCGGATGAATGGAACGGTCTCGACACAAACCCGAGCCAAGAGTACACACCTTGCGCTCCGCCGCTAAACCGCCACACATCTCACTTGATTTTTCTATCAAAACACTCATGAAGAACGTTTTTCTCGACAAAAACACTACAAATTTATAACATCGTTGACGCACGTCAGTTCCGACAGCTGTCATTGTTGTTGTATTTCTTTGATTTCTTCTTATTCTATTTTTGAGTATGGCAATTGCTTCTTGGTACGCCATTGTTACCAGAGTCCAGTTTATAGCAATCTTTAATTATTCTGATATTTCTGATGATTATCTCATATTCTGTTTTATGAAAAATGACTTTTTTTTAATGCTTAGATGGGTGGACGAGCTCACAGCCCCACCTGGTTACCGGAGCCCATAGACATTTACGACGTAAATGCGCCACCCACCGATATAGGTTCTAAGGTCTCAAGTATAGTTCCAACGGCTGCCCCACCCTTTAAACCGAAACGTATTACTGCTTCACGGCAGAAATAGGCAGGGCGGTGGTACCTACCCGTGCGGACTCACAAGAGGTCCTACCACCAGTAAGTACGCAAATTATAATTTTGCCGGTTTGATTTTTATTACACGATGTTATTCCTTCACCGTGGAAGTCAATCGTGAACATTTGTTAAGTACGTATTTCATTAGAAAAATTGGTACCCGCCTGCGGGATTCGAACACCGGTGCATCGCTACATACGAATGCATCGGACGTCTTATCCTTTAGGCCACGACGACGATATGCAACGGAATGAGACGAAGTTGATTTACTTGGAGACTAATAAATCGAGATGAAACAACGTCTCAGTAAAATGGTGGTTATTTAGTGGGACTTCAGTGCTTCTCGGGTGCTTTCGGAAGCACCCGAGAAGCAACGTTTTTTTTTTTATTGCTCGTCTAGGCAGACATGCATACGGCCCACCTGATGGTGAGTGGTTACCGTCGCCCATGGACTTAAGCAATGCCAAAGGTAGAGCCAAGCTGTCTACTAGTTTAGATAAAGTACTAGGACATTATAAATTCAAAGAAGTCTCACCTGGAAGCCTTCTGCCTACCGTTAAGTACTCTCCACAAGCCTCGTTTGAAGAAGGACAAGTCATAGCGCTCGGGAAACACCGTGGAGGGGAGCGCATTCCAAAGCCGGATTGTACATGGCAAGAATGATCTCCGGTAGCGAGCGGTGCGATGGTAAAAACAAGAAACGTTAAGTCCGGTAAGTCTGTTCCATTTCCCCCCACTGGTGCAAGTTCATAGATACAAAACTGTCAATAAGCCAACATTAACGGTATGATCCTGAAGAGACTTAACCATTCACACACATTTAACTTTTACTGGTGGTAGGACCTCTTGGGAGTCCGCGCAGGTGGGTACCACCACCCTACCTATTTCTGCCGTGAAGCAGTAATGAGTTTCGGTTTGAAGGGCGGGGTAGCCGTTGTAACTATACTGACCTTAGAACTTATATCTCAAGGTGGGTGGCGCATTTATGTTGTAGATGTCTATGGGCTCCAGTAACCACTTAGCACCGGGTGAGCTGTGAGCTCGTCCACTCAGCTAAGCAATCAAAAAAAAAAATAAGAAAAGGTTTGCAAAATAAAATAAATTTATACATTTTTCATAACCATTTTTATTTTTGTTTATTTTTACACTTAACCTATTTCTCCGACATCGCTTACAAAATACCGTCTCTACTCTCGTGATAATTAGAAAACAAACAAAAAAAAAAGATTAATTTAAATAAATTACTAAAGACTAGATAATGACGTTCTTTATTAAAAAAAAATTTACGATCAACACGAAACCCGAACCGAAAAGTCGTATGTTACGTTTCATTTCGATCAACAATCAACCTTAAGACTTTTACCTTAATATCGTATTTCACTTGACCGTTACTTTAGAGATGTGTATTAATCGAATCGTTTCGCTCAGTTCAATGACACGGGAGGTTTGACATATTTTGAAACGACGCCATCTTGTGAAAAAATAAATTAGTAACATTTTGATTTTATAGATTTACATTTTAACACGAAACTAAATCCGGATGTAATAAAATTGTTTTTAATTCGTTTTTACTTCTGCACGTACATAGAGAAATACGATTCGCGAAGAATTAGATTGTTGATAATTTTCGAAATAAAACCTAACAATTTCGCGCCCAAATTTCGTGTTAATTCAAAACATTCATAAAATTTTATTTAAAACATTACAAATGGAGTTAGTTAAAAACATTATTTAGTCGATAATTCTGACATTTTATACTGGTCATACTGTTTTGGTAATTAAATTGAGTTAAATAAAAAAAATACAACTACAAATTACATTATAATAATTATTATATTATATATTCACATACCAAATGTTTATTGCTTACACGAAGCTTATGTTCAGATACGCAGTCACACAGTCATACAATCTGAGCACACTTCACGCATTGCACATTTAAAACTAATAATTAAACAAATAAATAATGGTAGGTATGTATTCATTTAAGAATGCGTATTTACAACGTACTAACTGGCTCTCTGTTGTTTGGTAAATAAAAAACGGACACGTATTGCTTTTTAACCGACTTCAAAAAAAGGAGGAGGTTCTCAATTCGACTGTATGTTTTTTTTTTAATGTTTGTTACCTCATAACTTTTGACTGGGTGAATCGATTTTGATGATTCTCTTTTTTTATTAGATAGCTGACGCTTCACGTGTGGTCCCATTTCAACTTAGTCCAGTTCTGATAATGGTATCCGTGAGAAAACCATATATGTCTTAAATTTGCATTAGGTACGTGCGCGACAAATAGATGAATAACTCAATATCACGCCAACCGATTCCGATGATTATTGTTTTTAGTCATATTCATTTATTTTGGAATAATTTTTTTTCTATTTGAAGTCGGTTTTTGTTAAAGCATGTGTATTTACAATTATTGTTATAACAAATCATACTTTTTTATAAATTCAAACAATCAAGTTAGAAACACGCTTTCAAGTCGAAGCGATGAAGAAATAAGTTCAAAATGAATCAACTCAATTAGTAGTGACATCTGTTTTAATCTACATTCAAAATTGATATGTACCTATAAATTTTAGAATATAATTCAATGGTATTGTGATGGTAGGATCTCACTAATCCGACGACCCCCGCTCAAGGCTCCCCCATCTTTTCCTCACCCCCCCCTAGTTCCAGGTCCACGCATCATTTTTTAAGGGATTTTAGGACCTAGTAACTAAGACCTTTAGGTCAAGTCTTATTTTTTTTTATTTATATTCTTATTTTTATGAAAAATGATATTATGGAGGAAATTTAAATAAAATAAGATGAGATGATATGGGATGAAATATAATATCAGTAAAATGGTGGGAATTTACTGAGACTTTTTCAGTGGACTTTTTGGAAGATCCCGAGAAGTTACACCCAGCGGCTTTGTTTCATTTTCCCACATTTGTGCACTTTCACAGTTATACTAAACAGTTAATAAACCACCGTTATTACACATTTAAATCTGAAGAAACACTAAATAAACAAAATAAAACAAATCACACAACTTAACTCATCGCGTTCCCGCCAAAAAGTCCTTTTGAACTGTTATTTATAGCATACACTGGCTGGAAACTTTTTCAACTTTTCCCCCATATGAAATGATTCTCCTTGAAAATGTCAACTTGAGTAACACAGGACTCGTGAAAGATGAAAAGGATAATACTATAATATTTTTTTTTAGTAATAGAAAGTCTAGAGAGAAGACATGTGGAAAATTACAAGAAAAAAAAACAAAAGACAGAAGATTTAAAATGTGTTAAAAAACCTGACATCCGCTACTTTTTAATATTATATCGGATCACTGAGTATCAACTAACGTAACTAGTGTTGTTGTGAGTTGGAGAGAATGTGTCGTATCGATTTTACGTACGTTTTCAAAACAAAATCGATATCTCACCGATTTAGCAACGGCAACACAGAGCCGGTAGCTCGCGGTCTACCGCAGTGTCAATGCTAAGCCGGAGATCGATCGTGAAAATCGACACGAGACATTAATAGGAACTGGTTTTTATGCTTAATCGATAAAGGGGCTATAGTGGCGTAGCGAGGGGAGAGGCGTTGGGGGGCAGGGGGCGTCAACATGCCCCAGCCGCCACTCACTAATGGACGTCAAAGGTCAGGCGCCGTGGGTGGAACACCAGGCAGAGGTCAGATCTGGTTGAGGACGCGGTTGGTGGTAGTCGATACTATACGGTCCATGCCACCCATGATCGAACACCGTGGAGGAAACTCACACTTGGTCACTACCTTTAGCAGTGAGGGAACAATGAAGAAGCAGTAATATAGTAAAAGTTAATTCGTAAATAAAAAAAGAAGAGGGGGGTGAGTTTAGATCGTGACGTCACTGACTGACCCGACGTCACACTTGAAGCACTAAAATCAAATCGCTCGGAAAAATTCGGTTCGCATTTAGTAGAATCTCCTCGAAACCGCGGCATCTTATTCAGTCTAGCAACACCTAATTAATCGTCTAGCAACACCTAAGTCATATACAGACAGCCTCGCGTTTTAGTAAGTACGTATTAATTTTATTATTATTAGTTACTCTTTCGATTAAATTGTTAAGAAATAATAATAAAAGTATTCGTCCATTTATTTTAAAGAGTCTTTATAAGTCAGTTTTAAATTTTTATTTTCTTTGCACATGGTCACACATTATCCGTCAAACTTTCCCGCCGACAAGACCAAAATCCGCCATCTTGCGTCAAACATTTTAAATTCAAATTAAATTACGCATATTTAATATATTACTTAATAATTTTTATTTATACACATGTCAATTTAGAAGATATTAATTTAATTCAGGGCCGCGCTATTATTATTATTGTTATTGGCAATGTCAATCGATTTATATTTATATTACGATTCCTAATTTCGTATTAGGGCCTAACTGGAATTCTCAACTCAATCTGACTCTTAATCAACTCACTCTCAAGTCAATCTGACAGCTGCTTGTCAATCTGACAGCTGTCACGCGTTGTCAAAAACGTTTCAGTCCAACTTCAAATCGATAAAGTCAACTTAGGGAATGTTTTATTTATAATCGCGATAGTGAAACGAATATCTATCATACGTTAATATTGTCCGGCCGGTTTCAAAGTGTTCCCGGTTAGTTCTCAACGCGTATCTTCGTTTCTCTTGTACAGTACCCGGCGATAAATACCGCACTTCGGTCTTTAGTAAGAGAGGGTCGATTTCATAAAGGGTTATCTCTGTCGCACACTGCTCACGTGACTGCGATCGGACTGCTAGTGTTTTGCGCGACAGAGACAGAGCTCTACGAAGCCGACATTAGCCGATTACGAAAAGTCGAAGTGCGGCATTTATCGGCAAGTACTGTACCGTTGATAAGGCCTCGGTCTCACCACAGACGAAGAGACTAGGGACGATATCAACGAGCAACTCTCTGTTCACATCCCTCCTAATGTCATATAACATAATTGTCTGATTGCAAAAATTAGTCCTTAAATCGAAAATTCATAATAACTGATTACGTTTCGCCCTAAAATTAGTTGTTGTCCGTTGTAGGATAGAAAGTGGAAACTGGAAAGTCACCGTCGAGTGACAGCTGTCAAACTGACGGCTATCAATTTGACAGCTGTCAAATTTAGTGTTCGAATCGAACGCATCGCCGCCACCTGTCTCCCGTTACACTAAAACATTGAATTCAAATAACCCGACAACGTCATCATATCACATCGCTCAATCATCATCTTAAATAACACTTACATAATAAATATATATATTAATGAAGAGAAGGCTTATTAAAATTAATTAATATTTACAGATCTGGGTTGTTTTTTTTGTTGATTTTGTTTTTGCTATTTTTTTTAATTTTCGTTATTAGGGACTTAAAAAAAATATTACCGTAACGCTATTTGGTATGAGCATTCGTGAAGGTTCGCGGCCTCGGCGGCTCTGGCGTGGTCTCGAGCTGTCCACGGACCGACATTCCAAAACGCCGCGACAACCGCACCGGGGGTTTCGACAACACCGCCATCTATCGAACGGGGGCGACGGACGCGCGATCACGACTTGTACGTGCGGATGACGTCTTTGATCTGCGCCCTGCACAGGGGGCACTGACCCCCGCCCTTCCCCCTCCACTGCTGCACCGCGCACCGATAACACATACACATGTGCCCGCACATGTACAGCACGCTATCTATTGGGTTCTCGTAGCATATAGAGCATTCGGCGCCCGTCGGACCCTCGCCGATGACGGAGTACACGGGCTGGTGCTGGCGGCTGGTCGAGGGCAGCCGTTCCACCAGCCTCAGAGGCTCCGGGTGGCCGTTCGGCATCTGGACCTGTTCGTTGGTGCTGTTCTGGGTGGAGGAGCACTGAACCTCGTTCCGGGGACGGGACTGGAACTGCTGGGCGCAGGTGGACGGCTGAGCGAGGGGCTGGAGGCCGGTCAGACAGATCTGAGACGTCGCCTGGATCGGCTGGAAACGAGAGAACCCAAAATTTCAGCAGACCCGACAGTAGAAAGAGACAGACACATAGATTCATAAGATTTAACGTGGGAGGAAATGAGATAGGAAGCATTATTTATATAGTGTTTCTTATTATTCGTGGTTCTGTTTCTGCTCTGCTTCGTACCTAATATTCGTACTTAATACATTCTGATTAAAACCTAAGTAATATATATGAATAACATGTAAAATACATAATTATCAAACTTTGTATCACTATGAGATCATTACTGAAACCTAAAATTATCATCTTCCCGAAATTTTACATTCCTCTCGTTGTCTTGAAGCCAACATTATTGAAGGTTTCTCTTCTACCAGGTGTAAATTGCACACATTTATGTACATATTTTAATACCCAACTAATTTTCATTGGAACTATAATATCAAGTTACATGTGACTACCAATAAGTCCCTAAGTAAATAGAAATGACGTTTGCTTACCTCGATATAATGTGCGCTGGCCAGAGTGAGCCCCTGTTGGTTGACCTGGTGTCCCCCGGCTTGCGGGGGCAGGCTGACGACGAGCACCGCGCCCCCCGCGCTACCCGCCCCCGCCACCACCCTCAGCTGCGGGGGAGGGGTCTGCGCCACCGTCTGCGTACTCAGCATCCTGACTTTCTGTGTCGCGCCGTATACATCCACGAAAGCCCATAGCCTTAACGTATGGTCGACGTGCATCACCGTCACCGGATTCGAGCCGTTCCTGCTGACCCTCACCTCTCCGTCCAGGGTCAGCGTGACGGCCAGCTCGTCTCCTCTCCTGAGGCCGTTAGCTGCGTCCCTCCTCACGACCCAGTATTCCGGTCGATCTAACAACAACTCCGCATCGTCGGGCAAATCGCATGGCCTCAGAGTCCCAGGATCGCAGGACGTGAGTCCTATGGCCAGGCTGCCGGCGTACGCTGTCTCCGTGGCCAGGATCTGAACGACTATGGTCTGCCCCGGACGCATGGGTCGCGCCGTGAACACGTATCCCTGACAGAATTCGGCTTCGGTTCTCGCGGCGATACCCCTATCATTGACCACCTGAACGTTCCGGCCCTTCGTTCTGTGCAAGCTTAGCGGCGCCAGTGGATTCTGGTATCTGGGCGGAGGCAGGTCCTCTACGGTCATCGCTCTGACGCCGGACACCAGTCTGTCTTCGTCTGCGGGGCTGTGGTTCGACCGCCTCTGGCTCGGCACCCTGGGATCGGCGAACTGGACGGCTGTGCAGTTTCCGTAAACGTCCACCAGCGCCCACAGGGGACTCCTGGTGTCCACTCCGGAAAAGAACAGCCCCCGGTCTTCGCCGTTAACCCCAAAGTGCACATCGCCAGTTGAATTCACGTAATAGTGTAGCACGTTGTCCGTTTCGCAGAACCTTTCGCCTAAAGCTTTCGCCCAGTTGCCCGGTTTGTTTGTGAGGTCGGGACACGCGTATTTGGGCAGAGCGTGGGCTAGGGTCGCGGGGTCGTGCGAGGTGAAGCCGAATCGGATCACCCCGCTCCAGCTGTTCGATATCTCTACGAAGCGAATGCACACCTGGAAACAAAACAAACGAAATCCTGTCAAGAAATGGTTATCAATGGTCAATGGGCATTTGGTCGTAAACCCCGATGCGAAGTTTCTCAGTCGTTGTCGAAGTGTACGCGAAGTTGAAATTAGCCGATTGTCTCTATACAAATAAAGTCGATGTGCAGCATTTAACGCAGGGGACTGTACAATTTTTATTAGCTGAACAATTGCTCACGGACATCGGCGATACCGAACACGTGGTCAAGTCGCTTCGTACGGCAGCAATAACGTTATGATATCTATGGTGGTGGTACCTACCCACGCGGACTCACAAGTGGTCCTGCCACCAGTATCACGTTCTCATTAGATTGAGGTTCCGTCCTCGGGTCAAGGTCTGCGAAGGTACTCACGTTGCTAACGCCTCTGATACTGATTATTGGTAGAGTGAAACCAATCCCTTACCTTCTCATTAACTCTAACAGGCCTCGCGGAGAAGGCGACTCCCTTGCAGAAGGACTCCACCCGTCTCGCGGTGAGCCCGTCCCTAGACACCCTGATGTTCTCTCCGTGGACGCTGTGGAAGGTCAGCGGCGGGAGGTTGTTGGGGGCGCCGCCCGTGCACGATGTCCTGGGCGCTGGTGACGAAAGACAAAAAAAATAAACTTTCTAGTTTAAATATATGCGGTAGGCAGCGGCTTGCCTCTGCCCCTGGCATTGCTGAAGTCCATGGGCGACGGTAACCAATCACCATCAGGTGGGCCGTGTGCTCGTCTGCCTACAAGGGCAATAAATTTCTTTTTTTATATGTAAGGTGTTAACAATCGTAACTGGCATTGAACGGAGACGTTTGCCTAAAAAAAAACCTGTGACATTATACTCCTGTCACTCTTCTGTCAATGTCACCCGTTTATTTAATAAACTAAATAATTTATTGTATTGTATTGTAATTAATTAGTGTATTTAGTAAATAAACACTTTCGGAAAACAATGTAAAGCATCGCATGATCAAATCATAACTACCTTCATGCTTTGATTTACAATTAGAAGTGTTTTGAGATTATCAATAAAAACCAAAACGGTTTTATGTGTAAGAACACAGAGTATATAAAAAAAAAAATTAAGCCAATTTATTCGTTTTATTGAAGCCAATGATGTCAATAATTTAAGTACAACCAAACGTCAAAGATATCTGATTAAAAACATATGTAATTCAATTATTATTATATTGAATATACATGAAAAAAAACAATCGGTTTTCAGTAATTAGCCAGAATATTCCTGGGAAAAAACATAATCTCATTTTAACGAGGAAATTTAAGGAAAAGCAAATGTCAGATATCTTATTAAAAACATCGGTAATTTAATGATTAACATTTTTCATGAGAACAATTGATTTTCTTTAATCAACTAGAATGTTACTGGAAAAATAGCACTCCATTTTTACGGGGAAACTACAACTCCGGTAGGAAGTCGGCTGGCTTCTGCGATGACTTCTCATCTAGACTTCAAAGACATAAAATCCTTGGTCGTATTTCGCGACTCCTCAAATAGTAATTAGGGATATTATTCAGGATATATCATTGACCGTTCTCGTCGAACACTTCTCCATATGTCATAGTACCCTGGTACTTCAGTTGCGGTACTTGAAGTACTTTGACTAATGAAGTTAGCTCCACTTCTTTGCATATCATAGTATCCTAGTACTTTTCTACCGATTATTTTACGTTTATTGACAAGATCTTGGCCCGTTTGATCTTAAGTGATCTTCAAAGCCTAGAATTATATAACTATCCTCTCCCTCTTCAAGTCGGAACCCTGGACTGCTTCACAGCAGATATACGAAATGTGGTTGTTTGTCACTTCGATAAAGCGGCACGACACGAGAACCCTCTCATCGTGGCCGCCGGTAACTACATTCCCGATCCTGCGGACAGAATGGAAAGCAGTCGACGTCGCCCCAAACACGTCATTTCGGATCCTCCCGATCCACTAACGGTGCTTTTAGGTACCACAAGCACCGGTCACCGTTCTCGTCGAACCCGTCGCTTGCGACGAAGGGCTCGACGAGTGAATTAACCCACAGAAAAGCCCACTGAGTTTCTCGCCGGATCTTCTCAGTGGGTCGCGTTTCCGATCCGGTGGTAGATTCTGCGAAGCACTGCTCTTGCTAGTAGTACCAGTGTTAGCAACACTCCGGTTTGAGCCTCGAGAGTTCATCTACACGCTAGGGTGACGCTGGTATAGCCTCTCAAGGCTATCAGCTATGTATGTATATACGTGAGCACACAATAGCTCCCCTCGTACACAAGACAACACCTGGCGAGCAGATGCATTGACGTCAGCTTGCGTTCGAGCGCTTATCAGAACTAGCCGCTTAGAAATATAAATCTCGTTTATACATTATCAAATAAATGTGATCGAGTTTGGTGTTATATATTCTCTTTTAATACGCTCTTTTATTAGCTTTAGACGTATGTATGTTAGTATGTAACGGAATCTTTGACCGTGATTTTGACCCCCTTCAAAACGTCGAATTAACTCGAAATTCGGTATACTTGTTAAGGACCGATGACAATGTAACAATTAAAAAAATTATTTAAAAATTGTAATTCAACTAAAATTGTAAAAAAAAAATATTTTGGTGTATGTACCGTGTATGTACTCATATGCATGTAATAAAAAGCGGTTATTTCAATATTACAAACAGACATTCCAATTTTATTAATATGTATAGAGTATAGACAGTATAAAGTCGATGTTTTGTATTGACAATCACTTTGTTGATGCAACTAAATAAATATCGTATTTACTAACTGCATTACTACTTTGCCCTTAACTTAACTTTATACTTAACCCACTTCGTAATAAGTGGTTTCCGGGGCCCGTGGACATCAACAACGGACCGCCAGACTCGGACACGAATTCTATGGTCTCAGATTTTACAGTACAACGGCTGCCCCGGCCTTCCAACCGAAATGGATTACTACTACGCGGCGGGGACAGTCAGGGTGATGGTAGCTACTGCTGGTGACTACCAGATGATGTTGGTGGTGCTGATTCACAATCCTACCAACCCCACCAAACTAATAATTAGACAAAAAAAAAATTAATTTCGATATTAATTATTTATATTCGGAATTCCACTTCAAAGTACCAGGGAGACAGAACGTTAAGGAAGGCAACACGGTTAACTGGTGGTAGGACCTCTTGTGAGTCCACACGGGTAGGTACCACCACCCTGGGTATTTCTGCCGTGAAGCAGTAATGCGTTTCGGTTTGAAGGGCGGGGCAGCCGTTGTAACTATACTGAGACCTTAGAACTTATATCTCACGGTGGGTGGCGCATTTACGTTGTAACATGTCTACGGGCTCCAGTAACCACTTAACACCTGATGGGCTGTGAGCTCATCCACCCATGTAAGCTTTAAAAATTTATTTAATTATTTTCACAATTCCCGTTCAAAGTACCAGGGCGACAGAACGTTAAGGAAGTTAAAACGCTACCTTTTACAAATGACGCTTGAACGGAATTACTGGGGATGTTGAACGACTTCCTGTCTTCCGTCACGGGCGGAAGCGTGAGCACGTGCGCTCATTTGAACTCCCCTATTCGAACGACACGTTTCTGTACTTAACCACACAATAACAAAACATTAGAACAACTAAACGTGCCGCGCGGTTTGATTCGCTTCGATAATAATGATATTTTTTTTTCCTACCTAAGCTGATAGCCTTGAGAGGCTTCATTTCAGCGGAGCCTTAACTAGTAGGTGAGCTCACGGGGCTCAAACCTGACGACGTTGCTAACACGAACCCTAGCAAAACCGTGCTTCGCAGAATCTACCACCGGATCGGAAACGCGACCCACTGAGAAGATCCGGCGAGAAACTCAATGGGCTGTGTCTGAGATAAAAATGTACTTTAGAAACACGCGTTGCGTTTCCCTCGGATATGTTGTAGCTCCTAGCCTTCTCTAATCTGTAATATACCTGTATGTCCGTACGTCACGAACCAGAGAAGATACTGGCGTTTTTATCATAGCGGAAAAACCCGGTTACGACATTTACAATGACTAGTAATCGCTTGGTAATCGAAATTCGACTATTATTAATTAAAATTATAAGTTTGAACATCAGTATGGTTCTATTGTCGAAGACTATTATTATACTTCTATAATCACAGATTTCTCCAAGACTACACTATTGTCAAATAATATTAATCTATTCTCGATTTGACCACTACTTTAAGCAATAAACAAAAGAATATATGCGGCGTGTGTGTCAAATATATTATGTTAGTATAAGTAATTTTTTTTTATTGATTTACCTACTACCAGAGGTCCCGCAGTAGTCGAAATTCGACTATAATTAATTGGAATTGTAAGTTTGTACACTATTATGGTTGTATTTTATACTTCTATAATCACAAATTTCGCCAAGACTACACTATAAAAAATATTAACAAAGACAAACAATATTTAATCTATTCTCAATTTGACAACAGACGTCAAGAACAAAAGTTTGAGAATAAATAGTATGCATGCGTGTGTGCGTCAAATACATGCCGGTATATAGTGTGTGTAATGTTTTCTTTATTGATTTAATGTAACTTTTATGCATTACTTTAGAAAAATATTAGCATTGTGCACTTCTTCTCTATATTCTCTATAAGTGTGGAAAATTTCATACTCCTCCGTCCGCGCAATTTTCGTAAAAAGGGATACAAAGTTTTTGCTACACGTATTAATATATAGATAATATGTCAATGTATAACGTATTTTTAATGCATATTTTTTTTAAAAATATTGGCATCTGCACTCCTTCTCTTTAAGTGTGGAAGAATTGTTACCCTTCCGTCCAAAAAATTTTGTTAAAAAGAGATACAAAGTTTTTGCTTCAGGTATTATGTATTATATAGAATAAGATAGCTAGCTACATATTAACTAATTTTTTAACTGTCATTATTGGTGTCCGATTACCGATTGAAATATAGCTAAACAAATCGGTTTTCTTTTCTTTTTTTTTGTCAATTTCCTTCCGATTTAGAAACGAGAACAATCGTAAAATCCGATCTGCACTTCCGCCGGAAGTGACGCGCCCTCTCGTTACAGAAACGGGGGCCACCCTCGATTTAAGGAGACACCTGGCTCCGACGACCCCTGAATTTACCGAAATAAGTAGAACATATTGAGTTGTTTTTCTTTTCTTAATTAAACTTATCTTAAAATAAGTAAGTTATATTTAGAAAGTTGATAAACCGTAGCATTTTTTTTATTTATTGCTTAGATGGGTGTACGAGCTCACAGCCCAGCTGGAGTTAAGTGGTTACTGGAGCCCATAGACATCTACAACATAAATGCGCCATCTACCTTGAGATATAAGTTCTAAGTTCTCAAGTATAGTTTTACAACGGCTGCCCCACCCTTCAAACCGAAACGCAATTACTGCTTCTCGGTAGAAATAGGCGAGAGGTCCTACGACCAGTACATTTTGCTTTAAAAATATCTCATATCTCAAGATGAATTTTATGGTTTAAGTTCTGATGTCCATGGGCTTCTATTAGAACCTCAGTGCTTGACGAAACATATTATATTATCACCTGTCAATCTAGATTTAAAAAAAAAAACAGCGCGGCA